CACTACACCACGAAGGCACGCTAGGAAGGCGGGAGAAATAACCCTATAGACTCAGTTTTGAAATTTTGCCCAATAGTTCCAGGGAGATCATAAAAGAAGCTAGTTACTTTTTTTTAAAACCTGAAATCAGAAATCGTTGTTTTCAACTATCCAAATTTCATGTTTGGCGAGAAAGAACTGTTGCCACTTCATTTCAGAGAAATATCTTTCATTTCTTTTTTAACATGGCCACAGAGTTTCCTAAAAGGTGCAAATTTGCTCGCTCAATCTGTAACGCTAAAATTTGAAGTCCCCCCCCCCAAGTTTATGCGGTGGCTATTTTAACAAGGAAGTACCAATATTTGTTGCAAACTTCGTGCATAAGCGATTCAATTAAAAAAGTTATCAGCTTCACCGTGAATGATTAAGTCTTTTGTTAAATTGTTTGTGATTGTTAAATCCGCACAAAAATTTTCATATGGCGTTAATTAAACATGGAATAATACCGCAGCGCTAGTAAAATCAATTATAGTTACTTTCTCATATATTAAAATAGGTCCGAATTCTAGTCACATCATCAATGTTTGGATAAATTAATACTAATTGTTATTCAGATATATTTATTGTAAAAAATAGGTAATGTGTCTCGTTACGTTATATCGGTGGTACGAAAGCGAATTTCTTATATTTAAAAAATAATTTTAATTAACATTTGTAAATACATAGCAAACTCCCTATCATTCACCACTACTGTTTTAAAACAGTTTTCAAATATATGATTTACATTTTGAATTTCTGAGAAATTATTGTTAAGCTAATAGGTCTATTGTAAGTATTCAAACTGCAGTATAAATTAAAAATTAAATTGCATTTCCCCCCCTAAACTTTTACTCTTTTTGCATTTATAAAATTAAAAAAATTTAATGCTTAACTCATTTTTGATGTATTAGTCTGCAGCATGAAATTTTGAGATTGTAGTTTTTTAATTCTTTTTGTTCTTCCTTTCTCTCTATATATAAGTATAATTCATTTTCTAGTAGATTATTGAATACATTATCTCCTTTGAAAATAAAGTAGTTAGAATTTTATTGAAATAAATTTACTCATCAACATATTTAAAACTGAATTATTAAAATGGAATAATTAAAAACGAAATTGCGACTAACAAATTAATTCTATTTTACATTTCTTAAATCTATTTTCAAATCTAAAATGTTAAGAAAAAAGAATCTTTTAACATTTTAGATCTGGCAGTATAATTCCGAATAAACTTTTCAAGCGGGGAAACATCTTAAATGGATGTTAACTGTATATTTTTCGGTTATTTAAGTAGAATGTTCTCATTTGTGAGTTGATGTCTTCAACGATGAAACTTCCTTAATCGGGTTTTACTATATATTTCCCTGCTGTATGAGCAGAAATTATTCCAAAAATGTGGTAAAAAAATATTAGGGGAACAAAATGTAATAAAGTTATCATGTGTAATAATGTTCAAAATGTAATAAAGTTTCATTATCATTATCATTATAAGGGCACAGCCCCGATCCTCTTAGCCGGAAAAGGCGGCCATATAATCAAAAAATGAAACTGGCCAGAAAAAACAAATATAAGAAAAAAAATAAATAAATAAATAAAGTCCAAAATCTGAGTCACAGTGCCGAATTCCAATTCTATCTTTCTTCGTATTTATAATTTTCATTATTGTCTCTGCAAAATCTTTCATTTTTGAATAGTTCCTTTTAAAATCGTCCTTAAAATTCTTTCTATATTTCTCTCTTGCACTCCGGGTTAAGCGTACATTCATCGACGAAGTGCCTGTCACATATTAAGCATTTATCATTATTATCTTTGGATTGCATTTAAGAGTGGAAATATTAATCTCGATTTATTCAAATTTATTTATTAATCGACCTCTCCTCCTCAATGCAAGCTGAAAATGAAATCAAATATCGCCAAATTTTAAGTTATGTCGAGCCATTTTTCGTATAAGGGTGTTAAACTTTTTGTGTTTAATTTTTTATAACGAATAAATATTTTCTTAAATATCGTATTCTCTCTTTCCCAGCTTTTTAGCATTAGGTCTTGAAGATTTTAAAAATGTTCGCATAATTTCCTCATACATAGTTCCCTCTCCCTCAAGACTAGTTTATTTGTAAATTTTATTCGTTTAATTATTAGCCAAAATGGCGTTAGCCAAGAATGGCTGTTATTCTCAAAACGGGATTCTGTTTTGAATCACTACAAAAGTCTGAATCACTTGCGAAAAAACAAGGGTACTTAGGGGGTCATCAAATTTTGAATAACGTAGTCCTCCACCCGAATACGGGCACCTGGAAGCCGAAATTTGGAATTTGTTTTATTGTCTATTTCATATTTTGTAAAACTTTGACGAAATTTTAATTAAAAAAACTGAACGATTTCAAAGAGAGCAGTGGCAACACTGCAGGGAATAAAATATTTTTATCGCCAGCGCGCGAGACTGTCTATCGAAAATTCTGAAGATATGCTGTTTTTAGATAATTTTAAGGCAAAATAGTATTAGCCCAAATGCTCCCGAAACGCGGGTAAATGAAAAAAATACCCATTTAGGCGTAGCATAAAATCTGAAAACTTTTCAACTTTTATTTATTTTATTTGTTGTTATATTTATTAACATGTTTTTGAAAAATTTTTCTTGTGTACTATCACTTTCTTATTAGTATTTCATCCATTTTCCCTTCGCATTTATTATTTTAAACATATTTTTCGCAGATTTCGGGTAACTTAATTTCGCAGATTAAGTTACCCGGACCTGGCAAGTGTCATCACCCCTAAAAAAATTTTCAGTCTTTCGTTGGCCCCTTCTCCGTCGCTACTCCGATGTCCCTTTTGAGAACTGCAGCTAATATTTATTCACTTGAGGTGCCCCTGAAGCGTAATAAAATAACTGAGCCGGACACGTCGCACTGATTGGCTCAATGTAAGTCAGCTATTGTAATATTACTATGTATTCTTATTGCAATATGCATTTCTTTTAAAGAAATAATATTGTAATAGTCACCAGAAGTTTATTTATGACTGCTTTTCATTTTCTATGTTCTTATTGTGTAAAAGGAATTTTAAAAAGTCAGATTTCGTAATTTTCCCAAAAGGGAATTTTTAAATTTAAAATGGCCAAAGCTAGAATATTTGAATTATTTGAAGCATTTTTGTAACTGGGTGGTGTGGTGTATTTAATTATGGCAAAGCACACTAGGGCTATCTGCCTAAGAGGAGGGATGCCTTCGTGGAGGACTTTCTAAGGGGAACTGGCTCGTATACACGTAACACATGGGGAAAACCACGAAAACGCCCATGCAGCCAGCCTGTTCGCGGGATGCGAACCTCGGACCGAACTACCAGTGTTCAGCGACTTTACCGCTCGGCCGCTGGTGGGCTTTTGTAACTGGGAAGTACTCGTATATGTCTATGAATGATTACGAAAATGAAGGCCAATGCATACATTTATTATTCTTAAAATAATAATATATGTGTATATTCTTATAACACCTCTTTTTTTTTGTTTGTTCTGCATTTATTATTCTTATAATTCTTCTTTTTTTATTCTCAATTTTTCCTTTTTTATTCTATACTTATTATTCTTATATTTAGGTTTACTACTTCTTTTTGGGCGCAAACCAGGAGATATTTTTGAAATTCCTTAAAATTCTTAACAGTCTACCGGAACATTAAACGTTATTTGTTCAGCTGTATTTTTCATTAGCTATGACATTTTCCAGAAATGGTTTGTTTGTTTTACTTACATAGTAATATTCACAACAAGAAATTCTGAAATTTAGCAGATGTTTAACAGTAGCTACTAAAAGTGTACCCCTTTTTGCAAGCCAAATGTTGTTCCCCATGATTGAAAAAAGTGTCTCAGCTGTAGCAGATGTCCCAGAAAAAGATATTGCAAACTCAAACCATTTAAAAAATATTGCAACATAAAATATCAGTCCTTTGAAACACCCTAAAAATTGCTTTCCACTTCTCTTCAATAACCTGAAAGGTTAATTAACCACAACCTAACATTTGTTTTCGATTTACCTGTTTCAACAATGTACGTTCATCAAATAGGTCATTAAATATTTATAGAATCTTTTATAATTTCATTAACGACTTCTCTTCTAAATCAGACCAGAAAATTTCAGTTCATAAATTTATCCACTAAAACTTATTTAATTTTCACAAAACTGGTTCTCCACAACTGGTGTTGGATACTAGAATTATAAAAATTGTCTACGCTTGAGAAGAATTTTTTGATTATTTTCTTTTAGAGTGAATAGCAAGGCAGAAGATGGTATAAATTTGTGAGTTTTTCTTTCCTGAAGTTGACAAACTAATTCAGAATATATTTGCAATGCTTTTGTTGCTGTGTTAGAATTAGCTTCTAGTTTCAGGACTACATTATTAAATAACTATAGGGTACCATATAAAAATTTCAAAAATAGTTCACTTTTTAGGGTTTGAAAAAAATCAAATACAATTTTTGGACATTCGTCACAAGAGAAGAAGTATGATTTTAGGCCATCAAGAATGGAAAGAATTCAGTTGCCAGTAACAAACTAAGGAACCTTGTGCTGCTACGAGATAATACTTTTCTATAATCTGTTTCTGCAAATTCACAGAACTAAGTTTCATTACTCTTACTGGTAAAAGTTTACAATTGGGTGCCCCTTGTTTATTGGAGATTCTTTTTTGACGCCAAGATCGGCGCCAGGAAGGCACTATTTCAAGATGGCCGCTACAGAAAACCAAAATAAGAAGTCAAAGAATTTCACAAGATCTGTGCTCATGTACACATCGATCTGTTTTCTCTTAAGAAAACATACTAGAATTGCACAAACTAGGCATTGCGCACTGCTTTAAATATGTCCATGTACACATCAATCTATTTTCATTTAAATAAAATCGGGAAGCTAAAACAAAGTTAAACTATCATGGTAACCAGAAGTGAGGTTTCATCGCCAAAATTAAAAAAAAAAAAAAAAAAAAAAATGTCGCCAATCGAAGGGGCATCCAATTCTACACTAGAGCCCTCTTACTGTATATAGGAAGTGAAAATATTTTTATAAAAATAACTTCTGAGTTCAGGGATAGAAAATATTTAAAATTTGTAATTCATTATACGGGCTGAACAACTAATTCCTAAAAACGCGATATCGAACACATAGGTCCAAAATAAATAAAAAAAAAAAAAAAAAAAAAAAAAAAAGTCCTAGGCAGTCATAAAATTCTATAACTCCGGGCATTACCTCGGACAACACTAAAAATCGAAGACTGTCCGGGCTGATTCTGAACGTATCGTATTCTGAACGTATCGTTATATTTCGTATTTATAGTTTCGTATGTTTCTTATATACCGTCTTCTAGAGTTCATCTTCAGCAATCTATTTTGAAAATCTAGAACTTTTAATCCAAGAACTCCATCTTTTTTTACTAGGATTCTCCTGCCTATTTAAATCTAGCGCTCCAGGCAGTCGATATTTAACTAGCCCTTTAATCCCGCGCTCCAATTTTTCCAGGTGTTAGGATTCAGTATGACAGGACTTGTTGAGGCTTCTCCTCGCGGCTAACCTTCCCCCCCCCCACCTCTCTCCTTGACCACGTGACTGAACGAAAGATAATGGTTGATAGTAGCGACCACGCTATTTCCTGTAATCGGCGCGTCTTTCGACGTCGTCATAAATCGAAATGTATACACTTCCGCCAACATGGTAAACAGATCGCATCACACTTATTCTGAGGGTATGCTTTATCGATGTTCGGAAGATACTGAAGGTGAAGCGAGTATGTTGGAAGGATCTATAAAAGGCTGCGCTGGTTCGCGTATCGGACGCGTTGCGTAACCGCGGACGGAAACCTGTTGGCGGTTTCCCGTCTCAAACTTTATGGCCTCGCAATCACGTCAACCGACTGTCGTGTCTTCTTCTAGATTGGAAATAACAATTCTGCGGCGATCGCGGAACTTGCACGTCCAAGAAATGAAGCGAATGCAAATGTGCGATTCGAAACGGTTCGCTGCACATTTAATAATTTCTGTGATACATAATTTTAATGAGTTGAATTCCTTCGGAACAGTGCACGAAACTCTCCAGTAATTTCATTCGAATGCAGCTTTGGTGATACCAGTGATTTTTTTTCAGAAACAACACTTCCTTTCATAATTCCTGAATTGTGATGTTTGTTTCGCCGTACATTCATTAAGCAAACAACTGAAGTGTGAAGTTTACATTCTACGAAATCTCGAATTAGCACAGATGTCTGTGGATTATTTATTTTTTGCAGGTGTGTGCGATCGAAAATATTTTGGAGAAAAATACAGGTAAACAAAATTATTTAACATATTTTTAAAGTGAAGAAATTTCATCTATTCAGAATATATTTCAGAGTTTAGAATCTCATTTCGAACAGAACATTTATATATCATCCTAAAGTTTGGATTAATGGAGTGTTAATTAAAGCGGCCTTTTTCACTGTCTTTACAAAGGAAAAAAAAAAAAAGGGGGAGGAACAATAATTTTTAATCTTACCACTCTGTTGTTTTATTTACAGCTAATTAAAGTAATGATCAGGAATAAATATAACATTATATAATAGTTTTTTTTCACATAACATAAAATAATTGTTTCATATGTGTAATCAAATGAAATTTATGATATTGTAGAATTCAGAATGAAAGCTCAAAATTTAGTTAAGAATTTGGATATATGTGCAAAAGCATATTTTTATGTTACATACGTTATTATTTTTATTAATTATCCTCTATTTAAGATAGAATATCAGAATAAAAACAATGATAGTTATAAAAAGTCTTAGATAAGATCTAAAGTCTGGGGGTTTTAAGATGCATATGCATACAAGAAAGAATAATTTCATTTAATTATTAGCTTAATGTATGATTAATAAAATGTAGTCAACACTTAAAAATTTGTGAAATATCCCAGAAGTCAAAGAAGAAAGAAAAACTGAAATGACTTGTGTTACATTAAATCAAAGAAAAGTAATAGGAAACAATTTTTTTTTAATAGAATGAAGGGAGAAAAATAATGGTATTTTTAAAATTTCCTGAAAATGTATTTGTATCACCACTGAAATTTTTTTCAGAATCTTATGTAGAAAAAATTGCTTTAATTATGTAAGTAGAAAATACAGAACCATAGTATTCAGTGGAAAATTATGAAATAAGCATTCCTGTATAGAGTGTCAAAATTGTTAGTTCTAAGGCTATTGAAGTCAAAGGGCATTTAAAAAGAGTATCTTATTGAATTTAAAGGGAATTTAGATTGAACACCTTATTAGTATTAATATTGCTGCTGAGTGTCTTGAATATTCAATCAACATATACTGGGTTTGTAATTTTTATAAAAATATGGCTATTTGACTGCACATATTGTTATTTTATTTACTTATATTCCAAAAGCTGTTAATTTATTTACTTATATTCCAAAAGCTATGTTAAAAGTTTTAAGTGAAACTGTAAAAATTGGTTTTTCTTGAAAAAGTAAACTTACCTATTCATTTTGTTGATCAAAGATAATGGTTGATAGTAGTATTTTTGGATAAAATGGGTATTTTATCCAAAATTAAAATACTAAGCTTTATAATTAATTTCTTCTCTTTTAACTAAGAAAATTGTGTTTCTTAGAACTAACATTGTTAAGATTGTAAATAAAAATTATCTGATTGTAAATAAAAATTATCTGATTGTAAATAAAAATTAACTGAAAAAATAAACTTCTGTGTAAATTTATGGTAGTGTTTTGAAGTACTTAGTACTAGAAAGTTATCACTTTAAATTCAGTGAAGTTTTCTTAGAATTTGTGTTATTTCTTTCTTTCCTTCTCTCTCCCCACTTATTTTATCATGGCTGCTTCAAGAAATGAAAAATGTGTAAATTGAACTTGATTTGTGAATAAAAAGAGAATTATTTGAATTGTTGTTGAAATGCATTAAATCATATAATAATTTTTTATGTAATTTACCCACATCATGTGAATATAAAATGCAAAACCTGAGTATTCAATGCAGTATTATAGCATAACCTATTATATGTGTAAGTGGTGTAATAAAATGAAATGGAATTAAGTGGAAAAGAGCATATTTTTGCTACTTTATATATAATTTATTTCATACAGAAACATTGCAGTACAAAGCACAAAAACAAAATGCTTATTATAACAGAGAAAGGCCTATAACCTTTGTCACTGTTGCCACTCACTTATAAATAATTAAATAAATAAAACTTACCCCTCAACAAAATTCTCTTAAAGACCACAATATTGTTATAAGTAATTGAATAATTTCAAAATTGATAATTATTTTTAACAAGATTTCCTTATGGGACATGACACAATATTATTGCCATAAGTATTGAAATAATTAAAGACTGAATAATTTCAAATTTGTAGAAGATTAATTAAGAACAATTTTAACCGTATGAAATATCTGTTAATTCAGATCTTGTTAAAGTATTAATTCAAGGTGTTGGATATAAAGGGCAGGTCAGAAGGAATTAATTTTATTTTAATGCAGGGACAGAAAACTTCATTTTTTTTTAAGCAAAATCAGTGAGCAATAAAATCCCTGAATACTTATCGAAGATAATATTAGCAGACAGAAGATAATTTAAGTTCTTTAAATTATCACGTTAAGAAATTTATGTGATGTTTCATCTGTTTAGAATAATTTTCAAAGTTTGATCGTGTTTTGAATAGAATGCTGCATAAGATTTTAAAAGCAAAAATCAAAATTATTTAAGTTCTTTAAATTATCACGTTAAGAAATTTATGTGATGTTTCATCTGTTTAGAATAATTTTCAAAGTTTGATCGTGTTTTGAATAGAATGCTGCATAAGATTTTAAAAGCAAAAATCAAAATTAGTTATATGAAGTAAATAAAGCAGAATTAAACCATAAAAAAATCTAGTGGAATCAATGCTAAAAAACTTAAACAGTATGTTAAGAAACTGTTCAGCATTTAAAAAAAAAAAAAAAAAAGTTGAAAAAAAAGTTTTTTTTTCATAGAATAGTAATTGCCTAATTACTTTTCAAAGCATTACATTCTACTCAAGAATGTGTTGTGCTAGTCATACTCAGTTTTATTGTTTATTTGATATATATGTGAAAACTGAAGTATGTTCGAAATTAATTGCTAGATTAAAAAAAAATAACTATTTTTATGTTGTAATCATTTAGTCAGGTTGCCATAAAAAACTTTAATATCTGATTACTTTTGTGAGAAATTTGTGACTTTTTGAGTAGGGAAGTCTGGAATTTAGTGTGTCAAAGACTATTCATCTATTGTCACAGACTACTCATAAAATGTGTCAAAGACTATATATGTGTTAAAGACTATTCATAAAATCATGATTAATTTAATTCTAGCTCTGCTAGAATAAAAAACATAGAATAGTCTTTGACATACTAAATCCTAAACAGATTATAAAAGATTCACAAATTTATCACTAAAGTAATATGTCACAGCTTTCAAAATTGTTGGGGGGGGGCAATATTGCACCTATAATCATGTGCGAATAAATAACTTTTTATTTTCTTACTTAGCAGCTTTAGCACAAGTATGAGATATATTAAATACAAAAATTACCTAATTTAATTTAGTTCTATGAATATGTGGTGCCGATGTTGAACCCCAGATGGCGCTAAGCTAGAATTTGTCTAGCTGAGCTAAATTAAATTATTTACGATTTTTTTATTTTTCAAAATGAACTGCAGATCGTGAAAAGAGGTTATTTTAACTGTGTATGTAACTATGTAATTTAGTTGTTAATTAATTAGGCCATCTCTTAAATTAAAAAAAAAAAAAAAATAAAAATTAGGCCATAACATAAAAGATTCTAAAAAAATTTTACATTGGGGTTTTTTTTAATGAAATTCTTTAATACATTTTCATAAGCATAGCTTCATATAAAAGACCTCAATTAGTGTCTGACCGCTACTTCAGTGGCTGTGATGGTAGATATAATTTGGGTAAAAAAATTCTGTTTAAAAACAAAAATTTGGTTCTTTTATTTTAATCCCAAAGAAAATCTTGTTGATTTTATCTGTTGGATCTTTTTTTATACAATCTCTCCCCAAATCCCAATAGATATCTATACTTAGTTTTGTATGATTTCTGTACGGAACTCTATGGAAGATATATCTTAAGTTTTATGAAATTCTCTAAAAGGTCTTTGACCTAGTTTATAGAAAATTAGGCCATCGCTTAATAAAAAAAAAAAAAAAAAAAAAAAAAAAGTAAATAAAAATAAAAATAAAAAATTGTCCATAACATAAAAGATTCTAAAAGAGTTTAACATGTTTTTTTTTTTTTTTTTTTAATGAAATTCTTTAAGACATTTTCATAAGCATAGCTTCATATAAAAAAACTCAATTAGTCTCTGACCACTTCAGTTCTATGTAAGTGGCTGTGACTGTAGACATAAATTACGAACAATATGTTTGTCAAAAGCTAGTACTCAAACACCACAATATAAACACTTTTTCTTTCATGGTCCACTAATTGCTATTTGGCATTCCCCAATATCACTTAGAGCTTAAGTTGCCTGCCACTCCAGTGGCCACTGGGGAGGGGGTAGACAGTACATAATAATGATAAATGCATGGTAATGCTGTGAGAATTAAAATGTTTTGGCTTAATAATTTTATAATTAAATTTGACTTGATTAATAACTTATCAATTTGTTAAGTGAAATTACAGGTAATCACATTCAGCAGTTTGTGGATGATATGTGTTTTTTTATCAGAAGCAGATGTTTTTTGATGAGTAGCCATATTATTAAGTTTTATTTTCTTCAGATGGATGATGAATGCTGATCAAGTATCGGAATGGATCTGAGAATCAGGACTTCCTCCTCTGATTCTGAGGGCGAAAACGTGGACTCCAGTGTCAAAATACTTATCAACGATGTCACTCCTTGTGACTCTCGAGAATTCCTTCACCTTTCTGGATCCGTGCCGCATTTTGAAGGAGCCGCCGTAGGAAGGAAGCGCAAACAATCTACTAAAGGTCCTCCTCAGAGAAGAGCTTCATGGACATCTTCACATAAACTGGATAAAGTGGCAAAACTTCATAAATGGTAATATATTTTGTTATTTATTTATCAAGAGGCAAATCTCATCTGTTAAAATCAGTGTGACTTTGCTATTGGAAAAGAAGTCAATACTAATTTATTTCAGCATCTTAATGATCTTTATAATTTAATTTGATTTAGTTTTGAAGTTGAGTCTTTATTTTAATGTGCATCATATTTTTGATTTTACTCATATTTTGCATCTGAAATTATTATCTGAGTTTTATGAACTTGTACATTTCAGCATTTATCATTTTATTACTTCATTTGATTTTATATAGCTGCTGTTCTTTTTAATATATGTTTGGTGATAACTTTTGCTGGTGTATAAGCTGTTTCAATGCATCTAACATGTACTTTGCACATATGACTTTTCAAGTTATGTGCCAAAAACTCCACCATTACCACTATAGCATTAAATAAAAAAGTAAAAATTATTAATAATAAAAAAAGTCTTCTCAACCTTTGGCCTAGATCAAAATGTGACATAGCATTAAATATTTTAGGTGCAGTAAATTTTATTTAGTTGTTAAGCAACTGCAGTATTATATTATGGCTTGAATGCCATTGAGATTACACCCAAACCTTAAATCTCTATTTTTTGTTGTTTTTATCTCAATGCAATTTTAAAATTTGTTTCCTTGGTGTTTTATCCATTGCCAAAGTTTGTTTTCTGGATTTCAAAATATATATTCTGGGAAAATTCGCATGAAAGAATGATGGCACTGTTCTTGCTTATTCTATGTTCTGTATTGCTACATGGACACACTTTAGAATAATCGAGTGGATGCATTTTTACCATCATTAGTCATATATGCTTTTTATTGGAGAGTAAAAATCATGTTGTCACCATTAGCACTTCAAGCTGGGCATCGGTGATGACAGTATGATGTTGTCTCCTTACATCACAGTTTCGGCTGAGAACATGCAGAAAGGAGTACCAGTAATGGCAGTTTTAGACTATCTAATTGTATCTCAAGTTTTCATTGAGATCAGTTAGGAAGGAGCATCATTAGTTATGGTACAAAATTGTCGAACTCTATCCAAGTTTTGATTGATAACATCATGGAGGAAGCAGCAATATTGACAGTAGAAAACTGTGTAGTTCCAGCCCAGTTTTGTTTGCCAATATAGCATAAGATAACTTAATAACAGTGGTGGCGAGGCAAGATTATTTAATTCCATCCCAGTTTTCATGCAGAACATCTTGGAGAGAGTACCGCTGATAACAGTATGAAAGTGCAATTCCATGTTAGGTTTGATTAAGGACATCTTTGAAAGAGCATCAATAGTGGTAGTATAAGACTATTCGGCTTTGTGCCAGTTTCGGAGGATTGACAATAGTTAGATACAGATTTTCCTATTCTGTCCCAGTTATAATTGAAAACAGTTTGGTTGGGAGTGCCTGGAGTGACTGTATGAAACTAACAGTGCAGGATTTATGTATAAGCTATACATGCTATAGCTTAGGAGCCCCGCTTTCTTGGGAGCCTCCCAAAAAACTCCTCTAGGTATCTGAAAATCATATTTGGCACTGACATATAGTATCTGGACTTATAAAGGCCCCTTATCTCAAATAGCTTAGGGCCTTATCAAGTCTAAATCCAGCCATGGAAACTACTCAATTTCATTTCCAGTTTTCATGGAGAACATCTTTTGGGGAAGGAGCAATAAGGGTAATAGTTTGAGATTATTTTGGTTAAGAATACTTTCGAGATTATACCAGTAGTGACAGTTCAATATTCTCCAACTCTTATCAAACTTTGATTGAGAATATCCCAAAGGGTGCACCAGTGATGGCAATATAGTATTATGGAACTCTCAGTTTTGATTAAAAATATAATGACAGGAGCACATCTATGGTCATAATAATAAAAGACTGCTGATCTTCATCCTAGTTTTAATTAAGAATTACATATTGCATCAACACTGGAAGGAGAGTGAGTTGTGACAGTTCAAGATTTTCTAGCTTTATTCTAATTTTGATTAGAACATTCTGGGGAAGAAAAAAAAGAAAAAAAAAAGGAAAAAAAAAAAAAAAAAAAAAAAATGTCAAGGGAGGGAACTGAACAAGGTCTTATTGTCAGCACTGGTATTCCCAGCAGAATTTGGCAGTTAAAAGATTGCCCAGCTCTATCAAGTGAACTTTCTAGTGTAATACCGATACCTGATCAGAGCCAGTGCTGACAGTCTGGTATTCGCCAACTCTGCTCCAGGTTTGATTAAGGAGAAGGCCTGTTCGTGATATCATCTACCTCCAGCTTATTTTTCAGTGATGAAAACAAACCACAAGCCTTGTGATTTCTTGAGAGCATCAGTGGGGACATCACTCAGCTTTGTTTCAATCTGGATTGAGAAAATTCTGCTGGGAATACCAGTGGTGACAATAAGACCTTGTCCAGATCCCTCCTACTTTTGTCTGAGAAAATATTGGAGGAACAATGGAGTGTTGCCCAACTTCATCCCAGTTTTGATTGAGAATAGGTTTGAAAAATGAATTTATGTATTTTCATATCAAGAAAATTGAAATGCTCTAACTGTAGAAGGATGCTACTAATGCAAATATTTTTGCTTTGCTTTGTGTTTGAACCATAGTCTCAGCTTCTGCTATGCATGATATTTATTTGGTAAGCAAAATTATCATTTAAAAATCATAATTTTATGTTTTGGGGGGCATTAAAATTTCTCTTTCTGAAAACAATATTCTTATAGGTCATTTGTTTGGAAATTATCCTGAAGTTATTATTTGATGTCATGTATTCTTTTTTTCTCATTAATATTACTAATTAATGTGAATTATCTTAAAAATATTATTAAGATACATTTTGAATTAAGAATCTCTATATTTTTATTGGAATTTTCAACTTGTTTACATTAATCATAGTTGTATCAAAAAATAATCAAATTTCAATTGTTATATTTTAGTTTTTTTAAAGAAAATTTTTTGATGATCAATTACTTTTCTGTTTCAGCTGGAGTGTAGGTTGTTTGGTACCTGATTCAAGGCAAATACACTGTGATACTAGCAATGATTTATCATTCCATAGTGGATTCAATAATCCTAAAGAAGGAAGTTCAGATAGCATACCTGAAGGCATGAGGGAGAAGCAGAGAAGTTTCTCTGGTAATTATTTTTCCCCCCTTATGAAGATGTCTTTTAAGAACTGTATTAAAAATATCTATGCATAATTCCATTTCTCGCTGAGCTCATGATAGACTATCCTTTGTTTGTTAATGATTCAAGCAGTTCGGTTATCTGCTGCTTCAGTGGCTGTAAATCCTGTGGGAATGAAGGCATGAACACTTTGTCTTTCACACAACCCCACAGGAAAAAAACAGTAAGGGTTTAGATCTGGGGATCTCAGTGGCCAGGAAAGCAATGGCATGTCTGACTCAGCATGGCCAGTTCATTGATGGGATAGACTATGATTCAGGTACTGGCATACATTTTTATGATAGTGTGGTGGAGTCTTGCTGCAGAATGAAGCTGGGAACTATTTCCTTCAACTGAGGAAATAACTAATCTAATAGCATATCTTGGTACATGCACCTGTTAATTGATTCTTCCATGAAGAAAAAAGGACCCAAAACACAGCTGTTGGAAATGGAGCAGAAAACGTTCACCTTTGGAGAATCATGCTAATGTATCATTACACCATAAGATTTCCATGTCCAAAAATTATTAATTATGACAAATAAATTTGCAGAAATGTATAAAGTAGCTTCATCCATCAAACAACAAGCCTGTTCGTGATATCATCTACCTCCAGCTTATTTTTCAGTTTCTCACAGAAAGCTTTAAGCAACAGTTTGATGAAAAGTTTTAACATCTGCACCAATCCGAAATGTATATGGCTGGAATTGTAGATGTTTCTGTAACATAATCCATGCTGTTATCTGAGGCACAATGAGATTAGAACTTGCATGACAAGTTGATTTTGTGGGACTTCGTAAAATTGCTTCATGAATTTTATCAACCACTTTGGTTTGGGCTAATTTTCTTACACAAGCAACCCTTGCTTTGAAACTGCTTTACCCACCATTCAATGTTATGATGATTTGTTGGTTCTTTACCATATTTTGTATGAAATTGTCTTTGAATGACGATAAACGACGACGTTTTGCTATATTCTGAAATATGTGCCATTCTGATTAACAAGGCCTCTAGCATTGATTTTTGTAAAATGAAGATTTTTTGCTGTTGACAGATAAAACTTGTAGTTTCAGAATTAATTTGTTTTAGCTTAATAAATCAGTTATAGAATTTCTACTATGCTATTCTTTTTGTCCCATTCAATAAGAAACACCCTGTATAAATTCTTCCAAAAATGAGAGGAAATTTGGAATTTTTTTCAAAATCTGAAAGAAAGTATAATATTACAAAAATATATAGATCTGTAATCTCAATAAAAAGCATTTCATTTAAGTATATCTCAGAAAATAAAAATTGCTGGTTTGGTGGAGGAGAGGAATAAGTACTGGAATTTTTGTTTTACTTGAAGTACTTTAGCACCCTTATAACTTATGCAATTTGATCAAGCCATGGTTCTGTTTTTCCCTTTTTAGTAAACTGAACTCTAGTGTTCTTTGTCAAAATGTAATTGTTCTATCATTCTTCTTAGAAGGGTAGTTATTCTGTTATTCTTCCGTTTAGAGTTGTAATTGCTTTCAAAAGTAAATAGTGTAGTTAAGATGTCATTCTACTACATTTTAAACTGTACTACTGTACATTTAAAAAAATAACTATTTTAATCAAACTTTTTTTTTTTTTTTTTCAATTTGTGGCATTAAAGAACAATATTTCATAGAAAATTTGAACTATGCCATCATTGGTTTCAAATTTGCATAAAAAAGTTGGTTGAAACATTTTGCTTTTTTATTGTTGGATACTAATATATCCCAGATGTACAATTAATTTACACATTTTTGTGTATAAAACAACACATATGATGTTTTGCTGGTATCATTATTATCATCGCTGCTATTCCAGACAGTTTTTCTTACACCTTTTATATTTTCTGTAGGCTGTTTTGTTGAATACTGATTTTTTTTTCTGTTAAACATCATGTCCACCAAAGTTTTTACTTAGGCTTTGTTTTCATAACCCTTTGTGGTAGACATGTACTTCTATTTACAGAAATGTTTTCAGTGACACAAAGATTCAAGTTTTTATATTTTTACATAATAAAAATATTATTTTGTATAAAATCTGAAAACTGACATTTTATATGTGCCTACAGTTCCTATATTTATATTTAGGAAACTGTTATCTTATCTCCTCTACAAGGAATAATTTTTTAAATATAAACAATAATAAGTATTAAATGAAGTATTTGCCACATAAATTTGCCCTGAAAAAAAAAATGCTCATACCTGTGGAAAAGTCGATGGTGCATTCATGCAACATCAGTGGAATAAGAATACAGATGTTTAGTGCGTATGGTTGTATTTGTGTAAATTTTTCTCTGAGTGGAGCACTGGATTACTTTTTAACTGTATAGCATTTTATAAATCTACAAATCACTTTACTTGTAATTAATTTAATATTAAAATTTACAATATATTTCTTTCACAAATACAGATTATTTTCAGTCAAAAGATTCAAGCATGAAAAGCTTCACTACAGTCATGATGCAAAGTTACATTACATACTTTGCGTCTATAAACAGTCTGGCTATGGTATTCTTTACAACAGTCTTCTGTTATCGTTGGACTTTATGGTAAAACATCCACCATCCACGTGCAATGGCTTTTGAATGATGACTTTACTAGATTTTCTCATTATTGATCTATTTCTGGCTAACTCTCCACTCTCGGTGAGAGTTTACTAAAGGAATAATACAATGTCTTGTCTGAAATCTAAAAGAGACTTTTTGTATCCAGTAGTAGGAAGTTGTGATATTTTCCATGCTCTTTTCGAGGATACATCAATGTAGTTAGTAAATATTGGCTAACACCATTTTTTGCCACTAACTCTTATCTTGTAATTGGTTACTAAATTGTTGCATAATTTGACTCTCCCATTCTGGCATTGTATTGTTCAATAAGATAAGGTTGGGATCGAAAAACTTTTATTCTTTGCATTTTTGATTAACGGGAAACACATTTTGTGGGCTGAATTGTTCCAAATCTTGAACCCACTGTTACAACCAAATTTTCATTCCATCAGACAAAAAATGTTTTGTTTTTTCTTCATACTGGAAATTATAGTAACTTCTGTCTTTCTTATGAATGCATTCACCATTTCTAGGGAGCACATTTGTATACAATTTTCTTGAATTATTCCTGTAGTACTAAAACCTTTTCTTTTTTAGATTACAGAGATAACATGATGTAAAAAAGTTATTAAAGTAAATAATAGCATGATTGGTGGGAGTTTCAACAACACTGAGCAAATTTATTTCCGCACTTCCACCAAGATCAAATTCTTCATATTCTGTTAATTTTGGATCTGTCAACTAACGTGAGTAAATATCAAAGTTAAACATGTATCCATCAGATTATGCCAGATTTCTCCCTTTTAAAATTATCTTTTCCAAATGTTTGCTTCGATAAGCAATCATTTGTTCGTCAGTACTCAAATTGTGAGAAAATATTCCTAATTGTTGGAATTCTCTATTTCCTAAGTTTAGATAGTCTCACCTTACATAATCGACCAGTGTTGTCAATTTGACTGTTGTCACCTAAATGTAAATTCTGCTTCGTATTCCTGTGCTGCAAGGGTGATATTGATGCTCATACAATAGCAATAGATATGTTCTTATAAAGAGACCAATACATTTCTTATTGAGGTAAATAATGATATCCCGTAAGCAATAATATTCCAATAAAATCTTCTCTTGGCTTCAAATGCAATAAATTTTGGGCAACTTTTTTTGCTGAGCATATATATTTGTTTGTTCAAAAATAAATGTCTAAACCAAAAAGGTAAAAAATCTCTGCACTAGTTTTACCTTGTACTTTGTCTTTTATATCTTCTATTTCATCTTTTTTTTTTCACTTTTTCCCTGAGAAATAGCTGATGGATCCTTTTTTATCCCTTTCAAGTTTTCAGTTGACTGTTTTTTGAGATATTTCGTGTGATTAGCACTTTATTTAAAAGGCTGAAACTTGCTTCTTACATGAGCTTCGACTTCCCCAGCAGTATCATTTGGTAAAATATCGTTATCATTATTCAAAACATTATCATTCCCTTTTTCTTCATCACTAACATCTGCAATTTCTGGTGGAACAACAACAATATCAGTTTCATTCTGGTTATCATCATCTGTTTCTTCATCAAAAAAACTTTGGAGGACTTCTTAGGCATAGCATGTTAAAGCACAAGTAAAAAAAGGAATATCCTTTTCTCGCTGACATAGTGCCAGTGCAAAACCTATTTTCTCTTCCATCCACACACAAATACAAACAGCCGAATGATAGAACATTCTGATAAGTGGTGACCTTGGCTAAAAATAGATCACCTCTAAAGCTGGCAATCCTTTCTTTAAATGTTTTTGGGAAAAGTATCTGATTGAAAGTTTCACTTAAATTTTGCTTCAAGTAGAAGATTTATTATTATAAATAAAATTATTGTTGAGGACAAATATTTTTTAATAGAAATAACCTTCATAATATTCCCTACACAAATTCATCTGCTAGTATAAAATATCTTTGGTGGTGTGGTGGTGGTGGTGTATTTAATTATGGCAAAGTACACTAGGGCTGTCTGCCTAAAGGGAGGGATGCCTTCATGGAGGACTTTCTAAGGGAAACTGGCTCGTATACATGTTACACATGGGGAAAACCATGAAAACACCCATACAGCCAGCCCGTTCGCGGGATTCGAACCTCGAACCGAACTACCAGTGTTCAGTGACTTTACCACTCGGCCGCTGGTGAGCAAAAATATCTTTGGTAGTTATATTTTTATATATATCTATTTTGAACACTGTGTCAACACAACAGTTAATAGGTTCATACTAAATATGTCATTCAGTATTGATTTGTCTTACAAGAGTCAAACTTCTTGTGTTTTACTTTTTTATGATGAGTACAAAATTTTGCTAAATGTAACTATAGAGACCAGATGAAACTATAAAAAATTGGATTTTGTAATTTTTGCAAAATTAACTTCGTTAAGTTCAAGAATGCCAATGACTGAATCTTTGCATCATTTCAAACATTTAGCAATTAGAAGTATATATCTATGACCTATGGTTGAGAAAATGAAAGTTGGGTAAATACTTCTGTGGACATGGCATATACTTTTCAATCATTTTTCAGTAAACAAACGACTTTTTTGAAAGGGGATTAATGTGTAACTAGGTTAATTCACCCAATATTCACATAATTTCTCTTTCCTTTTTTATTAGAGTTGCGATACATCCCATATATATGGGATGGTCACCTTATTTCACCACTCAGTTCTGTATTACTACTTGTCCCATGTTCTCCCTAAATTTTGCACGAGGTAGCTGTTGCGGAGTGATGCAGAGACTATTGAAACTGACACTGTTTGGTGTGAAACCATTTTGTCACTGTTTCTGGGGCTAGAATTTCCAAAGATGAAGCAGCACCATTGTTCTCTCGGTCATTCTAAAAATTTAATGCATCCGACTGAATAACTCTAAACTAAGCTCTTGGAAGGGAAGAAATAGAACTTACTATTGTATTTTACAAATAAGAAACATTGATATTAACAACACTAAGATTCTCCTCAACCTATTTGTATATCTAAAAGATTATTCAGAGAAAGGTAACACCAACAAAAACTGCAAAGCATCTATGAAATTCAGTAGGGAAAAGAAAAGGTCAAAGATTTTTTGCAGATACAAAGTAAAATAAACAAAAGTCGTCTAAAAAAACTGTTTGCAAATACTGTTTAAAACTGCAAATAGTATGGAATGGAGCTTTGAATAAGAAATTCTATCTGTTTACAGAATTAAAGAGAATGTTTTAGTACAAAAAAAGTACTTCAACAACTTCCATTGAAAGAAATGTTTAATAAATAAGTAGATATTAATTTTATAAACAAATAAATATTAAGCTTTTCTTTTGTAAATTTTGTTACCCTTTACATTATAATGTATTTTGCAGTAATTGGCAAAATAGGCAATCTTCTTAGTAGAACATAAATTTTATTTTTAGTTCACGGGGATAGATAATTTGAAAAAATTTTTTAGCGGCAAAACTTTTATACTACTACTAGTTGGTAAAAACTTCAGAATCTAATTTTTAAAACAATTTCTCACGTTGATGAGCAACGGTTACATAATACAAATATGGCGTTGCCACTTCAACAGTAAATTAATTAAATAAATAAATTTATTAAATAACAAGATATTACAACATCATAAATGCTTCATTATTTCATAAATCACGATTTCATATTTTTAATTCTATAATTTCTACATGTCATCTTACTAGTTTTAAATTGATGATCAAGTATCTGGAAAAATCTCAAATCCGGAATCGCCGAAGTCCCGACGAGTCTGGATCTCGGACTTTGGACTGTACTAACTGATATGGACCTAAAATGTCTACTATAATTTTGCTTCAGATCGTATACTTTTTTAAATTATAGCCAACTCATTTTTATAAAAGAGAAACTGAAAATACTAAAATGGTTAAAATGTTGTTGGTAATGATAAAACAAATATAATTCATGAGCTGAATAAAATCAAAATTTGGACTTATGTGTCTTTATAATAATTTATTATTTTTAGGTACTCAATACTATTTATGTTTTTCTCATTGTAGCGGGCAGCAGGGAGGACGTTTTTATGTTTTGTAACCAATTACAAGATTCTGTTCAGAGCATGAGTGATATGATGGCTGGTGCTAGTTGCCACACGTTGTCTACTGGTATGATGGAGGTAAGTTAGTTCTGCTGTTTTCAAATGTAGTGTAATGAAATTTGTATAATCCATAGACCTTGGTACTGAGGTTTGTGCAGATTAGTGAATTATGCAGATTATAGGAGATATCTGAGGTTTGTTTATATTTTTCCTTTCAAATTTTTACATTAAATTTGGCCAGGATTGGCAAATTTCTCCCACAGTGCGAAAAAAACCTCAGAAAAGTGATCAGAAGAAACAGGTTTCTTTCACTAAAACTGGAAAAAATGAAAAAACTTTATTTTTGAAACTACTGTAGCTCTATTTTATTCATATGTAGCACTATTATGTTACTAATTTAAATATTGTCATTTTATATATAATTTCAGGCAGATGAAACATTATATTTAATTGTAGAATTCATGTAGCAGTAATTTGAAACACTCAAAGATAAACTCATCATAATTATGCGTCTTAATCCCATTGTCGCTATCTAGTCAAAAATTCATAATTGTTGGATCTAATTTATTTATGCCTCTGCTTAAAAGTGAGGAATTTTCATGTAACACCACCCAGTTTGTTTCATTAAATGTTCTAAAGCTGCCACCACCTTTATGCAAATAGGCAAAGTTTTACCAAGAATAATCAATATGACCTTTCCTGCAACTGAATGCAATCAAGGCAGTGAATAATCTTCATATTAGGTGGGAGAGCCTTTTAGTATCCAGAAAGAGATTAGATCTCCAAAAGAGGGATTAGATCAAATTCACTTGCTGTGTTACGAGGGCCTTAATCCCACAATGCAGACTTAAATAAATAAATAAATAAATAAATAAACCTCTGTTCTTAGCCTCCAATGCTGAACTGGGCCACCAGGCGCCCATCCTTCACCTTGGGTATTGGAGACTACCAAGAGGGAAGGCGAAAACTATAGAGGCCATGTTTCTGGCCATCACATTACCCCATGCGGATGGCCTAAACCAAGACCATTCTAGACAGCATTAGCTGCCCTTTTTTGCCATAGGAACCATGTCCATGCTGTTGTGCCTTCCCCCCAGAGCTGCTACTGTCATATTAAAATAGTAAGCCAGTGTATGCAACCACATGGAGTTGCCAAGAATGAGACCTTTACTTGGGTATCTTGGCAGTCTTGATAAAAGTTGCTTACTTCATGATACTGAGGGTGCTGGCACCTTTGTGCATTTATGTCATAGCACCCATGTGTTTTGACAAGCGATGGTCAATTTAAAAATGTACTAGCTCCCATGCATGACTTGGTTCCTGTTCATGAAGATTACGATCTTCACTTGAGCATGCTGGCTGCATTGATGCTTTCCTTATAACATTGAATTTCATAATGGTTCTAGTACTTTTGTGGACTGTCAAAGCACCCATGTGTCTTAGTGACTAACAGTTAACCTGAAAAAAAAAAAATGCTGGCATCTATATGCAAATATTGGTGCTTTGTTTATAAAGATTAAGAGATTCATGGACATCCTGGCTGCCTTGACGGAGTTTGATTACCTCATGGCGCTAAATTTCACAATGGTGATACCACCTTTATGCTTTTTTACTACAAACTCTTATGTACTGTTATGTGTTAGCAAACAGTAGGCAAATTGAAAAGAGTGCCTGGACCTTTTCAAGTTGCCTACACTATGTAAACCAACCCCATCTGCCTCTGACTTGTTTAAATCTGCCCAAATGGAGAAATATGTATATATCTGAATGATAAAAACAGAATGTTAAAAGGGGTGCCATTTTATATTTATTTAAATCTTTGTTTAAACATTGTACCACCAAAAGTAATATAATGTATTATTAGTGGTACATCTATTACATTTTGAAAAATCCTGGTTTAGATAAATAGGATTCTGCTTTATTTAATACAGGGAAGTAAATCATATCAATGCCTTTTCTGAAACTTTAATGTAAAGTTTAAAAAGCGTTCTTGTATGGGTCATCGTTTCCAAAATTAAATTTCATATTTTTTTTCCAGCCTAAAGTTGCAAAGAAGCATTCTTTAGCTGCTTTAACTGGCAAAAGTTCTTGCAAAGAATCGTGGCTGATTGCTCCACGATCGACCCTCCAAAAGTCAGTTTCGACGCCTTCAATCGTTGCTGCTCAAGAAATCCAAGACATTGGTATATTTCAAATGTTTTATTCACTATTATATTATAATGGAATGGGAAATAAATTAAAATGTGCATTTTCATATTTAAGGTTTTTAATTACAAACCTTTTTTAGTTATAATTTGATGAATATTTGTTATAAATACACTGCTTGTAAAAATTTATGATTAATATAAAAAAAAAATGCTCATTGATTACTTTTTAACCAATGCCCAGTGTTGTAACTATGTTAAATATATACAACTGAATGCAAAATTGGACTTCTGCTCACAGATTAGCACATAAAATATACCAATTATGCTACTGACAGCATGATGCATTTATTAATACATGTCAGAATTATGATCAGTAATATCATTGAAAGTGAATGTGATTTCTGAGAGTAATCAGTATTCATTAGTTAGGCTCATGGGCAGCTTTGAAGTGAAGGGCAAAAGTGGTGATTAATGGTAGAATCAAAGGTGAAAAATATATGCAGAAATTGCTGAATATTTAAATATTCCTCAATCTGCTTTTATCAACAAAATGGAATTGCATTTTTAAGTACTGAATCAGTTAGGAAACATCCTGGTCAACAGCAACAACTGCATTTGAAGACCATTTCTTGTCAATGTCAGCTCAAAGAAACCATCAAGCAACTATAAGAGGTATTCAGGCTTCCTCATGAACTTAAATTAACCATTCTAGTATTGTACAGAAGCTTCACTGGGTTGGACAGTATAGCAGACAAGCACTTGTTTGTGTTCCATTCACATCATCTTTTAAAGGGGCCCATTTAAGGTAGTGTCAATGGTGCCAAGAGGAGTGGGCCCATATACTGTTTACTGATGAGTCCAAATATACCCTAAATTGTAATTCCAAACGTATTTTGATCTAGAAGGAGTAAGAGAGCTCACAATTTGCTTGCTTTCTCTTATTCATATAAGATCCCCTTTCTGTTGAAATGGTTCCTTGATATGGGTAGGAATCGTAACAGTTATTGTATTGAGCTTCATGTCTCTGATGGAGGTTTTGTAACTGGGCAGATATATGTGGACAAGACTTTGGAATTGATGTAAGGCTATTTAAGGTTACTTTGGTCCAGAGCTTTTGCTAATTTGATAGATCCTGCTTCTGAGTATTCTGATACCGGAGATTCTTGTCTTGATCAAGCATCCCCGATATCAGAATACTCGGAAGTAGGATATATCACTGGAATGGAGAAGCACACTAAATCACCAGATCCTATTAATCAGGCCATTCAACTGCAGGGTGTGGAATGTCTCTTTGGACACTCGGGGTTACAAAAAGTGCATTTCGTTTCATTTTTTGAATGTAGGTAAAAGATTGTCAAAAGTAGAAGTCCAACAGACCATCGTCCAGAAACAGATGGGAAGCAAACAGATGTCTTCTTTGGAATCATTGATGTTAAACATTTGAGCTTGATATTTATTTTTAATTTACCAGAAGGTATTTCTTTTCTATGCTAAATAAAATTTTCTAAAAGCAGAGGTCCAACAAGCTACTAACAAACATTGACATATAAGACTATTTGTTGCATCTTTGTTTGGGAACCATTCATGTATGACATTTGGGCGAAATACTTCTAATTTTTTTTAGTCTGTCTGTTTAATTTATGTGATATATTTCTTTAAATTAATACCAGGTTTTTTGGGGGGATACTGAGTAAAATTTTCCAAAAGCAGATGTGTAACAGATTATTTGTAGAGCCGTTAAGTTTATTGTGAGGCAAGAAACATGAAAAATGTGCAGTACCTTTGCCAGGATTCAAACTCCAAACCTCCCGATTGCCAGGCAGACATACTTTCATTTACATCATGTACTGACTAACAAACATTAACATATGCATATTGTTCGTTGAATCATTAGCATAAAATAGTATACATACCAATAGCATATTGTTAGCATATAATTTGTTTTAGGAACTGCTAGCATCCAACATTTAAGTTAGCTATTTTTTACTTTTTTTAGCTTGTTGACCTGTTTTTTGGAAGCAGTAATATACAGCATTTGATATAAATGCTTTTTTTTTTTAATTACTGCCATATATTTGCTTATTTGCATAGTCAGTAGAATTTTTCGCTATGCAGGCCCAGTAGACTATTTTTTGGATCTGTAGGCATACAAGAATATTCAGCCAAGATACTTTTTTTAAGTCTTCTGATACTCCATTTTTGCAACCATCAACTTATATCATCTTAGTTAGGTTATAAGATCTATCTCTTCTATTCTACATAAACTAAACTAGATCCTACAGTGAACTTGGCGAATTCTCGCACAGGTGTAAATGAAATACCAGCATAGAAGAAGGATGCAGAACAGAAATTCATGGACTTTGTGCTTTACAAAGAACACCAACCACTTGTGGTGGAACTTAAGCATGGAATATAAATAATTGAAATCTAAAATAGAATAGTGCTGGATTAGGACATTAAGTTATGTCTGACTTAGGTTGACTCGATAAAAACCTAACAGGCATGACGATAATCCAAAATGGTCAAGGAACGTACAACATGAAAACATGCTCTGAATAAACTCAGAGATTCACCCATTTAATTCTCACTTCACTTAACTTTAAATTTACAACCTGGCGAGGAAATGCAAGGGAAGTTGAGGAGTTCAGGAAAGGTATCAAACTTAAAATAATTTGTTATGCAAAATATGTAAACCCTACAAGGTACTTTTTGTTTTTAAAATTATTATCAGATATTTCTTTTGGATGCTAAATAAAATTTTCCGAAAGCAGAGGTGAAGCAGACTAATTATTGGGACCATTAACCCCTTAAGGCACACATTAATTTCTAATTTTCGGTCAAAAAATCACCTATTTTTTTTCTTGCATAATCATGCCAGGGTTAGCTTCAAATCGAAATCTCGGTGATGCAACGTTTGGTTGATTTATACTAATTTGATACCAATTCCTTGCTATATCCAAAATCTCGTTGTCATTATCTTCCATCACTCAAGAAATCATCACTCTCATTGCTGAAACTGTCTGATAAATTGGCATATTCAAAATTGTCATCGTCAGAGTCACTCATTATCAGATAACTTTTTTTTAAATTACAAAAACACTTAGTAATATAATTTGCAGTTAACTGCTTACTTTTATTATATTTATGTAATAAAAATGGATATATTACCTTTTCCACACCAAACGACTACTTTATAGCAAAGAATTCCTAGCAAACTTATAGCTAATCATCAAAATGCGCCGCGTGGTTTACACAAGAAAAATGCTGAATAGTGGTGCCATCTATGTCAAATAAGTTTAATTATAATCTAGCCTATTTATTTTTACTGGAACGGATTTCAGACAAGCATTAGAAATTAAATTACGCGAGATACAAGGGCGTCCGTGTGAGACACGGGCATGTGCAAATTTGCCGGAAACTTTCGCTCGTGTGAGACACGGGCAAATGCGTTAAGGGGTTAAATACAATATTTGAGCTAGACACTTTTTTTTTATTCTGTTGAATCTCTGTTTTTATAATTATTAACATTCAATGTGTGAGCTTGATACTTTTAAAAAATTGTTATCTGATTTTTCGTTTGGAAGCTAAATAAAAGTTTACTATAAACAGAGGCCCACAGACTTTTGTCTGTTGAATCTTCTCTATTTTCGGGACCGTTAACGTATAACATTTAAATTCAATTTTTTAAAAATTACTATCATAAAAATCTTTTGGGTGTTAACTAAAATTTTGTCTAAATTAGAAGACTAATTTGTTGAAACTTTGTTTTTAGAACCATTAACATGCAATATTGAAGGTAGATCTATCTTTCTTTATCTTTCATTTTTTTTTTTTAAATTACTGCCATGTATCTCCTTTAGATGGAAAATAAAAGCTTGGCCTGATATTTAATGCACATTCAGATGCATTAAAATTATGCAACTCTTAAATTTTAGCAAATAATTGTGTTATTTATAATTAATAATTCTTAAAATTCTGTACTTCTATAATTAGTAAAATAATAAATTGCTCATATTTCTTTTTACTTCTAACTTATTTCACCGTATTTTGTTGACATCACCGTTTCTATCTCTTATAGCTCGTAGAAGAGATGGAAGAGACAGGTATTTTTTTTATTCTTTTAAATGTAATTTTGAATTGCATTATAAAACAAGAAATTTTGTTTAGTATGATATGTGTAAAATGTCTTGTATTGTGCATGTATTTTATTTAACATTTCTGCTAAGCACTGTGCATGATATGAATGTATGAAAATTTTTGTATCTTTACAGTGAAATGCATGTGTAACTGCACCTCTAATAAAATAAGTGTACCCAATTCTCTTATTATGAATGCTTTTTTTTTAAACACAATTTTAAATGAAAAATTTTTAAAACACCTATTTGAATTTATTTATAAAAAATAGTTTTAAGACTGAAAAAAAAAAAAAAAAAAAAAAAAAAAAAAAAAAAAAAAAAAAGTTTTTAGAGTTTATACTAATTATGAAGATAGTGTATTTGTGATTCCCCTTCCTTCTTTTTTTAAAAAAGAAGATTTTATTCTGCAGTGTGCTAGAAGTACATGTAGATATTTTGTGCAGTAAAATCCACGTACACACACATGCACACAAAGAAGATATATACACAGTTCTGTGCAAGTTAATGTGAACACGGTTGATTTTTAGGTATTTTGATTGAAATATTGGAAAATTACTACAATATGTCACATTTAACTTGCTTGACGTGTTTTGGCATAGATTTATCAGGTTTTGGGGCATAACCTATACTTTATCATCAGGAAACCATATTTGGATTAAAGAGGAAATCATACTTTCTTACTTGTACAGTTCATTTTCCGCATTCATTCCTCTAGAATTGCTCCCTAGTTTTCGATTAGATTGTGATTGGGTGAATTTCCTGGCCAATCTAAAAGCTTAATATCATTTTCTTCTATAATTTTTCACTTTTTATGACATGTGGCACGAAGCAAGGTGTTGTTGGAAAATGCCGTACGCACCCCATTGTCCAGAGTTCCTTTGTCTTAGGAATTAGTGTTGTTTTAATAACTTCAAAATATATTTGTCAGAATTTGTCATTCCATTAGTTAGCAATAGTGATCCTGGCCCATGAACTTAGCACTCCCAAAATATTTTCTTAATAGGGTATTTCGCACACTGGTCATTATGTTTAGAAGACAGTTTCTCACTCTGTAATTTCCTGATGTAGCAAAATCTGTGACCTTGCACAAGGAAATAGGTTTCATCTGAAAAGGAGACATTTTCCCATTGTAATTTCAATCCATTTTTTCATATTTTCTTGCCCATGGTAGTCTCTCTTTCATCCTGGCATAGTTAGAAGTTATTTTTTATGATGGACAGCCTTAATACCAGGGGATACCCTGTCTTTTCATAAAGGGCATGCTGTTAAACATGGAATTTAATTAGTGAAATTCAAAGGAGCTCAGAAACATAAAATTAATCAGTCTTAAAATCAAATATTCATTACACTGTGTTAATAAGAAGGATTTAAGGAAAAAACATTATGCCCAGCAGAACCTAAAACGGAACCATAAATTGCGTTTCAGGGAACGAAATGACAATCAGTCTCTTCTGTGTAGCTGCGGAGCTATTGCTTACATGTGAGCTGAAATTGAGGGCTTCTGATTGTTAAAGTCTTTATCATCCCTTTTCCTGTCATAACTTCTGAGGTTGAAGTGCACATGCAATACAATCCATACTAAAATTTTCCGTTGCTAATGCTGTCCAGTCAATAGCATGCAAAGTTTTCTTGAAAGGGAATAAAGTGAACATGCAGTACTTGTCATCGATTGAATTATTTTGTTATTGAAGTGGTGAATTTGGTTATTTGATCTTCAGTCTAAGCAATTGTTCGACACTAAACATCAACTGAAAAGAAGAAAAGAGAAAAATAATTTTATTTTACTAGTACAAGTACTAACTAGAAGTACTAACTAGAAAATTACAAGTACTAACTAGAAAATTTTCTTCAATTATATATTTTGCTCCAAATTTATAGAAAAAGTATTCCCCTTACAGAATAATTCATTGTCGTATAGAACTTTGAAAGTAATAATTGAACCTTAAATTAAATATATAGTACAATGCAAACCTCACAGCTGACACATTGATAAACAGTAATAAATTCCTCTAAATTCAATGGTAAAAACAATGAATATTCTCTCCTTCTAGCTTTGGTGCCAATGCTTGCAAGAGTGGGATGTGTGTCAAATCCCTGCAAATTATTTCTGTTGTGGGAAGAAGGGAGATATTCACTTTATATGTTGTAAATGTTTTTTCGACTGAATGCAGATGCTATTTAGCATGCAAATTCCTTTTGCAACAAGGAATGAACAGAACACAGAAACAGAAAGTGGACAATATGTTTCATTTTAAATATGACTCTAAATTCCATGATTCAATGTATAGCTACAAATTAAAAATAGTTAATATGGATTTGTTATGATAGAGTTAAGCAAAAAATTATTTTTTATCGAATAAATTTATAGGCATACGCCACATACATTGCATGCCTTAAGATGATACCATTGCTTACAACCAGCTTCTAATAGCTTATGATGAATAATAGAGTCATGAACATGAACTCCGTTTCTGCTAAATTTGTTTGAAGGTCAAAATTTGTCAGCCTAGGATTTTGTTTGGATTTCCTTGGTGTCGGTTTTTTGTTTTCTTCCGCACTTCCCTTTCCATGGGATGATAAACTGCTTGTCTCATTAAACCATCTAATAATTTCATTAACAGCATCCAAACTTATAATACACACTTACTGTGGTCCTCTGTATCATAGAAGAGTGTTCGTGTAATGTTACTATCTAACTTATTTTCTTTAGAGTGAAGATCATAATTTAAAACTTGTAATACAGCTTTTTCAATTTGTAATACATGTATAATACAGCCTAAAAGGACAATTACCTTAAGAACAATATCACCTAAAAGTACTACAACTTTCTGACCCCGCACTTCACTTATCTATTCTTAGCTCAATGACCTCGTCTCCTTTTACCCGACCACTACAAGGCTCTCATCCTCTATTCTCATTGCTTTGTTACAAATCTAGCTACCTTTCCCGAAGACCACCTCCAAGTGAGTCGCGCTTCTGTTCTTGTCGCCATAGCAACCATTCACGCTAGTCGTGTGCCAGTTGTTAACTCTTTCTCCTCTTGACTACTGTGTGCGCATCGTAGTGTGTATGTGTGGGTCTAATTGCCCTTCTATTGTGGCTAACCACAAGTAATTATCTCCTTTGTCCAACAAAGAGGACTTCTTATTGATCTCTTAACTTCAGCCCATCTGCTTCTCTTTCATTATCTTTAACAATTACTCACTCTTATTCAATTCATTTTCTATTAATGATGATGTGGATGTAATTGTATATGCAGTCAAAAGTCTTTAATCCAGACGTCCATAATCCGGAATGATCTATAATCCAGACCTCAAAGCGGTAAACTTTCTGCGCATGTGCATATGCCTTTATGCATGCGCATAATATGTTTACGCATGCGCATTTAATGCATAATGGACGGTATAAGCTAAGCTAAAATTATCTAATTATCTATTTCAGTTAATGTTGCAGATTACGTTGTTCCTTAATCTTCTAATTGGATCCGGCTTATTATTTTTTGCTGACTGTTACAGCAATTTTATAAAAGTAAGCTTGAACTTTCGATTATGTCAAAAAGAATTTCTAATTCTGGAGCTGCCAAAGGATCTACAAAGCGAAAGCATGTTTCGATGTCCATCAAACAAAAAGTAGAATAGCTGCAAAAAATGGACAAAGGCATATCCTTTGTTTCTGTAACCATTCCGAAATCTGTTTATCAATTTCATGCTGCTCTGCTGCGGGGAAGGGGGGGGGGGAATGTTGTGGCGCGCAATGGGTTGGAAGTTGATCTGTCAGCACTATCCTTATCTTCAGGGCAGATATTTTTATTTTATTCGGCTTATAATTCCTTACTAAATGTAGTATTTCATCTCGATGTACTCCGTCTTTAATATGATTTAAAATCATATCATATCAAATTTAGTCAAATTCCTCATCATTATAAATATCACGAATACACATCCAATAGTTTTCTGGTTGCAATTTTCTAATTTCAACTATGCGTAATGTATGCTTTACGCATGCACCGTTGAAAGAAATGTTTAATAAAGTAAACAAATAAATATTAAGCTTTTTTTTTTTTTTTTTTTTTTTTTTTGTAAATTTTGATACCCTTTAGATCATAATTGCTCTTTATTTCATAAGTTAAGGTTTCATATTTTTAATTTTCTAATTTCTGCATGCCATCTTACCAGATTTAAACTAATGATGTATATTCCGGAAAAAAACCGATATTCGCCGGAATCGGCGAAGGCCAGACGAGTCAGGATTAAAGACTTTTGACTGTATTAGAAAAAGTGCTCTCTAACAAAATGCCTTGGTCCCGAAAGTAATACAGTACTAAAGAGTAAACAGGTGTGAATAACTGTAGTTAAATATCAGCTGTAAATTAGGCCTGCCAAACTCAAGAAATCAAATGATATGAAAATTCCCTATTGGTCATATTAATTTGCACACTACTGTGGGTGTGTATATGTATATATATATACATACACCAAAAATATATATATATATATATATATATATATATAATCAGAAAGGATTGAGATTTCAATATCATACCAGAGGGTTTGTTTATGGTTTTTATGCTTTTGCTAATCTCTGAATTTGGCAGTCTGCTCTTAGACCCCTTCCTGTTAACACAACTTTTATTTTATGTCTTTTTAATTTTTCCATTAAACATCACTTCCCACTCTTCACACTTATGCCACACACAATTCAATAGCAAAATTGCAAAATTTTTAAAAGCAGCATATTTGAAAATTTCTGATGAAGTGTTAACATTTGCCACATATTTTTTTCAGTCTTTTGTGTGTTCATTGTGTCAGTGCTCAGTTTTTTTAGTAAGATGTCTTACATAACTTGTTTGTCTTTTTATTATTATCTATATTTATTAAACATCATGTTCTTCAGGCTTATGTCACATAAAATTCAGCTGCAAAATCACAGAATAGTTAAAAACGGCATAATTTGGTGTATTATTTCTTTAAAAATAACACAGGGCAATAATATTTGGTGGCAATATCCTTTGAAAAGTGATCCCACCACCCGTTGAAGGGGTAGGTAAAAAATATATAACAGAAAACAAATTACATCTTTTTAGAAACGTCCAGAACAGCTTGTAGATGTGTTACAACACTCGTAAAAATCGAAGTCGTGGATTGTATTGTGAGTGAAGCATTAATGGGAACATATACTGTCCAAGTACTGCAAAAACTAGAAAAACATATTCCATAATTTTTACCATTTTTCATTTAAAATGTGTTAAGTTTTTATTAACTTTTAAGTTTTTATTTACAGTGTTTAATGCCATTAATATTTTATTTATTTGTGTGTCCTTTTTTGTAATGCATGCATGTTGAGTTTCAGTTCTGTGTTCGCATGTTTACTTTTGGTAGTTCGTTCGGAAGAAATCGCTTCACGATTCATAATGTGAGGAACTCTTGTATTGAAATAATGCATGAAGATGAGGAACCAGAGGAAATTAATATCAAAAGGATAAGCAGTTTTTCATTGGCTAATCTCCTTAGAGAGTAAGTTTTGTTTTCAAAATTCACATGTTGCAGAACTTTCAACATGTAGACTCTATAAACTAGAAAATTCAATTATAATCCATATCACATGCTAGTTTTATTTTACCTAGGAAAAAAAAAAAAAAAAATGTTTATAGTCCCAGAAATTCTATTTGTAAGAATTATAGAAAATATAGTAAAAGTAAAAATTGTTTTTTAATTGTTTTAGCTGTATTTGGTGTTTTTTTTAGCTGTATTTGGTGTTGTGCATTTAGGGAAAAAAATTCTGATGCTAAGAGATTGCATTTCTTGCAGCTTTATGTAAAAGTATTAATGTAAATTTTTTTAAAAAATCTGGAAATAGTAATTGCAGAATCTTACAGAATTCATGTTATGGAAAACATTAGCAGAATTAATATTGGTATGCAGCTGAATCTTAATATTAATTTATAATGAAAACTATTTGTAGTTTAATGAATTTTTGTGCAATTACCAGCTCATGATTCTAATGTAATAGTACTTTATGAATGTTAATAACATATTTTTAGACTTTGAAAATGTATAAATTACTGGCACAAAAATTCTTCCAGCATATCAAATGTAGCAAAAATGTAAATTAAAGACACTGCTAAATCACAAAAGAATATCATTGAATGCCATTATATATTTAATCTCAAATGATTCTAATTTATTTATTAACCAACCGCTCAGTGCTAACTCAAAATGATGTCAGAAATAACAAAATTTGAAATTAAATATCTGGATCAATTTGTGTCATATGGTAATCACACTTTTTGTGTTTTAATTTTCATAGAGAGTATAACGCTTTTCTAAATATAAATATAAGGACTGAAGAAATGTATAAAAAATTAGATATAATGATCTTTACAAAACTCATTTCAGTAAATTTTAAAAGCCAAAACCAGAATTTGTTCATCATTTAAAACATTTTTGTAACTGGAAGTCTATGTCTAAGGCCAATGGTTGTGAAAATGAAGGCCTGGTAAAAACTGCTGTAGACATGGTGTATATTTTTACTGTAGTTTTTTCTGTATACTACAATATTTTCTTTAAGATGAAATATATTAATCTTTGATTAAATGAATTGCCTTTTTTCAGAAATGTTTTGAAATCTGGAGGTCAAGTTGGGGAGGAGGATAAACCTTTCAGCAAAAGAAAAAAGAGAGGAAGCTTATTTTTTCGAAAGAAAAAGGTATTGTTTTATGAAACTGCAGTACTTATGTAAAGTTATTGATTCACATTAATGACAAACTTGTATGAGTTACTATATAATGTGCGAGGTTCACACTTGATGCAGCTAAAAATAAAGATCTTAGTTATTTCCAAAGTAATTTGCTCTAGCATCCATGCATTTTTGTAGAAGAATTTTTAAAGATTAAATGCTGTAAACCAGGGGTGCTCTGGTGGGCAGGGTCAATTTGCATAAATGGCCTATCACTTTCATGCAGATTAGCAAATGTTCATCAAAACAGTGTCAAATATATTAAAATCATTAGAGAAAGCAACTTCCATCAAAGTGGCAAACCTTTGTTATTGTTTCTGACTCAGCAAAATATTCATCACAAAGGTGCTGGCACTTTTATGCAAGGGAGCCACTGTTTGACAAGAATGTCCTGGCATAACAGTGCCAGCATCCTTATAAAGCCAGCATCATTATCGACTTGAGGAAAGCAACTTTCATCGAGGTGCTGATATCTTTATACCATAGCATCTTTATTAGGAGTCTTGATAACATTCCATCCTAAAAGAACTGCCAAAGTTCTGTGTATAGCTTGAAAACACCTTTCATCAAGGAACCACCACCTTTATGATGGCTTCTGTCTTAAAAAACATCCATCAACTTATATATATGTGCTGACATCTTAAGTGGCAAGGCAGACCTACAGCCATCGGCACCCATGGAAATGTCGTGAATTCTCGAGAGCCCCTGCTTCAAACTGTTTCTTGGAATTGAAGAAAAATATGGTTTTCTAGCCTCATCCATCTCATCTTTAGAATGAAAATAACGGCCATATAAATTTTGTTTCAGGTTAAAGAATAGCCAAAAGTCACACATAGCAAGAACAGGGAAATGGAGGATGTTCTGCCATACTCATGTGTTTTTATTAAAAAAATTCAACTAGTCTTGCTGAATGAGAAGATGCATTATCATGGTGAAGCACAGGTCCCCTAATATTCACCTTTTGAAGAATTTCTGGAAGACACTAAATTGTGTACCAATTAGCTGTAGTTGTCTTCTGTCCCTGTAACTGTCTTGTCCAGTCCTGTACATCCTATGAAAATAGCATTGCATTTTCATTGCTCATTGGTTTTTCACCATTATTGGTTTAGGGTTATCTTCGAGGACCCATATTTTTCTCTCTTGACATATTACAACATCAAAAATTGGTATGTATATTTCATCACTGGCCAGGGTTTTAGAAATAATTCATTGCTTACTATCATTAACTAATTTTAAGGTTTCTTTATTAATTTTGACAAGTGGCACTTTTTGGTGTCTTATTTTAATTCAACAGGCCAAATGACAATTGTATTTTTTCATGTGCAGTTCTTCATGAATAATTTTTTGTACTGATATGGATCCAATGTACCTTTAGCTAATAACTTTTAGCTTTTCAATCTTTTGCTTAGGCACCGTGATTATTATCAAGTATCATTTTTTGTAAGGCTGACACATTTTCAGGGACTGCATACAAAGGTATTCTTGTATGTTCTACATCCAGGTGATAACGGTTTTGTATCAGTTCCATTTTCCTTTCTTTCAAAATTTATTGTAGGATTGATAAATTGCTGTTATTACAGATTATTGCCCGCAGACATAAAAAAGTTCAAATTTATATAGCTAACAAATATTTTTTTTAACATATATCATCTGCCTGTCTCAAAAATTTCAAAGTTATTTACATATTGGAACTATTGAATATGGTTGCTAGTATTGTTGAATGTTTTTGTAAATTGTACAAATGCTCATATTTTACGATTTTATACTCTCTGAATTTTCTCCCCCATTTTTTATGAAGGTGCCACGTATTGTGCCATTTAGTGTTTTGTTACCCCAGATCTATATTTTAAATGTCTGTTCATACAGACATTCTGCTTTGTTTAACATTTTTAGTCCAACTCCTACAGGCAAAAAAAAAAAAAAAAAAAAAAAAAAAAAAAAAAAAGCTTTAATTAAAAAATATAAAGTATAAAATAAAAGTAAAACTGAGAAACCAGAATTCATATTGAGAACATTATTCAATAAATATTACATAATTTGTTGTGCACATAAATTTTGCAGATTAATAATAAGAAAAACCTTGAATTTTAAATTCATTATAAATAAAAAAAAAGTGAAAAATCTGTAAAAGCAATTTAACCTTAACATGCACTTAACAGTAAATATAAATTCAAATTACAAATTCTTTATATGGAAAGAGAGCTGACAGACCCCCCCCCTTTTTAAACAAAATGAAAATTTTTTTATCAACAAAATAAAAAATATATTAATTAAACTTTAAATTTAGCATACTAAATATTTATCAAAACGTACACAAACAATAATAGTAATATTGGAAAGGGCAAAGATTCAAATTTATATTTATTTTCTGTCTGAAATCTTTATTTGGTACTTGTAAGAAATTTTTTGTTGGTTACACTTTGTAACTCAAACATATTGACAGATAAATATTAATATTACAGGCAGGCATTTATTTGAGGTAATTGCAATATGTTGAATTAATCATTAAATTACTTTAATTTAAATAAAAAAATTATGAATACTTTCCAAAGGGAATAATATAATAAATAACGACAGCCTAGTCTGTTTCTCTTATTTATTAAATTTTCCTTCGACACGAAACTGCATATAATTGCATGTAAATAATTATAAATTTTGTAAGTAAATATAAAATTTGTTTGTACAAGCGCTGGAGGGAAATTACTAAAAATTATTTTCATCACAGATTGTAAATGCTGATCAGTCAATTGTGATCTTTTGTAATTAATTTTGAACTGTGAAAAGCTATTGACATATAAATGTATTCTGAAACAAAGCAATTATTCTTTATGCAAAAATTCGTGACTGAACTAACTTATTTTTTGATACGTAGGAATAAAATATATATCTTCAAACCTTCAATAAAATTTACATCAATCTTATTGTAAATTAATTAATTTATAGATTTTCTAATGAGTTACCCAATGAGTTTCTAACGAGTTAACTTTTAATGGAAATGAAAATAATGTAAACACAGACTTCAAATAAGTAAAATCTTGGAGTATTTGCATTAAGTACGTAATTCAAATGTATTCATGCACTGCATAAAATTGCTTTGGGGATTGCAACCAGCCTATGGGCTGCCAATTTTTGATCACTGGTATAGATAATTCAGTGGCTACTTAAACCAAGCTAAATATTAATATATTCTAATTCCAATGTAATATACCAAAAAGGTTTAAATAAATAATAAATCTGTTAAAGTACTTACTGTAATAGCTTCTGAAGTGTACTAGACCATATTAGGATAAGCTGCTATGTTCTTCGAAGCGAAAGCTAATTCATGTTCCGAAACTACTCTTATGGTATTTGAAGTTACTGTTTTTATTTAAAGTTTATATTGTTACCTTTTTTTTTTATTCTTCTGACACCAATTGTTGCGTCATTTTCTGACACCAGTTCATACAGGGTTCATAGATTTGGAGTGAATAACGACGACACTTGATGAAGTATTGAAACACACTTTATTTAGCCAATGTTAATCAGGACAGCTCCAATAACACTTTTTACAGTCATCAAAGGTCTACTATAAACACACTGGACGACACAGCCTTCACACTGTCAGGCAATAACAGTAGAGACAGCTTCCTGCAAAGCACCAGAGTACAGCTTCCGACTCTGCTTGGTCGTTCTCAGACCTCTACGTACTCTCGAGACTCTCCACGCTACAACTCCTGATGCACTCGACGGCACACGAGCACAGCTTCCGACTCTTCGGTTCAGTCATTTCCGGAGCTCAACACGATGCACTAACCGCGATATACTAACAGACTCCTTCAGTGCACTTGACGATCCACTTGGAACTCGCTGCCCGGCTGTCAACTTGATTGACTCCACAGGGATTGACTCGCTAGACGAGACACACTCGATACTAACTCTCGCCCTCTCGACAAGGCACACTTCCACTCGATGAGAGACACACAATAACTGACTGCGGACCAGCAGGGTTTATATAGCTTTCAGCTTGTGTTCAAGAACATTCTGGGCTAAACCCGTAAGAATTCGTTCCAGAAGGTTCTCCATCTGTCCATGACACATCGCCAGTTTTGTCGCCAAATGGACGATTTCTCACCAAATGTGTCAACCCTGCTTTCCCTTGCCATTTTATGGCAACCCTAAAACTGCTTTGCGGGGAAGCCATCTTACCGCGCCTGTACATTTTGTAACAATATATATATATATATATATAGCACATAAAAATTAAGATTTAAAACATATTGAACTTGGAATAAAGAGTTGGTAATAATTAAATAAAAATTGTTTTACAAAAGCAGTAAAACATTGTGAATAAATAAGAAAAATGTGCCCAGTTTTAAACTGAGTAAGCAACAAGTGCAAAATTTAAAATTAAATGTGATAAAAGAAGTTACATCTCCCAGTACATCTTCTTTTGGGTTATTATTTATGGATTGTTTACATATTTTTATGCGTTATTAATTTATGTATTTATTGTTTACATATTTAGTTATGTGTTATTTATGTTTTATATAATTATGTATTATTTATTTATTATGTATACATATATTCTAATTTTAGAATAAGGAAAAAGAGAGCAAGAAGAATTCTTCACATCAGTTCGTCTCCATATGTTACAGCACTGCAGCAACATGTGATGTTTGCAGTAGAGGTTTAGCCAACAAATCAGCTCTTAAGTGTGAAAGTAAGATTTTATCCTTAAAAAAGATTTTAAATTTTTACTTGTTTATCATGCAAGTAGTAAAACTAAACACTGTAATAAATGACATCTATCCTGATTTTTTCCTCCATGGAAAGAAGTTAAGTATAGGAAATGTTTGTTGAGGATAGGTATTGGATGCTTCCCTTATGAAAAATGTCTTACAGAATTCTATTTAAACAAAAAAAAAAAAAAAAAAAAAAACCTACGTTAAATTTCTTTAGAATCCTTTATGTCTCTATTTTTTGTAAATTAGGCCAGAAGTTTTCTATAAAATTTTAGGTCTTGCTTCTATGAAGTATAAAGATTCTATAGAGAGATGTGCAGGAATCTATGCAGATTTGTGCAGAGATTCTATAACAACTTGTATAGTGTTTTTAAAGGTTGCACATACAGAATCATGTAAACAAATTTTGTTACTTTAATTTTCTGTAAATATTATAGAACCTTTTGAGTATTTGAAAGCATTATAAAATTTACAGAATTTTCAGCTCAGGCTTAAAGGAATGAATTATATTTTCAATTTTGAATACAACTTTTTATCCTTTTCTAAATGTTGAAATGATCTTACGACAGGTGAAAGGGATGAAAATTTTCAATTCTGTAATTTTTTCTAATAAAAAATTTCAGTTTTTAAAAATTTAAAACATAGATAAACAAAAACAAACTCATTTTAAATAATAGTAGGGCTGCATTCGTATTTCTAGTGGAATTTTGTGCCAGGATCTACATCTGATTCCAAGTGGCATCTCGTTAATCAGAACATGGTCTTTCCCCCCCACTGAGAATGAATTTTTTCATATTCAGACATTAAAAATGTATTTTAATTTTCTGGTAAAATGTGTAAAGATGTGAAAGTATTAATTAATGTATGTCGCAGGTTGAAATTTTTGAATATTTTTTCATTTCTTTCTGATATGTTATAAAAACATGTCTTCCTTCATACTTAGTTGGATTGTACACAAACCTGTGTATTTATCACATATAGTGAAATATGAAGTTATATTTATGATATTCATATGCTGCATATTATCCTCTTTTAGACTGTTCTGTGACGATTCATGAGAGTTCTTGTAAAGACCATGTACCTAATTGTATTCAGCAAAAGGTGAGTATGTTTACTTTTATTGATGTTTTTCATGCAGTAAAGAAAGTCTTAATGCATGTGTGCATTTAGGAATGAGCGAAATTATCTGTGAATAAGATTTTTTTGCTTACTATCAAGTAAGATTAGTGAAAATAAGTTAACATTAACTGAGAACATTTAAACCTCTTTTAGTCATGGAATTTTTTAGACATGGGAGAAAAAAAAGTTGTCTATAAAATATTGTATATAGCTGTTAAAAGAAGTCTTTTGCAGCATATTAACAAGTTCGTACACGAATGCTGCAGAAACTAGAATGTAATAGCAGTTGCCACTATCAGGCCTCAAGGTAAAAATTTTTATAATAGATTCTAATTTTACTATCATATATGCCACTCAACCTGGATAGTGATTGGTGACTCTGACTACCATACCTTGGGTTTGAATCCCAGAGAAGGTGTAGATATTTGTAAATGTATAGTGTCTGTGTAAATGTATAGTAAATGTATAGTGTGTGATGGCACTCTAAATATGCATTGAGCTGAGAGTTCTGTCGAGTGGTAGTAGATTCTCGTACCCATCCCCCTCTAAAGTCCTCTCCTTAAAAATTGAGGGTGGAACTGGGCAAAGTCATACTATCTCCTGTATGATACCCAAGTCTCTTGCCAATGTCAGGCACTAACTAGACTCTTTGCCACAATGAATTTCATGGTCTAACCCTGATTACAGACAAGCAAAGGTTAGTCACAACATCAACAACTATTATTTATTGTACATGGTTTTCCTGTACCTTACCTTGCTGGCATGTTGACAGCGAATCTAGAAAATGCTAAACTTTCCATAGTGAATTGTAATTTGACAGCATATTGACAGCGAATCTAGAGAATGCTAAACTTTCCATAGTGAATTGTAATAAATACATTTGACAATGTGAACTTCTATGGGTGATATCAATGCTACTGAAAACAATCTCTGCTACCAGTAAAATATACCTGTAAATATGGAGGTGGCAGATGTCACCAGCAGGGCCAAAAGGGTTAAGACAAGCATGCATAGCTCCAGACATTTTTAGTTATCTATGGAAGCTGTTTTAGAGGGTTGATGTTCCATACTGGTGTTCATTTGTTCTGAGAAATACAGTTTCAGAAGTGGTAATATACGAGAAGTGTTTGCCATGAGAGGTTTCAGTTTAATTTTTATTTTCATATCAATTTAAAGCTGTTAAATAAGTGGTGTTTATATTTAAATTTAAATATTTAATTCATTTTTAGTTTACTTTTTGATGTACTATCAGGAAAGTTCTGAATATCTGTTATGTAGATTTAATGTTTCTATGAGCAGCTAGCCACCTAAAGCAGTATTAATAAAAGAAAAATAATGATTTTAATAAATCCAACTAGTATAATTTCATAAAATTATTTAACATTTCTAATAAACATCTTGTGGTTTAAAAGCATTTTTATTTAAATCAAAATAAAAAGCAGAAACAATATTCTTAAGAATAATGTTGATTGCTTTAAAATCAGTTTATTACTCAATAATAGACTATTACTTAATAATGTACAGATTCATTTTAAATGTTAAATATCTTTCTCTGCCAAATGCCAACATACTGATATGTGTAAGATAAAGTATTTTATTTCATGTAGTGGCAGCACATTGCTTTTAAATAAGTGAATTTGTTGTTTAAAATTAAGATAAATATTTTACATTTTGTTAGATGGTAGCAGTCTGGTGTGCCACAGATAAAAATGTTTTATTTTTAGCAGTTCTGTCACTGCTTGCTTTTTAAATCAAAAAGTCATTAAATTTATACAAAATAAATAAAAAAATCAGAATTCATGTTTGAGATGCCCATGCTCCAGCGAAGGACTTATGTGTATTCAAAATTTAGTGGTTTTAGTTAATGTCCATTTTCCACAGTACGAGGAACATACATACATATTAATTTTTCATTATTTAATAATAGAAATTATGGTCAGGTTACAATTTACTGAGCTAATATGGAGGATGCCATTCATGCTTTACTCAAAGTCATGGTTAATCTGAGGACAATTGCAAAGCAGAGGAAGAAGGAGTGGTCCATCTTATAATTTGTAGAAAAATACTATGAACAAGGTACCTTCTTCAACCAATGCCCATCTTTGACAGGTCAGCCTTTTAATGCAGTGTCATTCAGTATAGCTGTGACCATCCTTTCATTGTCTTCTCGAGTTACTACTTCCAGAGCATTGCAGGTGCAAAGATAATCAGTGTTCCCTTCTCCTGAATTTCGTAGGGGGCATATGGGGGAGCTGACAATGCTGATTTTATGGAGATGGCTCTGGAGGTAATTGTGGCCTGGGGTTAATCTGAAGATGAAGATAGCTATAGCAGTGTCTCAGAGCAGATAGATTATTGGGGATGGATCTTGTTATTATCAGTTCCCTTGTTTTACCAACAGCAGCTACTCTCCACGTGTCTCATCCATGGTGTTGTTGACTGTCGATGTAATTTTGCTGCATATAATTCTATATCTTAGGGGGTGCATTGGCTGAGGCATAGAGCATCCTTCCTTTGCGAGTCTGTCTGCCTGTTTATTTCCTGTGCTGTCGTAGTGCCCTGGGATCCACTGAATATCTGTTGTTGCTTGTAGTTTGAGTGATCTTTCCCGAGGCTGGGCTGCAAGTTATTCATCAGGAGATTCTGTCTTGACGATTGCTTTTATTGCAGCTATTGAGTCCGAGAGGAAGACTACTTTTTGTTTGATGTTAAGGTGGTAAAGGGCATTTTCTGCCTCGTGCATAACCATTACCTCCCCGTTGAAGTTTGTCATTCATTGATTTGCCTACAGGAAAGCTCCTTTGATGAGGAGGGAGTAAGAGTGGCTCACTTATAGCGGTTGTCACGTATAGCTGACCCATCCGTGTATACGTGAATCTATTTGGGCCCAGGATATTTTGTAGTGATCATTTTAGTGCAACTGCTTTAAGGATATATGGACAGACATCTGCCTTTCGTTCGTCTGTGGGAGAGAGATTGAAAACGGTATATCAGATGTTTCATGGTTGATCGTGGGTCTTCTAAAATGAGCACGTTGGCCTGCTTCTTGGTTATATTCTTGAAAAGGGGCCTGAGCCTTGGCTAGTGGTGTATTCAGATACTTGAGTCTGTTCGTAGGTGCATAGCATTGTCAGAAGTTCATTATTACCCTGTCTCAATAACTTTCAAGAGGTTCTATTTGTGCTTGACAGCCAATGGAGGGAATTGAAGTGAATTTTGCAGCACCACAGATTATTCATAGACACTTTTGAACAGAGTCAAGTTTCTTTTTTTCTTTTTTACGACTTCACTAGCTGTGGAAAAGGCTTTGCATTCGTATTCAATCTGTGGCCTGATGTATGCCTTATAGTTGGTCACAAGGACATCTTACATTGTATACCATTTGGACTCTGAGCCTTTTTTAACAATTTACGTGTATTTTGAAACAGCTTGATCTGAAAATAAATTCTTTTAGTTACGTAAATTAAATCAGTGTTCGAAACAAAAAAAAAAAAAAAAAAAAAAAAAAAAAAATGCTTTGAGTGAGAGTAAAGAAGAAATAATCATTAGAAATGAAGAAATTAAAGAAGTGTCATTCAAGAAGCACATTTACATGTGAATTTGTAAAATGTCATGTAATGCAATGTTCATTTGGCAAGCATCATCTGCTATCTCTGCTGTTATCCTATGCAATTTTTGTTCTGTATTTCTCTATAGGCAGTTTTCTTTTAAGCTCATGGAAGAGTTTCAGTTTTGCAATGTGGCTAAACGAGAACCAGGAGGGGTCTAGATAGCAAAAGAAGCAGACAGCAAATGCAACATATTCAAGGTCAAAGCTCAATTCAGGGGGATTTTTATTTTTGTTGAGCTGTTAATTTGATTGGCTAGTATGACAGTGATTAATTTTGAAATAATGCAGTTTTGAGAGGTTTATTATAAGCAGTTACTGTTTTTAGAATAGAAAGGGGGATATCTAATATAAAACAGAGAATCTAATGACTGTTAGAAATTAAAGTTAGAATTTTTGTTTATTTATTTTTTATCCTAGACACTTGTATATATACAATAAATCCAAATTTTTCAGGTTCAGCCTCCTCAGGACATGAATTCTTCGTTGCTTACGCCTTCAGGTAAGTTTGTCATACCATGAGGTAAATGCATCCCAGTCACATCTGTGTTTGCATGGTTTCCCCCCTTTTTTTAAAGCATGTGTATGCATGTATATTGAAATTAGCTTTCCCTAAAAATTTATTATAAAATTAGTTATATGGGGTTGAGCTTGTGAATGCATTTGGTTTGATTTTGTTTATTTGCATGGCATTTGAGTTAAGTGGGTATTCTGAGACTATTTATCTTTTGCTTTTGCTAAGAATTTAAAACCATGATCTCCAAAGTCTGAAAGATTATGCCAGCTGACAATTCTATATTTGCGATAGTTTTAGTGCAGTGTAGATCCACCTCCTGGTGGTGCACCCTGGAACGTAGAAATATGACTGAGTGATTTACGGACTCATCATAATGTTGTCTACAGAGCTCTTCTCTTATGGATGCCTCACATCTGAGTTGTTCCTCTGCAGTTATGCTGAATCACTCTGGAGAGGTAATGGGAATGGATGAATTATGGGTAATGGTGGTTAGTTATCATTGACACACTCTTGAGAACAAGAAAGTTCTCAGGACATAAGATCTGGCAGATGATGCAAACTAAAAAGGATGTTATCTTCTTCATATGCTGCATATCAGATCCAGAGCTGTGGAAAAAAACTGTGGTACACAATTTCATTTTTGTGAAAATATGAAGGCTCTGTTCCGTTGTCGAACATGATCCTCAAAATTGGAATTTGTTTGTGGTAACTACTAGTATCTCTGTATATCCAGAAATGAACCTCTAGTCACAACACAAATCTCTTATAATTCAAAATGGGTGAAAAGCCATCTCCTGTTATGATGCTAAAATTGTTCTTGCAGCCCTTCAGTAAACATGTGCTGTACCTTTATGAAGTGATTCATTGTACCATGCAAACAAATATACAAATTTGTGAAAATAAGGAAAGCTATTTTTGATTTCACCACAGGAGCTCTTGCTGGAATCATGTCAGAAAAGTTCAATTTCCATTTTAGGGAAAAAAGTTCTCCCATGTTAAAAGTGAAGTTAATTTATATCATTTCTTAACATTTGGAAATTTTTTATTCTAGAATCTTATTGTTAGTTTTATGTATAAAAGAAGTTTTGGAGAATCTTAAAACTACAGTTGAAAGAAATCAGTTCAGGAAGTTAATATTTAATTGAGTTGATTCTTTTCGCTCTTTGTTCCAATTTAGTTTATTGTTTCTAAGCCCATTGCTTATTCAATTCTTTCTGCTTTTGATTTGCTTCTTGTTCCCGATGCTTTTCATCTAGGTTGTTATAAATGAATTATGAGCCATAAAAGAGAAATGATTAAGTTTATTGAATGAATGATTCTGATCCAATCCCATAAAAGAATGGTTTTGCCCATCTCTAGTGGGAGACTTTCAGTTCCGTGTTTATGGGTAATCTGTGTCAAAACTGGGGCACAGATGCACAGTTAATATGTTGGAATTATATCTGTAGGATTAATGTCGAAATTCTATTGTCTACCTATACCTACTGATGGCTTGAATTGTGTGTGTAAATGAGAAATAAATCTACCATCAACTTTTCGAACCGTATCATTCTTTTATATGTGTCTTGTGTATTTTGGAACTTCTGACAATTTAATGCAACTTCTTGAGGTTTTACAACATGCTTCTTGGTTCATAAAAAATTTCAAAATCGATCGCTTCTTACTTTTCTTAATTTGAACTTTTCAGACTTGGTTTTTTAAGGATTAATGATGACTATATGTTGAAATAAAAGGAAATGTTATGATGAAAATTTTGATGACTAGTTCACTGGGGGGTGGGAAAGCTAACCTTTCTGTCTCTCGATAAAATTAAAAATATTTCAAAATTATTTTTTGTTTTGAGTGATGTTAAACAAAATTTTGCTGATTAATTTCTATTTCTTTTCTTTCTATTCATTTTTCATTTTCTATTCGTTCTTTCTATAGCATTTTCATGCTTAAAAATGCTTTATAAATAAAATCTTTTCTCTTCTGTTTGAATTTTTTATGTGTAAAATTTTGAGGAAATTATAAAATTGAATGAAATTAAAATTTAGAGCAATAAATAAAATACTATTAAACTTAATATATATTTCCTCAGAACCATTATCTTTTAATCTGAATTATGTATTATGACAGAATTTCAAGTCAAATTCATCAGTTTGGGGTCCTCTTGAAATTATGTCACTACACAGTGCAAAAGTCTCCCGGTTTTTCATGCTTCAAGATTGGCAACTATGTGTGTATTTTGTACTGGTCTTGATTACTGTGTATTCTGAAAGCTTTTTTTTTTTTTTTTTTTCATTTTATTTGTTTTTTAAGTTGTGCAAATAGCTTAGGTATTCTCGACCTTTCCAGACAGTTAAGCATTTGAAATTCTTTTAGTATAAAATTAATTTTAAATAGTTAGGTACTGATTTTATAAAGCTTCTGATGGAATATATGAAACTAGAGTGAGTGACTGCCATAGTATTTAGTAAAATAAAAGCCATCCATAATCAATTACATTATCAGCATGAGTCAAATACAGTGAATAATTTTAAGGAAAAAGTAAGTAATTTTGTTTTAGTTGAAAACATCAGATACCAGAAAAAAATAACTATCCTTACTTAATATGCTTAAGCTGTGAGTTTTTGTAAATATTATGTAGCTGGATATGCATCTGGATGTAATCCAATGAAAATCTTGAAGGGATGAACTTAACTAAACATTTTCTCGTGTCTAGGTGAATTTTATAATTTTGGCTTCAACTTTTCAAAAAACAAAATTTTTTTGCTTAGCATTTTGAAACCAGTTTATAACAACTTACAAAAATTCAATAGAAATCAGCTGTCTGCGAAGTGATAGATCAAAATACAGCCAACTGAGTTGATTCTGAAAAAGGAATGGTGCCTAAGAAGGGAATGGAGGAAATTTCAAAATGTAAAATAAAGCATTTATCAGTATTAATAAAAGTATATTATAATAGCCCAAATGCTGAGCAAATTTTAAAACCAACTATAATTAATGTGATTCAGTGTTCGTATTAATTACTTTAAAAATCAGTTTTTCATTGGGGCTATTATTGGCATCTTTATTTGTCAGCACCGATACTTTTTATTTTCCTGTTCTGCATACCAGAAAACTCTTGTTTTTTCATTATATACACACAAAAATCAATTTTTCGTTGGGGCTATTATTAATCAGTTCATCATATACATACATAGAAAAATAAGGGCAATAAGTAGCATGCACACTACAGTAACTAGCAGAAAATTACTCAAGGGGAATGTGGATGTGAAGCAGTTCCTCCTTAGCATATGAAATAAATCGTATTCCTTGAATCACTCTTGGGTGAAACTCTTAATTTGTTACTCAACTAACCGTTAAATCTTACATTGGAATCGCAACTCAGCTCCTTAGTTCTCTGACTCTTACTTATGCACTGTGGTATGGGCTCTGAAAAAATTGGTTATAGTGTTTCAAAACTGTCTTCTTGCATACTTTCCAGAAAGTCGCTACTTTGCGATAAAAATTATCATCAAACCCCACCTGGAATGAAATTGCCTTTATCTCCCATTCTAATTGAGTGATTTTTAGAATTCCAATGTTGTTGCAGTCAGAATTAAGACATATGGCTGTAGATTAGATTAAGCACAAAATAAATCCAATTTTATTTTTTTGTCAATATACAGCACATTACTAAGTTTAACCCTACAATAGTAAGAAAAGTCTTCCTCCTTACTTGGGATATTTTGGGTGTAAAAGTGAAATATGGGATTTTCTGGATGGAATACAGCTTCAAAGACAAGAATGGGAGTAGAAGTCTAGCAGAATATCCTGAATAGCATTTATGTGAAGTATCACCTGGAATTGTTGCTACCAATATAACACAGCGGTTTATACCAGTTAAATTAATCACCTGTTATCCATCTTATGTTTTCTTCTACTCATGTCATAAGTTGACATACCCTGTTCATTTGTTTTGTAAACCTCAAGGAAAGTACCCATTAAAAACTTATGTTTCACTTACATCAGAAACTCAGTAAAAAGCTCAGTAACCTGAATAATGTAATATAAAGTGAATTTAAATTAATGTAGAGATCTTTCAAAATTACATTTCCGTGCAGCATAAAACCTCTCAGAAACTTCCAGTGTTTCATTTTTCAAGGTTGGCTTCTGTGATTTTGGAGTTAAAACACTTTTTGTTATTTTGTTTTGTAAGCTTTGTTTAGATGTGTCTCTTGGACTTGTTCATTTCTTGTCATCATGTCTTGTAAAATATTTATAAAAATTTAAACAGAAAATTATTTCGTAGTCACTTTGTTTCTTTCTTTCATTTTGCATCTTCAGCTAATTTAAATGGAATTTGTATGTTTTTGGCATGGAATATGAGTTGATGATTTCACTTTTAAAAGAGCCGCATAATGCAAAATATAAATTTTATGTATGGTTAAAAAAATTAAGAAATTTACCAAGATCATTTTTAGATTTCTACTGAAGACTAAAGTATGTATAAATATACTATAAGCAGTTCTAAATCTAGGTTTCAAGGAACTAACTAAGCCTATTTCAGGTATCACAAAATAAACAGATAATATGCTTACTGTTTCACTAATGTTTCAGGAAGCATTCGCTATCCTTCACGCTATCGCCATCTCCTAGGAGTGCAGCCTATAATATGTATAAATTCCACTTCTGTTCCTGTAGGTACGTAAATGTATTTTTGGTTTTAATGAAATATTTCTGATTATGAAAATAAAACATTACTTTTCTTTACTGTATGAATTTTTGGTCAAAACATTAACTTTTCTTGACTATAAGAATTTATGGTCAAAGCATAACTTTTCTGTATTACATAATTTATGATCAAAACATATCCTTCTTTTTTTTTTTTTTTTTTTTTCTGTAAAACATTTATTGGCAAAGTTTTTTTGGCTAAACGAATTTAAAATCAAAGTATTATTTTTCTTTGCTATAAGAATTTATGTTCAAAACATAACTTTTTTTCTTCGCTATAAGAATTTAGGGTCAAAGTGTCGCTTTTCTTTGCTATAAGAATTTATTTCAAAGTATTATACAGGTTTGTCATAAATTTATGCAAACTTCATAATTACATAATGAAAGAATTAATGCTCTGAAAAAATTTCGGTTTGCACAAATATGATCAAAAGTACACTGAATATTTTTTCCATGTGCTAAAGAAAGTGATTCCAAAAGTAACAGAAAGAGGGTGTTCACATGTTGTACTGAGACATTTTATGCAAATCAGGCTTGCAGTAAAACACCAGGCTGGAAATGGATTCATCGTTAGATACTGGCAGCATACTATAATTACCACATGGTTAAACGTTTCTACAAGAATAAATAGTGAATCCACAAGTATTGCATTGCAAAACTTTCACACAAAAAAAGACTGAAGGCACAATTCATCGAATGGATTACTGAATTTAGCATCATGTTTTGAGTATGAGAGTTTTAAGAATGATTCACAAAGTAGCAGATCATCTCTGAGCATGGATCACATCCATGTTGTACAAATGGTCATGAAAGAATTGGTCAGTGGGGAGTAGCAGTGCTTGTGAAGCTGCAAGGATGACGTGGATTCCTGAATTGTTGATCCGACATATTCTGCACCTAATCTTGAATCTGTATCGGCACAAAGTATAGGCACTTTACCAGTTATTACTGGCAGGTACAGATAAAAAGACGAAACTTTGTTACATGGTCACTGTCACAAATAAACATGACATGCAGTGACTGCTGAACATCATGTGGACAGATGAAGTACACTTTTCAGTGCATGGTGATGTCAATAACATTCGTATCTGGGAGACTTCGAGCCCTTGTGACTGCTTGAGCAAGTCAATGCGTTTTCCTTATGTGACTGTTCGATGTGGTTTCACAGCATCTTTCATTCTGGGCCTTTTCGTTTTTTTAAGAGCACTGTCCTGTATCCAGCTGGAAAACTTGTACAGTCACTGCAGAATGGTATGTTATGCTTTTGCATGCCCATGTTATGCCTGCATTGTGGGAAAGACATGCATTACCTGCTGTCAGTTTCATGCAGGATGGTGACCCACCCTATGTTGCACATGAAGCCAAGATATCCCTGTTGGAAACTTTCACTGAAGAATGAGTCATAAGTCAAGCTTACAAGTGGTCATCACGATCATCAGACTTGACCCTGGCAGATTTTTGGTTGTGGAAATCCTTAAGGTCTTTTGTGTACTGCAGCTCACCAGCCACTTTGGGGGAACGAAAGATGCCATTCGACAGACTGTTGGTGTCATTGATGCTGACATGCTGAACTTGGATGTAATAGCTGTAGTGGCATGCCTTACCTGCTTGATTTCTTATGCAGGTAGTCATGTTGAACATCTTTTATTTTAAAGTAAATGCACAGTATCATGCTATTATTATCTGTTTTGTTGTTTGTTTGTGTTTTACTGATTTGTATAAAATATCTCAGTATGACATCTAAGGGCCCTCTTTTGGCTACTTTTTTTGAGCATCTTTTATTATGAGTTTATAAAGTTTACACAAATTTACGATGCATCCTGTATTTACTGCAAGTGTATGAATTTTTTATCAAGTGGTGCTTTTCTTTTTCTATGAATTTATGCTTGAAGCATTACTTCTCAGCAAAGCGTTGTATTTGTGATTACTATATAATTAAAATTTACTGTATAATTAAAAAATATATATCTTCAGTTACTATATAATTAACATTTCTGTTTTGTTGTCTGCTATTTTATGTTGTTGCTGCTGTTTTGGGTCTTTCTCTTGTATGTTTCAGTTGCTTCTATAACATTTATATATAGCATTAGCATGAAATTTTAGAAATAAATATCTTGATGTACTTAATATTTATTTCCTGGAAATTACTGTTGTCCAATATATGTACATATATGTTGTAATGGAAAAGTGCATTAACAACTTTTAAATATGCATGGTTATGTAATATGCATCTGTAATTTTTATGCATGAAAAATAACATTTTTTGTGTTAATTTTCTGTTTAGCAATATTTTAAAGATACTTATCAAACTGCTAAAAATGCATGTTGTTCTCTTTGTTATATGAGTTTAAATTTAAATTTATGAATAATGTCCTATTTCAGATTTTAGATTCAGTTTTTAGCAATCTAGTTAATGACTGTTAATTAATTAGCAATGATTAGCATATTTTATTTGAAATTATTCCTTTCTAAGAAAAAGGCTTCTTTTTCTTTAGTTAAAAATAAACCTTTTTTACTCATGTAACATAAATATTTGCTAATAAATTTCCTATATACCTGGAAAACTGTATGAAGTTAAAAGGAAAAATGGTCAAGGAAAATATAAAATTTTTTTCAAAAAGCTCAGGGAAATTTTTCCTGGAAGGTCAGTAAAATTAAAAAAAAATATGTTGCCGTTCAGTTTTTTTCAGATAACAGCAGTTTCATATTTTAAATAGTAACCTATAAATAAAATTTTCTCATATTTCATAATGTTATCGCACTCATAGTTCTCCTCCCCCTCTCTTTTGTTAATGACCAGGCCTACCAGTGGTTATGAGCTAAATTCGTTCACACTGGTATTCAGTCCAGGGTTCAAAATCCTGGCAAACAGGCTGGCTGCATGGGCGTTTTCATGGTTTTTTTTTTCCGTCTGTGATGTGTATACGAGCCACTTTCCCTTAGAACGTTATCCACGAAGGCATCCCGTAGGCAGATAGCTTTGCCGTAACTAAATAAAACCAAATTAAGGCCTGTTAGTGAGTCATTCTTCACTCCTCTCTTTATATATTTAAATATTCCATAAGTTCTATTTTTAAAAAGAATAGTTGCCCTACAGATTTAAGTAATGGGTATTTATGTAATATCCTGTTAACTAAAACTACCACTAAACAATGTGATTTATTTCAATTATGGATAAGAGTTACAACATAACACACACTCATAACATTTGCACTATTGTCTGGTGTAACTGTGATAGATTCTTGATCATCTACTTTTTCTTTTGATGGACAAGGCTATAAGGTAACTGTTATTGCTGTTTTTTTTTTTTTTTTTTTTTTTTTTTTTTTTTTCATTTTGAAGAAAATGATTAAAAATTGGGACACCTGAGTTGTTCTGCAGAACAGCAAACAGTGGATTATTTTCATTCATATCCACAGTTACAGGATCCTACTACAAAAAAAAAAAAAAAAAGTGTGTATTAATGGACAGGATATGATAAGCCAAATATGACCAGCAGAATAATTACAGAGTAGAGCAGTGACTTGCAGGAAGTTTGTACCTATAGTATTCTAAACAGAGATGGCCCACCAGCAGCCGAGTGGTAAAGTCGGTGAATACTGCTAGTTCGGTCTGAGGCTCGAGGCAAATGGGCTGGTTGCATGGGTATTTTTGTGGTTTCCCCATGTGTAATGTGTATAGGATCCAGTTTCCATTAGAAAGGCCTCCGTGAAGGAATCTGTTCCCTTAGGCAAATAGCCCTTGTGGGCTTTGTCATTATCAAATAAATAAAACAAGATTTTGGTGAAGTCAGAGGGCTGAACAAAATATTAGAAATAGCTGAAAATCTTCATACGAAGTGAAAAAATGAATGTGGTCGAATACTGTTCTTCAGAATTCCACATTAATAATTAGCACAACTTTGGGGGGATCTTCTCCAAATTTCATGGTTCGATGGTAGCCGACTTTCGCTGTCAAGGGGATAATATGTAAGCACCAATTAATATAATTTAGAAGTTATATTATTATACATAATAATAAATAATTAAATACTATTTTCAGTTCATTGTAATTTTAAATTCCATAATTTTATTTTAAAATCTAAAGGAATAATATTTTTCGCAAGTTCCTTTTTTAGAATGAGTATTTTCCAGAATTTGATGTTTATTTTAAAAACTCTACCTTCTGATTGAATGGTTTAAATAGTATATATATATATATAATATATCAAAACTTAAATTGATAATTTAGTAGAAGTAGATTAATCTGCGGAAGATGCTAAAATCATATAAAAGAACCTGTTACATTTTAAAATTGTGAATAAAAATTAAAGATCATACTTTTTGAAAATGTTTTATAGTTAATTAATTATAAGTGAATATACCAGTCATATTAAAATTTATAATACATTATAGATTATTGATATTTTTATATTCCAGGTCAACGTCTCAAGGGGTAATAATCCAAAACATCAAAACCTGAATATATGATGATATATAATTTGAATGTATATAGGCATAGGAATTATTATTAAGTGTTAATATTGTGAAAACTTGTGAGAAGGCCATAGTTGAAAAGTAACACAGGCTGCAAAAATGTAAAAACGGCCATACAGTCCTCCAAAAAAATTTTTTGTCTATTGTGAAAAACTTTCTTCTTATTATTTATGAAGTATCTGTAAGTTGTAAAGATAGCCAGACAATTTTTTTTTTTGTCATTGCACAAAATCACCAATGAATTGGTGGATTTTTTGGGGGTAGGGGTGAGAGCGGACAATCCAAAAGTACCTTTTTTTTTCACCATGCTATTATGCAAATTATTAAAAAAAAAAAAAAAAAAAAAAAAGTTAAAACTTTTATACTTAAATTAGATAAAATATATTCATATAAACTAATTATGTTGTAGGTAAATGTCCGCAGCAGAGCAAAGAAAAAAGGTCATCTGTTGCCGAACCTAGCCGTACAAATGTAAGTTTATATTCATAATACATGAGCCTTTTCCACTTTTAAGTTTCATATAGTGTAGATGATATATAATCATTTCTTTATATATAAATAATATGCAGGGCTAGTCATAAAGATTCATCCTGTTACAAAAAGTTAGTTTAGTGATCTCATACTCATGGCCTATATATGAATCTTAAAGCAGTTTTATGTGACCCATGAATACCTTTCAATTATGTGTTATTTGTTGCAAAGATTTTATTTATTTAAATTCTAAGTTTTGATGATGTATAACCATTAAAAACAAACTTGAATAATGCACCAGAAAATCTATTAATGCAGCTAGTTAATTTAACCCTTTCCAGCACGCTACCTTTTAAAGTTGGAATTTTGATAAAAAAAAAGGTAGGCAGTCTAATTATGCCCAGAGGAATACACAATTAAAATTTTGTGAAGATAGCACTTATGTTTAATTCTGTGGGGGCGGGTGACCAAAGTTGGCACACTGATTGAATAGAGCTTCAAAAAGAGTGCTGAAATGAGCATTGTTGTCAATGAACTGACCGATGAGATGCGGAGAAACAAAGAATACAAACTCTCAGTTGTCCTGGGTACTTCTAGGGTTCATCGTTTGATTTTAGGCAAGATTTCAAGGTAAAAATTTAAAACTAATATAAAATAAGGAGATTAGCATACAGCCAAAAAAGTAACATAGAAATTTCTTTTCAAACAATTCCTTTTATACCCTAAAGAAAATCTGGAAGATTTCTTTGAAAAATGAGGGGCTTAAAAAACTAAACATGGCTAAAATATATGGACTGGTTTGTGTTGAACTGCCATCTACTATAAATAAAGAAGGTTCAGAGTGTAACCTATAGTAACCTATAAATCCTTTTTCAATTAATTTTTCTGTGCGTACAGAAGGAAATTTTTAGATGTGTCCAGACTGGACACACTGTGCCGCAAAGGGTTAAAATGTGGTTGATTGCATTAGCCCTGAGTGTGGCGTTCAGATAGTCTCTGGCATTTTATCACTATCAGCTAAATTCACAGCTTCATTGCAGCTTAATCAACAGGAGATTTATGCAAAGGAAAGCAAGTTTTGATTGTGAAAACTCATTACAAGAATCATGACTGTTATGCATAAACTGTTAGGGAGCTTTGTCCAGTCTTTGGACATTAAAATGAACCTAATGAAACAACAGTTTGCAAATTTAAAAAAAAAAAAAAAAAAAATTGAGGACTCGGATTTGATTGCAGGCATTACATTACCATGCGTGGAGTCAAGCTGGTTTGTCAGAAATATCACTGTTGCATGTTACAGTTTTGTTCAAATCCCTCAAATTTGCAACTTAGAATCCTAGATATCCTAGAAAGACTAACAACAGAAGAACTTAAATAGAAAATTGTGTCATTAGCTGTCTCAATAGGCAGATAAATGGAAAAGTAATTATAAATTTCACCAAACGGCTGTGGTGCTGCAGAGCAAATCATGGAGAACATACATAAAACAGTATTTTTCATTCTAAGTTGGAACATTTACCTGTTTTAAATATATAAAAAATACTTTCATTTTCTAAAAATAGAGTATTTTTACTGATCATATTAAATTTAGTGCTTTTGTTGGGACACCCTTCATATTTTACAAAATTTATCCACATAACAGTATGCATGTGAATTAATTTTGTTTTCTGTTTAAAAGTATTTTGACAGATAAAAGCTCTCCCTCCCTACTTGGGATTTTTCTCAGAATAAAAGTGTAAGAAAATTACAAAAAGGAATAAACCAAAGAGCATTCAGTTCAGAATACCTAATTAAATATTAATATATTACTTCAGAATCATATTATAAATAGCTCAGTAATTTGCATCATGCATTGTAATGTTTACGTTTGTTTGAAGTTCTTTTGAAATGACTGTCTAGCATAAAATCTTCTCCAAACCTCCCGGTTTTTCTATTTCTTGGTCAATTGGGATCTTGAAGTGTGAAAAATTGAGAGATATCATGCCTACTTTCTAGCTGAGGCATATTTTTCTAAAAAATTCTTCACTGAAAGTTAGTTTACTGTTTCCTGTTAAACTTATTTTTTCTTTTCGCTTTTCTCAGGTTACAACAGCAACAGATTCTCCTAAAATGTCATCCTCCTCTTCAAGGTAAGCTCAAAGCTCATTTGATCATAGAAAATGTTTTGATATTTTACTATATCTTTATATAAAAAAATTGAAAACTAAACTGTGCCACATGTATTTTATGAAGGACATTCCAATATAAACAGGAATTACTATGCTGCATTCTTGTAAAAAGAGCTTAACATAATCGCAGCAGAAAATACTTGCATGTTAGGACTTGACAAAATTAGCTGTAGTTTTTCATTCTGTAACCCCTGTTAGTTGTAATAATTGTATTGGAGTTGAAGGTTCACAACAATTTTTTCCAGCATATTTTCATTAGATTTTTGATATGAAAATTCCATTTCATCTCTAATATATTTGGAACTTAAAAATAAATTTAGTGTGACTGTCTGTTGGTCTAATAAAAGTGTTTCAAGCTATGGTAGATATATTTTTATGATACATCACATTATTAGAGTTGGTACCCTTTTTACACAAATATAAAGTGCTGCTTTTGGTACAGGTATTGGTACATGATGGTATATAGATATATTTGATTTTTATTTGGCACCTGTAATGGTACATTATATTATTTTTTGGCTTCATAATTTTTACACAAAATATATAAAGGAATGCTGAATGATGTCCTTTTTGGTACATATATTGGTACATGATCAAACATTTAGTTTTAGTTTAAATTTGGTACCTTTAATGGTACATTACATTATTTTTAGTGGTACAGTTTTTGCCCAAAATATTTAAATGAATGTAAAATGTTGCCCCTTTTTGGTACTTATATTGGTATGTGATGGCACATTTATTTTTGATTCTTATTTATGAGGTATACAATTTAAAAGTGTGAGAACCTCTAATTTAGAATGTATTATTGGTGCAAATCTTTTAAAGGAGACTGATGATGGTTGAAAATGAATGATCTCCGCTTTGACTTTATCAATGAAGTTGACCTGACTGTAATCCACGTTCTAATTCAGGTCATTAATAGCTAATTAGCAAACGTGTTTGCTAGTTTTTCTGGCTACTTTTATGCTAGGGTTTATTGATTCTAGCTTTGCCTCATTCATTTGCAGAATTTGGATATTATAAGAATTATTTTACCCAGGACATATTACTTTTGTAGCTGTATTAGTTAATAGACTGTTTAGAAATAACTTTTTTTGTGCATGATAATTTTTAAATGCATGGAAGAGATTTATAAATATGAAATGTAACACTCTTTTAAATCTTGAAGGAATTTAAAATGAGTATTGGTAGAGTTGAAGCACTATTTAAAGATCACCATAAATTTAGAATTATAAGGAAAAGTCATTAATTAAGAAGAGAGAAATTCACATATAATGGTGCTGTGCAAGAATAATTTTGTACCTCAGTTAAATATTCTGCTTATATCTCGATTCTTTTGTGCAAATTTCATCGAATCAGGTGATGTGGATTTGATCTGTTCTAAACAAAGTTACGCCACTGATGAAATAAAATGCATTGTACTATAACAAAGTTATTCTTAAAATATTTAGACACAGCAATAACATATTTGCAAAACTTAGTACTTAATTATGACCTTAACTACATTTGTTACCGTATTCTGATGCAATTCAAATTTTCCAACTCTCCAGTTGTCAGTAAATAAGGTAGTCCGGCTTGTACTAGTTGGGAGTTTTGCTGTTTGTCTGCTCTTTATAATAAATGGCCATCATGTAATCAAAAGACTTTTATTCTTTTGGAATTAAGAAACATCGTCACCACCAAAGGAGTGTAGTGTATTGCAATGGTAGACAAGTACATAGAAAAAATGTGTTTAAATTGTTTAGTAAGTAAAGTTTAGGTATCAAATTCCTGTTTATATTTGAGCATCCGTCATAAAATAATGCATGAGGAACATCATGAAGTGAAATATTTTCTTTGTCCCACAGCACTCCTCGTAAAAACTACACTCCCAGTGGGTATTCTCAGTGGCGCAGAGTGGCCACTAAACTGGGAGTTAAGTAAGTCCAATCTGTGTGTTACACTGCATGTCGATGTGCATTGCCTTTCACATCAGTGTTGTTTTTTGGGACGCTAAACACAGTTTTATTATTGAAATTAAGTGTTTAATCAGTAGTTCCTGAATGCAGTTGCATGCACCTGTAGATGCATTATTTCTGGAGTTAGAAATAAGAATTAAAAATAAAAATTAATTAATCTAGGTTTACATGCTAAATCTCTACTAAAACATTATGGGCTCGTTTGTTTCATCGGCTTTAATCTGAATGAATGCCTCGACCAAGTTCATCTCCATTTGTTGCCATTTCAAGTAGCTTATTTTAAAGTCACTTTTATGGCGGAGTTTATTGATGATTTTAGTTTTGTCCCTTTCATTTATAGAGTTTGGAGCTGACAGATGAAAGATGTGCTGTATTTTTGTTGCTGTATTTGTTGATAGGCAGTTTATAAATATCATTCTCTTATGCTTGGCAATTGCCCCACCAGTGGCCAAATGATTAAGATTACCAGGTAATATTATTTGTAGTTTAGACCTAGGTACTAACTCAGGTGATAGAGCTGGCTATATAATTGATTTTTGTAATTTCCCAAGTCTCAATATGCAGTTCTTCAAGGAGCCTTTATTTTTTATTCAAGCATTGTAAATGCTTTTCTAAATAGTTCCTTTTCATCAGGGGAGCAAGCATTAGTGCAATTTTTCAAGAAGTGTTTCATCTTCAAGCAAGCACTAATAAACACTGTTTCAAGGTGTCTTTCTTCTTCAATGAGCAAGCATTATAAATACTTATGAAGTCTCTTTTCCTCAATAAACATTAATACAGTAGACTCAACTTAATGAGATTGTGGTTGATGTTGCCATTCAGGTATTGTTGTCAAATTAGGAAAATTCCTGCTTATTTGTGTACAAAAATGTGAAAAATGCATTGCTTATTATGATCAACAGTTCAGTTAATATGATATTTTTTTTAAGTGACATAAAGTCCCCAAATGGTCTTCAAATAAGATCAAAATAAATTTTAAACATCTAATGTGACATAAAGTTCGGGATTAAGTTGTCAAGTAATTTGGTTTGGATTTTAGTCAACTATTTAAAATTATGCTAAAAAGGAACCCTAGTTTGGTGTAGGTTTTGACTGCAATTGAACATAGATCAGGAGGAAAAACATTTCGTTGCTGTTCTGTTTTCAGGACCAGAGTTGTCGGCTAATGTTTCGCTAAACTTCCCAAGAGACCAGTCCATAAGAAGTTGCCAATATTTCCTTTTAAAATCCTTACAGTGTTTACTTTGTAAAAGAAAAGAAAAAAAAAATTGCCTTTTGAAATTGGCAACGAGAATAAAAATTTTAAATATTTAACAGTCACTTGTTTGATTGTATGAATATCTGTTATTTTATTTTTTTTTATCTGTTATTTTATTTTTTTTCACTTGCATTTTACTTTAACTTAACCATATTGTAAATATCTTGGCCATCATTTTCATATTTAAAATTTTTTGTCAGATGGGTCAGCTTATCTCGATATCTAAATGTGGTCATAATAATAGAACAGTACCAAATTTTTCAGACCTTTTTTCCCAAAAAGGTTGCTTTTTTTTTGTATGTTTGTCAAGTAAAGTCATTAAATAAATTCTACATAGATTATGAAAATAGCTAAGTGCCCTTTAAATCAGATTGCATTGGCTTCTATAGCAGGCCTTGCTTTGTTCAGTTCTGTGCTTATAGCTAAGTGTAAGCATCCTTTGCTGTGATTTTTCTGCATGCAAATTTAATTGTGGAATGTTTCTTTGTATGCTTATGTTAAATTGAATCTTTCATCAAATTGCTTATTTTGTAATATTTTTTGGGTTTCCTTTTAAGTTTTTATTTTTTATCATTTACGTGTCTTGTGTAATTATTTTAATATTTCATAATACAGAAAAATTCATTTGGTATTTCTGATTTCTATTTTTATTTGTATAATCTCAGTATATATATTTATACATTTTACAGTAAAGTAATATGTGAAGAAAAAGAAGTAGAGGTAGTAGAAGACAGTGGCTCAAAGTAAGCTTGTTTTAGAATAGCTTTTTTGTTTTTTTTTTAAAAAAAAGAACATTCATGAGATATAATGCTCATATAATATGGTTTTATGTTTCTGCTGATAATTGTTGCTGTCCATTTAAGTGTTTCTGAACTAGCCATCTTCACACAGCTCGCCACCTATGATAGTTATTAAAGAAATAAAAAATATATAAAGATATTCATAACCGTAATTTCATAGTTCCAGCTAATTTATAACAATAGAGATGAAAAACTGTATTTATTACATTTCAATCCTTTATTTTGTTAATCATTCACATACAGATTTAATTTAAAAAAAAAATTAAATACTTTGAACTTTGCTGAATGGCAACATACTAATGTGTTTAAGATAAAAAGTGCTTAATTTTACATAGTGGCAATGCATTTTCTTTCAGTCGCTGAATTTGTTGATTAATTTTGAAAGACAAATACCTTGTGCTTTGCTGAGTAGCAGCACATTGGCTTTAAATATTGCTGATTTTGTTAATCAGAAAACTATTAAATTTACACAAAATATGGTCTAAAACAAAATTTTAATAATTATGAACAAGCAATTTTTTAATTTAATTTTTTTGTTGGAAAAAGGAGAAGGGCACTTAATTCGAATTTGATATTTTGTTTTTATTAGATAAAATGCAAGCCCTTTATTAAAATGTTCATTGCTCACCATTGTGCTTGTGCTAAAGTCCTGTCCAGTACCAGAGGATTTATTTTGTGGGAGGAGAGAAAAGAAAAGAGAGAAGCAAGCTTTTGCATTTTAATGATTCAGAATATGTTAATGTGCATGTTACATAGGTAAAGAGCAGAAAACTTTTATTTTGTTGATAATCCTGCACTTTAACAGGATAAAACAGGTATTCTGCAGATTAACTGGGTAATGTGCGCATAAATGGCCTTCGAACTTTAACAGTAGCATATACATTGTATATTTAAAAATTCTTACAGTATATAGGTTGGGCTTGTGGATACACTGTTTGTTTTTGATTTAATTTTGCATTTTTAGTTCAGAAACAGTTTTTTTTTCTTTTCCATTTTTAGATATACCAACCCCTTGAAGAAGAAACACAAATTCTTTGCTATTTTCACTATTTTCTTGTATTTGATTATTTTTATAGTCATTTAATTCAATGTTCCCCCCAACATTTGTTTGTTATTTAACTTGAGCTTTGTTTTGAAACCTAGATAGTCCCTTTCATGATTTTTGTTAAAGCATTTATGCATACTTTTTAATTCTGTAATTATACCATGTACCAAATATCAACTTTTAAAAATACATTTTCGTATGTTTCTCTAGCATCTATGAAACGAATTCAGCGTCTATGGAATCCCTAGAAGATGGTAAGTAACTGTTTTATAAGGAAGTGTAGTTGAACCTGAATGTTGTAATACTGATTTATGAAGCATGCTTTTAAGTACAGGCTGTTATATATTGAATTAAAAAAAAAAAAAAAAAAAAAAAAAAAAAAAGAGAGAAAAGTACACCTGTGAACAATGTTAGTAACTTTATTTTGATAAATCAAATTTACAATGAAACTACAGTTATCCAAGTTTAACCCCATAGGGAAAAATCAGAAAAGGTTAGATCTGGGTATATCAGTGGCCAACAAAGCAGGGCATGTAGTTTGATGATGATCCTAACACAACATTTCACTGGAAAGAGGATAACAAATTAGGTCATAAATCTCTTTTTATTTTTTGAGGGTTGGAAAACATAAAGCGATGAGACTCTCTTGGGGCTAATGATTCAGGCCAGATTTAACCCCAATGACTGCATTTTGTTGCTGATGCCTGGATGATACTTTTCAATTTGCCGTCTCACTCTTAGGAGAAATGATGAAGTGGTTAAGGAAAGAAAAGCCTACATATCAAAGGCTTTTTCTCCAGGAAGTGCAGATGCGTTTTGATAGTGGGTAAATTTTTCGTTCTAGTTCTAGTGTTTTCCTGTGGAAAACAGCACCTGCGGGCTTTTTGGAATGGTGCAACTAAATTCAGGGAACAAAAATTGTCACTTGTTCCTTTTTCTCAGCTAACCATTGGATTTAGGGGAACATTTTTTCTCACTTTTGCATTCTGTTTGAGAGCTAGAATTCGATTTCTTTATTTTCATACCTACATATTCTCGGTTAAAACTACTGCCATGTTTTCTTTCTATTCCCATCAGTGACACTTTAGCGATTTTAACTTTTTTTAATTGGTATGATGCAAAAAGAATTTTTTTTCTGGTGTTACTTAAAGTAGTACATTATGCTGTATATTCAGGGCTTAAATTCAGCTGGAGCTCTGTTGAGTTATTACTTTTTAGTTTTGAGTGAAGTTGTAATTCCAGCCAGAGTCCCAAATAAGAGGACATCCAATATTTTATTTTATTTTTAATCATTTACCACTAGTTTCCTAATTTATTAAATTTTTGTTTATCTCTTTACATTTTATTAAATGTTAGTTTTAATTGGCTAACTATTTTAATTATTAGTGTACTATTTTATTTATTATTTTCCCCCCTTTTTTGGCGATCTTATGTGGGGCACCATTTAGAAATTACGTTATGATTATAAGGAACTTTGTTTGACCTTTAATTTTAGCTCCATATGATAACGTGTCAAAATTCTTTTAGGTAGCCAAGGATGTAGTGATGTAGAAGACGATGCCATGCTTCATCTCCTCGATGACGAGCCCGAGTCTTGGCACGGTACAGTTGATAAAAAAGTATGAAAGATTTTTGTTTTCATTTGCATGAATCGTATCGATATGGATTATTTCATTCATTTGAGAGGATAGCAAATTAGTCATGTCACTAGTTGTAACCTAATTGCATATAGTCCTTATCAAACTAATATAGCAAATAAATTATGTGGTATTATTGTCTAGTGCATAGTTTTCTCATCATGGGTGTTGTCAAATGACTGGGAGGGAGTAGTGAGAAAATGACACTATTTATCTGAGGGCAGTAAAGGGGCATTCAACAGCAAGTAAGCAGTTGCAATGCGTTTGGAAAATTCGATTCCTTAAACACTTATGATGCAAACATTTAAGTTTTCATTTGATTTTAGAAATTTTAATCACATATCTTTATAAGAATTTGTACCAGATTATTAGTCAAACCTTTATGCCAGTGAATCGGATTTCGTGTACTGTAAAACCTTGTTTCATGAATTTAATTCATTCCTGAAAGCCATTCGATAACTGAAAGGTTTATAAACCAAAATATTCTGCACCCATAGGAATTAATGTAAAATGGACTTATCTATTTCTGATCCACAGGTAATTGTTTATTTAACGTTTACAGCAGAACTTTGTGCACAAGTTCATAATCAAAAATCAATGCCAAGCAAATCACTAAATGTAAAATTAAATGTATAAACACAGTGTTAAATGGATAAAACAATGAAAACTTAATTTTACTCTACCTGTATGAATGAAATGATGTATGAATGAAAATGATGAAGACATTTTTTTTTTTTTTTTTTTGGATGGAAAGTTACCTTCCATAAAAATACAAGTGATTACATTTAGGGGCATTGTCTTTTATCTTTTTTTTTTTTTTTTTTTTTTTTCCTTTAAGCATCATTTGACTCTGCTTGAGAATCACTGGGCTTATATCTCACTAAAAAATCATCCAATGTGGCTTGTATTTTTCTCTGTCATTAAATGTTTCAAAGTGAGACATGGCATTTTCATTGAAAATTCTTGATTTTAATATAGAAGAAGATGCTCCGTAGCTACCATCAAATATTGGTACTGGTACTAGTTTTCTGGTTTATTTATGCTAAGAATATTCTAAAAATTTCTGAAACTGGAAAATTATGGGTTTTTATTGACTATAATGAGTTTTTTTTTAGTTAAAAAATTAATGAACTAAAGATTAACATTATTTATTTTATGCAAAATATGATCTATTTCCCTGTGTATTTTCCCCTTTAGCTTTTTTAGCACCAGGATTTGAAATTTAAAAAATATTCATGTCATTTTTCTTTCCACAGTGCATTCAAAGACTGAGCTCCCCAAAATTTTAGAATGGATTTATCCACATAGTGATTATTTTCATCCTACTAACAAAGACAAGCCCTTGCAAACTAGCTGTGATGGTCATGCCAAACCTTTCCCTTCTAATTGTTGATATTTAAAGCAGTTAAATATGAGAATTGACCCATCACAGTGAAGCAAACAGGAACCAACATTAGGTCTACGATTTTGCTGAGTTGGCTGCACATTCTTCTCTAATCATTTTTGGATGATTTGATCCCTAAAGAGTAGCAGAGACAGATATAAGAGCGGGCAAGATTCAAGTTGCAGGAGAGCAGAAATAAGCATATCTTAGACATTGTAAAATTACTATTAATGTGTATTCTTATTGGAATCTAAGAAATAATATTGTAATAGCTGTAGTTTTCCATGATTACTTTTCATTTACCATGTTCTTAATGTAACCACATCCTTCCGGAATTAAGTTATTCACATAATTTTCCCATCTTAATTTTTTTGATAATAAAATTAGTATTAAAAAAAGTTATATGAGGAAGTACGGTATATTTGAATTGAGTGTTCATCATCCGAGGAGTTTTTGACTCAACTAATTTGTTTGTAAAGCTAGGCGTTTGTGATCTTCAGTTCTGCTGTAGTTTAATTTTTCTTTTTCAAGAAATCAGAAGTTAGCAATCACTGTTCTAAAAAATTATCACAAATCTCTATTTGAAGCAACATACAGTATGCTCGAATAATATTCTCTTTCAATACCTACCACAGCAGATATTGCAGGAATCTCAGTATGTTTTTCAGATATATAAAATAAATATTTAAAGAAATCAGTCTTTAATTGCTATTTTAGGCATCTTTAATTGCCACCACTCGAACCAGCCTTCTGGGATTTTCACTGCTGATTCTGAGAGCTCATGATGGGGATTGGCTTTGTTAACCTGAGTTTTGATTGGTCGCTTTATGTGGGCTACCCTGCACTAAGGATTTACTCAGAATATGGATCTAATGGACCAGCTGCTATGCTACTGGTACCACCAGATTTGGAACTTAACAGTCACCAGACCTGTCAAGAGTTGGAATAATGCCTTTCCCCTAACCCTAGCCTTGGAAACTACCAGGCTTCTATTTTTATCAACTGTCAAGATATAGATCCTAGCCAGTACAATAAATGACTATTGTGCAGGATAAGACAGACACAACTGTGATGAAGATATTGATAACAGTGACATGAAAATGATTTGTGAACTGTAGCAGATGACATAATTCCAGCACCACTTTTGATTTGAGACCTAGGGGATAGCTGTGGACAACAATAAGATTGATTGGGATCTGAGAAGCAGAAATAAAGATATCTTATTACGTAATGTAATGCTAATATTACCATGCATTGTTATCAGAACACAAGTTGCTTTTAAAGAAATAAAATTGTGGTAGTTAGCTGCAGTTTATCCTTGACTACTTTTCATTTGTTATGATCTTACAGTAACCACATGTTTCAGAAATTATAAATTATTTGCCTAATTTTCTCTTCTCTATTTTTGTACAGTGAAATTAGTTGGAAAAAAAAAAGTGAAAAATAGACTAAAAAGTACAGTAAATATTTATGGCAGCCGGCTTATTTATGGCAGATTTGAAATGTTGGTATTGCATTGTTGTAATGTGCTTAGCAAATGCATGTAACACTTTTTGTTTTCCAGGTTCTTAAAAAGTTAAAAGAGAAAGATGTAAAGAGGCAAGAAGCAATATATGGTATGTCGTCTCCTCCAATGGGAATGTTATTCTTTATAATTCATATTTTGAAGGTAGCAATAATAGAAGCATATTAAAAGGCTTTGCAACAGCAATATATGGTTAAGGACAATAAATAACGGTGGTTTCCTTCTTACAGTTTTAATTTTTTTTCTGTGCAGTGAACTGACATATTTAAGAGATTTTTAACAGAACTATTGATCTGTGTTTCTAATAAATATAATATTTTTTAGTTATCAATAATTAAATTATATTCAGTGAATTTAAAACCTGCATTTTAAAAATTGAATCATATAACCTTTTACCAGGTGCGTCATAAATTCGTGCAAAGTTAAAAAATTCGTAATAAAAGAAGGAATGCACAGAAAAAAAGAAGGAAAATTTTTTGTTTGCGGCAATATGGTCAGAAAGACATTAAATTTTTTTCTGGGGGTGGGGGGAACCAACCAAAAGTGACCGACAGAGGGTGCTCACCCGTCATACTGAGATATTTTATGGAAATCAGGCTATCTATAAATCACTTGGCTGGAAACGGATCCGTCATTCGAAGCTGGCAGCATGCTTTCTTTACCAGATCGGGCGTTGGTGGTTAAATTGTTCTACAAGAATGGTGAATCCACAACTGTTACACTGCGAAAGTTTCGCACGGAGAAAGGACTGAAGGCGCAAAAAAAGCCTTATTTCATTGAATGGGATACGGAATTTAGTACGACCTATTGAGGAAACGGCGAGTTTGGAGGATCGTCAACGAAGTGGACCCTTGAGAGCGGACCGTGTCCATGTGGTACAAAGTGTCATGAAAGCTATGGCAGCTGAAACATCAACGGGGAGTAGTAGTGCTCGTAAAGCTGAGAGAAGAATGGGATTCCGGAAGCGTCGATTTGACGTATTCTGTATGGAATGTTGGATCTGTATCCGTACAAAATCCAGCGACTTCACCAGTTATTACCGGCAGATACAGATGCAAGACAAAAGTTTGCTACATGGGTGCTGGCACAAATGGAACATAACTCTCAATAGTTGCTGAACGTCATGTGGACGAATGAAGCCCACTTTTCACTGCATGTTGACGTCAGTACGCAAAACAGTCGTATTTGGGCTATGTCAAACCCTTGCGAGTACCAGAGTTAGCCACTGCATTCTCCTCATGTGACTGTTTGGCGTGGTTTCATTGCATCTTTTATTCTGGGCCCTTTCTTTTTTCAAGAATCCTGTCCTGTATCCGGCATGAAAACCTGTACAGTCACTGCAGCACGCTTTTGCGTGACCATGTTGTGCCTGCATTGCAGGAAAGACATGCGTTACCTGTTGTCATCTTCATGCAGGATGGTGCCCCACCCGACATTGCATGCGATGTCAAGACATTCCTGTTGGAATCTTTCACCAAAGACCCGAGTGATAAATCACAGTTGTAAGATTCAGTGGCCCTCAAGATCACCAGAGTTGACCCCGGTAGATTTTTGGTTATGGAGATACTTAAGATCTCCACACAACCAAAAGTTTTTCAGTCCCCAACCACACTGGTGGAACTGAAAAATGCCATTCGGCTGACCATCGCTGCCATCGATGGTGACATGCTACACTCCGCTGTAATGGCATAGTGACATGCCTCACTTGCCTATTTATTACGGTGTGGTGGTGGTAATGTTGAACATCTGTTACTATAAAATAAATGCATAGTATCATGTTATTGTGATATGTTTGATTGTCTGTTTCTGTTTGCGTGATTTGAATAAAACCTCTCAGTATGACGTGTGAGCGCCCTCTGTCGGTTACTTTTGGAGACTTTTTTTTTTTTACATGGGAAAAAATCCGTCTTTCTGACCATATTGGCACAAACAGAAAATTTTTCCGTGCATTCTTTCTTTTATTACGAATTTTTAAAATTTGTACGAATTTATGATTAACCTGGTATAAGGATACTATACCATTTCATTGGAAATATTTATTTCCAACCAGAAATTTAAAAAATGGTACCTTTGTTGTATTAAGTATCTTTTTTGTTTAAAACTTAACCTTGAAAATATGCATAAGAATTATAAACACTACTTCATCAATAAACCTAAAATTTGTAAATAGATATGTAAAAAAATATAAATTTTAAATATTGTTCTTTTTTTAAAAAAAAAAAGTATGAGTGCAATTTAAAACAGTAATAATAGTTTTTAGATTATTTTGATTAACATTTCACTCATATCATTTCTTATTCATTAATTCATTATTTATTTAATTTTATTTTATAGTTTTAGAAATTAAATGTGTACATGGTTAATTACACAGTAGATAATTTCATTGTTATACAGTCAAAAGTCGTTAATTCGGACACCCATAATTCGGAATGATCTATAATCCGGACCTCAAAACTAAAAACTTTCTGCGCATGCGCCGCGTTGACACATGCGCATAGGCGTTTACGCGTGCGCGTAACACCTTTTACGACTGCGCATATGAGTGTGCGCAAGTGCAGAATATGTTTTCGCATGCGCATTTTATGTATAATGGACGTAAAAGCTAAAATTATCTAATTATCTATTTCAGTTAATGTTGATGATTGCGTTGTTACTTAATTTTCGAATTGGATCCGGCTTATTATTTTTTGCAGACTGTAAGAGCAATTTGATAAAAGTAAGCTTAAACTTTCGATTATATCAAATAGAATTTCCGATATATATTTGTTAATATGTAAAGGATCTAAAGCAAAAGTATGTTTTGAAATCCGAAATCTGTTTATTAATTTCACGCTGCTCGGCGGGGGGAACGCCGCAGCGGACGCGTAATGAATTGGAAGCTGATCTGTCAGCACTATCATTATCTTCAGGGCAGATGTTTTTATTTTATTTGGCTTATGATTCCTTACCAAATTAGTATTTCATCTCAATGTGCTCCGTCTTTGATATGATTTAAAACAAGTTCCTCGTCATTATAATTCTCTTCCGATAGTGAAGAAACGAAAAAATTCGATTGACAAATTAGTCGGTGTTCTTGACACAGCAATTATAGGACTTGAACAGCGGAACTTTGTAACTGAACAAGAAATTATGTCTGTTTAATAGAATTAAAGAGAAAGTATTATCACATGAAATGAAGCAAAACTTAAACAACTTACATTGAAAGAAATGTTTAATAAAGTAAACAAATAAATATTAAGCTTTTTCTTTTTGCAAATTTTGATACACTTTAGATCATAATTGTTCTTTATTTCATAAATTACGGTTTCATATTTTTAATTTTAGAATTTCTGCATGCCATCTTACGAGATTTAAACTGATGATCTATAATCCGGAAAAATCGATAATCCGGAATCGCCGAATTCCCGACGAGTCCGGATTAATGACTTTTGACTGTATTATATCGCAAATTCAAATTTTTCTTCCTTATTGACCCACATAATGAATTTTATTTTTTTGGGGGGGAGGAGTTGAGAGTTTCACATTCAAGCATTTATTAAAATTCCTTTTGTCATATTTTGTTTGTTTAGATATGTTCATTATATTTAAATTCCACCTTTCATGTCCATTATTTAGATATATATCTGTGTAGTAATTTAGTTAAATGTAAAATTTGTTGCAGTCTGTGTTATAAAACTAAAGTAATTACATCTTAGAACATAGACCTTTTTTATCAGAGTCCTAGAATTTGATTATTAGAATTATGAATTCCCAGAAGAACAGGATGAAACAGCTCCACTGTGTGTTTTAAACAAAAATCAGTTTTGGATAATTAATTTTTAAAAAATTTAATTTTTCATAAAAATATCAAGATGCAGAAAATTTGTATGCTTTAAAATAATAGATAATTAAATTTGTTTATCTGGAAGCAATAGAAAATTATTCTACCAGCATGCTTCTTTTTATAAAATGAACCTGTTCTTTTAGAAGGGTATTTCTCACACTAAAGAAAATAACTAAAAAGAATTATCTGTTGAAATGTATGTTTTATTAAACCTGCTTATTAGATTTCAAAATTCTGCAATTAATTCTCGTATGGGTCAAGTGTTCTTAAAAATCAAGTAGAGCTATTTCTTCCACTATCCTTACAAAAATGTCTCATAGAATTTTATAAAAATAAATCCACTTTAAAATCATTTAGAATTAGGGCCCAATTTTTTATAAACTAGGTCACAGATCTTCTGTAGAATTTTATGTTTTAGGTATAACTTTTATATAGAGAATTCTGTACAGATGTGTAAATTTTCTATAGAGATTCTGTAATAATCTGTACAGATTTTCTAAAGTCACCACTAATAAAATTTCTAGAATGAATTTCTAGAATTCTATCAAAAATATCAGATAAAGTTTGAAAAAAAAAAAAAAAAAAAAAAAAAAAAAAAAGGAATTGGGGTGTAATGGTAAAGAATTCTAAACATGTTTCTTTTTGAGTATTTAAAAGCATTCTAGAATGAACAAAAGATTCTTTTAGGATTAAAAAAAAATATTTTCTTTTAGTAGAATTCTTTTACTTTGAAATGGACTCAACTTGGAAAGGGGGGGGGAACTGAACACTTCTGTAGCAGATCTATTTCCCCCTAATAAAAATTTCAATTTTCTTTTTATTTAAAAAAGTATTGAAGCAAAAAGAAATGAATATTAAATAATAGTTTAATTTGATTTAGATTGAAAATCCACTTCTCATTATCAGGAGTAAATGTATGATAATTAAAAACAGTAATTTCAGAAATTAAAATTTTATAATTGATGACTTAAATTTAATCTTTTATATGTGATTTATTAATTTTTGTATTATGCAAACAGTACTATACAAGTAATTGCACAAAATGTCATATAAATTTAGAGTTTTAAAAAATTTTATAGCGCAACATTTCTTAGCAGATTACTTGTACGGTTCTATAGGAATTTCTGTAGAGCTCTAGCAGTCTCTTTAAAAATTTTCGTAACAACAATTTGAATACAGAAGATAAGATCTGAATTTATATTTATTTATTTATGTACTGTACATATTTTAAGTGATATATTTTAATGCATATTTTTAGAGCTTATTCTTACTGAGAAACATCACTGCCTAACACTGAAAGTCATGCAGAGAGTAAGTAAATTTTTTCAGGCTTTAATTTTCCACTGTAAATTTTTACATGTATCAGAGGGGATTTTGCCATTCTAATGATTTAAAAAATATAAAAACCATAGGATTTCTTTATTTCTTTTGTAAATTCAGAATTATACAAACAAGAAAACGCTAAAATATTAAGTGCAATTTATGCCATTTAATATGATTGCAGTCAATGTTAACATTTGGATATTGTTATATATTGTTATCAAACTGGCAAAGTTCCGATTATCAATGTACACTGGTGGAAAAAAAGGGACAGTTCAATATCTCCTGTTCTACTGAGCCAATTAACGTAATTCATATTGTGTTTTTCATGTCTCGAAAGGGCGATTTAGAATATGCATTAGATATATATATATATATAGCATTGTTCTTATTTAGGTATTTTGACACCAAATTGGACTTTTTCTGAAATGACATGCCAATTTGTTTTCCATATTTTGATTCTACGACTCAAATTATGTCTAAATATTAAATTTTGTAAAATTTGTTACAAAATTTACGGAGAATTCTAAAATTTATCTTGGCATATTTTTTTCAGTTTGAGCTAAGAATAATTCACTTGTTGAACTTATTAATTTGTAGCAACCTATTTTCCTTTCCTTTTTTCATTGTAAACGAACAGAAAAAAAGTCATATCATTCCTATTTTCAAATGATTTTAACAAAGTACCTAAACCACATTTGATGTTTTATCGCTTTCAGCAAATATGCCAAATTTCAAAACGTGCCAATGTATTAATTCACATATATCTTCTGAAATTTTGAATAAAAACTCTTAATTTTTTGCAGGTATGCTAAGAAATGCATCTACTTTAAGATGATTGTAAAAATTTTATATATGATAATTCAAAAATTGTTTTCAAAAAATTTATAAAAATGATTTAAAAATGCAAATTAAAAAAATAAATCATAAAAAATGGTCGAATTTTATTTGGAATGAACCTAAATTTCAAAATATGAAAGGAAGAATCAAATAAGTTTAATAAAAAAAAGAGAGATTAATAAATGTATGCCAAATTCAATTAACATTGAGGCGCTAAAATTTTGAGAGCTAATTTTTTAAAAATTACTCATGCAATTTTTATAAAACTTTGCAGTTTGGCATAATTTAAGTCGTAGAATCGAAATTGGCATGTCATTTCAGAAAAAGTCCGATTTTGTGTCAAAATAAATATATTAGAACAGTGCTATGTACAGTCAAAAGTCGTTAATTTGGACACCCATAATCCATAATGATCTATAATCCGGACCTCAAAGCTACAAACTTTCTGCACATCTGTTTCATTGACGCATGCGCGTAAGACCTTTACGGCTGCGCATATGTGTGTGCGCATGCTCATAATAAGTTTACGCATGCGCATTTAATGTATAATGGACAGTATAAGGTAAAATTATCTAATTATCTATTTCAGTTAATGTTGAAGATTGCATTGTTCCTTAATCTTTGAATTGGATCCGGCTTATTATTTTTTGCAGACTGTTAGAGCAATTTTATAAAAGTAAACTTGAACTTTCGACTATGTCAAATAGAATTTCTGATATATATTTATTAATATGTAAAGGATCTACGAAGCGAAAGTATGTTTCGAAGTTCATTAAACAAAAAGTGGAATTGCTACAAAAAATGGATAAAGGCATATCTTTTGTTTATCTAAACTTTAACGCTTGTTTATCTTTAATTATGCGGGGTGCAATGAATTGGAAGCAGCACTATCCTTATCTTCAGGGCAGATGTTTTTATTTTATTTGGCTTATAATTCCTTACTAAATGTAGTATTTCATCTCGATGTACTCCGTCTATGATATGATTTAAATCAAATTCATCGTCATTATAATTCGCTTCCGATAGCGAAGAAAATAACAGAGGTTATTGAAAACGAAAAAAATTCGATTGACAAATTAGTCGGTATTCTCGACACAGCAATTATAGGACTTGAACAGCGGAACTTTGTAACTTAACAGGAAATTATGTCTGTTTATAGAATTAAAGAGAATGTATTATCACATAAAAAACGAAGCAACTTAAACAACTTACATTGAAAGAAATGTTTAATGAATTAAACAAATAAATATTAAGCTTTTTTTCTTGTAATTTTTGATACCCTTTAGATCATAATTGTTCTTTATTTCATAAATTACGGTTTCATATTTTTAATTTTATAATTTTTGCATGCCATCTTACCAGATTTAAACTGATGATCTATAATCCGGAAAAATCGATAATCCGGAATCACCGAAGTCCCGACGAGTCCGGATTAACGACTTTTGACTGTATATATCTAATACATATCCTAAGTCGTGCTATCGAGACATGAAAAATGCAAGTTGAATTTCATCAGTCAGCCAAGTAGAACTGGAAATATAGAACTCCCCCATTTTTTTTTGTGCAGTATACATTGCTTATTGTCACAGCAGTGTGATTAATGTTATGTAAATGTTACAGAATAAATTTTTAAAGCTGAAGTACAATCACCAAATAACATCAAAACTGACAATAAATATTGTTGAGTGACAGAGAAATATCACCAAGTAAGGAAATAAATTGCTAAACAGCTTGGTTTCGATTTTTATCAATCAAACTAGGCAAAAATAAATTCTGATGAAACTGGCATCAGGCAGCAAAATTTAGAATTTATTGAGTTTACAGGAGGTGGCACAAAAGCATAAAATTGTCACTGTTTCCACCCAAAAAACCTTGTTTGGTGTAGATTTTTTTATAATTGTATTGATTGTGAGAGCAATCAGACGCAGGTTCCTCTTCCCAGGACTGAGAGAAAAAGGGAAGGACTCTGAAATAAAAATTATCTGAAAACATCTATTCAAAACTAAGACTGCTTTTTTGCATAATTTTAAATTTTACATTGGCAAGTTCTCTTCCAATGAGAAGATGCCTTTCAAATGTTAAGATTAAGGGTATGGGGTTGGTTAAATATTTTCCAAGAAACATTTTGAAGAGTTCATCAATGAACTTCTGCTTAAAGACATTATGGACAATTCATAAACAAACTTTTGTATTTCCTAATTAAAATGCTTTGAATATATGTTTATAGCTTTATTTATATTAAATTACTTAAATTCCATTGCTATTTTGAAGGATATTTTTCCTTCATCCTTTAGTGTTATCATTTGTTTAATATTATAATAGTACATGGAGAAATGTGATCACATTAAGCGGTGACTACTGTAGTATATTATTCCTCAAATATAATGAAATAAAGAAACAATTCAGGCATATTTTAAATTTGTATGTTGCCATCAGATTTCATCATTACTGTAAAATTTTATTGTAGATGCAGATGATAGTTCGTGTGAGAAGTAGAATTAGAAATTTTGCAGTGGTTATGTATGATGTTCGAAATCTGTTTATTGTATTTATGGCATGAAATAACATTTATTGTAAAATGTTATTAAAAATGCAGAAAAAATTACTTTTAAAATTAATCATCAATATTACTGCACTGAGCAATGCATCTGATTGGTCCTTGTCGCTACATCAGTTAGATTTTGTGTCAACTAATGTGCTATTCAGTTATAAAGTATTACTTATTTTACATTAGGTTTTTGTAAACTGCATCCATTAGATTAAAATAATGAGACAATAGAAGCAGAAATTGAAATAAAACTAAAAATGAATTCATTTAGATGTTTATAAAACTTCTTTCTTGTTTACTTAATACTGTGAGAAATAAAGTAATTTTTTCCCCCCTGTTGTTTCAGGTGTTTGCAAAAGGTATGATGCAAGAATTAAACGTCAGCAAAGATATGGTTCAGAGGATTTTCCCGTGCTTAGATGACCTGCTCAGAATTCACCTCACCTTTTTGCAAAAGTTAAGAGAAAGGCAGAAGGAAGAAGTTATAGTACCTCACGTTGGTGATGTAATTTTACAACAGGTGGCTTCCTTTGATATTTAGAAAATAAAATTAGTAATGCTATGATTTATATTTCATAAGAATTTGAGAATTTAATGCACCTTTAATTGAATGGTTAGTTATAAAGAATCATTCTATTGTTAATGATTATGGCAAAACATTAATAATTTTTCTCTTAATTTTTATAAGATTAAGCATTGATTTGTATCATGTGTAACAATACGACCTTATTGACTTACCGTATTTGACGGCATATATGATGCACTTTTTTTCCTAAATTTAGTCTCAAAAAAAGTTACCTGCGTCTTATACGTGAAGGACACAGGTTAACTTTCAACACTGAATGCTATTTTTGGACCGGATAAAGGTCTAGACACACATAACTTTTTCTACATCTGCCATAATTATTTTGTGCATACGTGAAATATCTGTCGCCAAAAAGCGCCAAAGCTCGAAGCTGATGTCAAAGTTTGAACAGGTTTGACGGTTACTATATGTCTATGGAGCCTTTCCTTCTTTACATAGACTTTCTTTGACTCAGCCGACACACGTGTAGGTATCGGTGCTACTTTGTATAAACGTGTCGGTATCGGTGCTTAAAACTATTTGTTTTAAAAAAATACTCTAGAAAATATGACTACAGGAAACAAGAGATTAAGCTCTACGCCAAAGTGCATGGAAACAGAGCAGCAGCAAGGCATTTCGGTCCACCACCTACCGACAAAATGATATGTACTTGGCGACTGCAGGAGATCAACTGAAGACTGCTAAAAAACAAAAACATAACCTTCGATGCCCAGCTCCATCTTGGCCTGAACTTGAAAATACCGTAAAAATGTGGGTGATAGATAAGAGAAAATCTGGGATAAGTGTTTCAACCAAAATGATAATCAATGAGGCCAAAAGATTTGCAGAAAAACTTGGGAATCAGAACTTTTCAGGGTCTGAGGGCTGGTGCTACAGGTTCATGAAAAGGCAAGGCTTATCAATGCGCCCAAAAACAACTATTGCACAGAAAATGCCAGCAGATTATGAAGAAAAAATACTAGTATTTCATTACAAAACCTGAGAACTAAAAGAAGCCACATTTTAAGTTATTGTGGTACTGCGCGGACTATTGAAAATTTTTCCTTGTGTGTGGCCTTCTAAATAAGGGTGCGTCTTATATGCCGTCAAATATGGTACTCTGTATAAGCATTTTTTCTCTTTTTAATTAAGGTGAGATTAAATTTTCAGAAAATTTAAAATTTCAAAAAACGTATCAGAATGTAACACAAGTGTTATCAATTTGAATTGTTGGAATGAGTGCTTTTGGTGTTGATCCCAATATTTATCAATCTCGTTCTAGATATATTTTAACTAAGACTAATAGACTGTAGTTTATATTAAAAAAATTCAAAAATAATTTATATTTTTAAAATTCTTCAAGCATTTGAATTAATTTTATTAAGAACTCTTCTTTTAGTATTTTTGCTATAATTGCAGGTAAAATTCCTTGGCCTTTTGTTTTTATCTTTTGTATATGTGTATGAATATGTATTGTCAAAAACTTCACTGACTGTGTTTCTTTGACACATTAAACTGCCATATACATGGTAGGTTCCCATACACCAAGGCCTGAGTATCTTATAGTCAGATAGCTATGTCACTGTAACTCAGTTTTTTATTTTAGTGATGGGCAACCTAACCTTGACATGCTCAGAAGTATTGCTCAATGTAATGATGATACCTTTAATCAAACAGTTTATGTGGAAACTGCAACTGTATGGAAACTGCAACTGTCCAACAAAAAGCACACAGTGTGTGTTATAGTAGTAGTCTCTAACTCAAATTGTATGTAGGCTTAATGAATGATCTGAAAATAGCTAATGGCCCAGAATGTTTTTTACCAATTGAACATTTTTATTAATAAAATAAAAATTTTCTTAAATAAATTTTAAATGTCATGAACTAAAGACATGAACAATAATAATATCACAAAGGAAAAACTTCAAATTATTATATATTTTCTATCTGAAATCTGAAGTTTGTCACATACAAGGTAGTTTTATTGGTTTCAGTTTGTAATATTGACAGTTAAATAATAATTCCAGTTTGATATTTATTTCAAGTAGTTATAACGTGTTTAATTAATCATTAAATAACGCTTTCATTTAAACTAAAAGTAAACAAATTATGAAAACTTTTCAAGTTAGCCAAAATTCTAGAGTATAAGAGGAATGTATACAGTACAAAGTCCGTAATCCGGATTCGTCGGGACTTCAGCGATTCAGGATTAGGGGTAAATCTGGTAAAATGGCATGCAGAAATTATACAATTAAAATATGAAACTGTAATTTATGAAATAAAGAGCAATTATAATTTAAAAGGTATCAAAATTTAGAAACAAAAAGCTTAATATTTATTTGTTTACTTTTGTAAACATTTCTATCAATGTAAGTTATTTAAATTGCTTCATTTTTTGTGATAATACTTTCTCTTTAATTCTATAAACAGACATCATTTCTTGTTCAGTTACAAAGTTCCACTGTTCAAGTCCTGTAATTGCCGTGTCGAGAATACCGACTAACTTGTCAATCAAAATTTTTTCGTTTTCAATAACGTTCTCTGTTACTTTCTTCGCTATTGGAAGCGTGCATGGGTAAGCGCTTTACTAGCTTTATGCGCATGTGTAGCGGACGTGCGCTTCAAATGCGCATGTGTAAGTTTTTGTGGCTTTGGGGTCCGGATCATAGTTCATTCTGGATAATGGACGTTCGGATTAGAGACTTTGTACTGTATTTCATTATTTCAAAGAAATAAACACTTGCAAAGTGATGTTTAAAATAGTTTCTTTTAAACATAACAGAAAAAGAATTACGAGCATAGTATTTACAGCTCAATGAGAATTACATAATGCTACACCATAGTGCCTCCAAAGATAACTATGCAGTATTCTTTTTCACTTTTCGCCAGTGCTGGCACAATCCGAATTCAAACCTTAGGGCGGGAGGAGAGCAAAGTCACTCCAGCATGTTCAGAGTGAGGGCAGAAGTTAATACAGTTTTTGATTTGTTGCAAGAGTAAATAATGATGACCTATCCTCTTTCTCTTATTTATTAATTTTTTTTTCAGTTCTTAAATATGTATATTAAATAATCATAAACTTCTTTCTGCTTGACATCTGATGATGTTTCAATTCCGATAAAATTGGTTACTGCTTGACATGTCATGATGTTTTGATTCCGATAAAATTTGTAGCCTTTGAAGAGAAATTACTAAAAACGACCTTCATGAAGGAATGTAGATGTTTGTTGGTCAGTCGAGTTCTTTTCTTATTTATTTTCAATTATTTGGAGGAGGTGGGGGAGAAGCTCAAATATATATGCATTCCCAAACACAATAATTATTCTTTATAAAAATTTGGTGCTAACTGTATTTATTTTTTGACAAGCACAAATAAAAGTTAATAAAATCTGTATCTTCTGTTTAGATGAGATTTATATCGCACTGCAAATTAATTAGTTCCATTTGTAGATTTTCTGATGCATTATTTCATGTTCATATGAATGGTAATATTATAGATGTTCTGGTGCATTATTCATGTTCATAGGAATGGTATGAATGGTAATGAAATATGTTATAATAATGGTAATGAATATAATGGGAACTTAAGACTTTAAATAAATTAATCTTGAAATATTTGCAAACTATATTTGCAATAAGTACACAACTGAAATGTATTTGTGAGCCACATAAAATTACTTCGGAGGCTGCATGTGGCCTACAGACCACCAGTTTCAGACCACTTAATTGTGGTATTCAGAATTTAAATCTTTTGAAATTGCCAACAAAATTTTAGGATAATTCTTATGGGATACAGCCAACTAATGCAAAATTATCGCCTGCTGCTTACAGATTATTAAATTTATATCTGCATGTCACCCAGTACAGCTTATACTGAAATTTACTAAATATATGGTAAAAATAACTCAATAAAAATTGTTCCCCCTGCTCCAAATACTTTTTTTTTTTTTTTTATGAAATTGTGAGAACTTGGAACCATGTTTTTCAAAACTGTGTGTTTATTTTAACTACAGTAAAAGACCGACTGTCCAGCATTCTGCTAAATAGAAAGGTTAAATAACAAGAAAATTAAAAAATTTTGGGGGATTTAAAAAAAAAAAAACTTTCTCCAAAATGTAAGTAAATGAGAGGTTTGAAACATTATTTTAGAGCTTGTTTAATATTATATTAATCATATACATTGACGCCAAATAGTGTGATTGAGCACCAGAAACGGATAAGCATGATCACAAGAATTTAGCCTTGGTTTTATGTAAACTAAATTATTCTTCATAAACCAGTTTAATTTTTGTAAAAAAAGGATATAAGTTCTGCTTTTCGTTGCATTTTGAGAAAATTATTAATACTTATGGCCACTTTTCGTGAAACAGTATCCAGTAGAGTAGTTTCTATGTTATAGAGTACTGGCAACAGATAAACATGATGTGCAGCTTTACTTGAAAATGATGTAAGGTGAAAAACTGAAATATCCAATTTAAGTTTTTATATGCTATATCTTTGTATCTGTTTTTGTAAAGAATGATCTTTTCCATTAAAGTTCAGCTGGAATGACTGGTGCAAATTGGCGACATTTTTACCAACTTTCATGTCTGGTGGGATTTCATAATCGCATAAGATGTTTTACTTTCATGTACATCAGCATTTATAACTGAAATGCATTTTTTTTGCCCTGAAATCTTGTAGAATTTTAAATGTAGACTTTTGATATTCAAGTTGCTAACAAATACGTGATTGTTTTTATAATTTTTAACCATAAATTTCTTCCATTCGTTTGGCTTTTTATCCTGAATTCCAATTTTTATGCATTCAACTTGTCCAAAGTATGTTTTTTTTTAATTGGATATATTTATTTTTAACAGTTCGATGGTCAAAATGGTGATGAGATGTGTACATTATACTCTCAGTTTTGCAGTCAGCACAAAGAAGCTCTTTCATTGTATAAAGATATTCTGAAATCCGATAGGAAATTTCAGTCATTTGTCAAAGTAAGGAATCGTCTATTATGAATAGTGAATATAAGGAATAGGGAAAAATTTAAATATATATATTCATATTTTTGTTTTAGCGGTGTGGAACAAAGTCTTTCTGTAAGGCAAGAGGCATTCCAGAATGCATTTTATTAGTCACGCAGCGTGTAACAAAATACCCTCTTCTTGTTGATGCCTTAATCAGAACTACAAAAGGTAATTATTATTATTATTATTGTTATTGCATTCACATTTAACCTGTTCAATACTGGCAAAAGGAGGAAAAAACTCTTCCCCAAGCCGGAGCACTCCGAAAGTACTTGTACATGCAAGACTAGGCAGTTTTCTCCACGAAGCCTAATTTCATTTAAAATCGTTACTGCAATTAAATATTCTGAAATTTGCAATTTATTGCCATTGATAGTATCTGAATATACTGTAATAAAGTTTTCATAATGATTTTTAAAAATGTATAATTTAAAGAAGATAGTGTCATTTTAATAAAAGTGCTGTGGGGAAAAATGCACATTTTAAAAATTTGAATAAATTTCTAGTAAAACTACATGATACATTCAAACAAATTTCATAAATGTAACGAAATGAATGGATTGTTCGCTTTTATAAAGTTCTATTAGTGTCTGGCTTCTCTCCCCCCCCAAAAAAAAATCGAACACATGCAGTTGTTTACATGTTCAAATTCCTTTGAACCTTAAGAAAATTGTAATCTAAAAAAATACAAATATACCAAAAATGGGATTTATTCCTGTTGGTCATTGAATGATTGACGTATGTAATGTTGCATTTTCAAATGAAAATTTACAAATGAAGTGTTCTTTCCTAAGCTCCTTTTCCTGATCAATCTTTTTATCTCTTACAGTATTCACATGTCTTTTGTTATTTTCCTGTTGAAGCTGTTAGAAACAGTAGGACTATATTTATCGGCATATGCACATGCTGTAACATATCTAGTGTTTTTAATGTAGATTGATAGCTGGTATAGTCATGTGTGTATTTGTGCATATATGCTGTAACAATAGATGTACACTTGTGCTCCTGATTTTGGTAGCTTGTGCATGAAATCAGGTATGAAACACATAAAAATTTCATTGCATCGGATTTCATAATGGGCCAGATTATAAATTAGAAGGGCTAGGTTTTGCCCACTCCTGGTATAGTTTTTTAGTGATACTAGCTGCCATTTCACTGACATGTGTTTGAATCCTGGTGAAGGCATGAATGCTTGTAAGTGTGTAGTGTCTGTGAGGTATAGGCACATTTAAAAGTCTGTTGACCCAAATATCTTATCGAGTGATTATTGGTAGGTAGAAGTAGGTGAAACTGCTCTTTTCTGGCATCAGATCAGAACTATATACTCAATCAAGTGAGTCAGTTCTTTTTTATAACTCATTAACAATACCTTGTGCTCATTAACAATACTTTTGAGGAATAAGATCATAAATGGGAAATGCATCAAGAGGTACGTGTGAGGATGGAACAAAGAGTAGAAAATGAGGAGTGGAATCTGAAGAATCGATTCTGTCAAACTGCTCCTTTCCTGGACTGATTTCTTTCAACTTTACTGTTGAGATTCTCTGAAATCTCTTTTTCCAAATATTACTGTCAATAAACATCTGGAATAAAAACACGTTTAAAAAGTTGGGAAATTATAAAAATTAATTGTGGTTGAGCTGATGACCTATGGATTTCTCCTTGCACCTGTCTTAAAAAGAAAGCAAATGAAGAAGTACTGTAATCTGCATTTTTTTAGGGCTAAAAATAATTTACTCAGTTCATATATTTGAAACAATTATATCAATCTGCAATTTACCTCTCCATCTGTAAGTAAGCTATTACATTCTTATCTTTAGAAAAGTAAGTGGTATATTTTCTTTCTCTTAAAAGGGTGATTTCCTTTCAGAAATAAATAATATAACTTAGAATTCTGTTGAAAGTGTTAGGATATTAATTAAACCCTCTTTTCAAACCACTGTAATTCTGAGCTCATCACTTATGCTTTGGAACATCACAAGAATAATATAAAACAAATAAGTTTTAGTAATTTTCTAATTTATTTCATTACAATTTGTAGTAAATGCATAAAAGTATTCAGTTATTCTCTTTCATATGATTTTCATAAAACCGAGTGTTGCTTTTTCTTCTTCTTTGACTACTATGACAACATTAGCTAGATTGTAGAATAGTTTGTAGTTTATAATTTTTATTTACAGTGCTAAGTATTTTAGCATGGAAAGTATTTTTCCCTTGGATATATCTTTTTTAATTGTCCATGTATTACTGTGCATGGTTGTAGTTTAAATAGAATGCAGTTACTTTTTTAGCATTGAACATGAATTTAATGTATTTTGTTTTTCTTATTTTCATTAATATTACAGATAATAAATTAGAAACTGAAAGGTTAAGCAAGGCTTTGGCTAAAATCAAGGTAACCAAAATTTTTGCTGTTTCCATTTCATATCTGTTTCATTTTTACCCCAGTTTTTACCTTGATTTGCACATGTCTATTAATACAATTGTCATATTGTTGTAGGACATAGTCCTTCAAGTTAATTCTGCCGTGGCCGAAAAAGAAAAAGAAGAGAGATTGTTGGAAATTTATAACAGAATCGATGCCAAATCCACTGCATTTTTTAAAAGAAAAAAATTTAAGGTATGTAGATTTTAAAAAAAAATCTGTGGTCATGCACTTTTTGTGTGCGAATATTCTTTTTTACCTAAAATTTTGAACCTAAAATCTTTAATTAAATCCAGAAATTCTAAAATGAAGAGGAAACATATTGAAGAAAAAAACTGAATACATAAAGAGAAAGAAATTTATTTTTCAAATATATGTACACTTATTATTATCTAAATTAACCAGTTATTTATAATTAAAATTTATAAATTCATAATGTGATTATTCATCTTTGCATTATCGCTGCTGACATTTGAATTTTTTATGATGATAGAGTTATCGAGCCAGCTTAGATTAAATTGTGTAGTCTTTGACTCCTAGTTCACATTTTTAGTTTGAATGGAACTGTTCTTGTTTAACTGTATCACTACGAGCTGTAGTTGATTTTGTTAGCATAAGAATGTGCCTTTGTGTTCTAAATTCTTTTTAAATAAGAAGTTGTTTTGGACTATTTAGTCTGTCAGGAGTTTTGGACTATTTATCTTTTACCAGGTCTAGTAAAATCTCATAGATACATTGTTGAGAGATTGACAAATTAGGAGATAAAGCATGCAGAAACTAGTGGGAACACTGGTTTGCGTACTGAAATAAATTTCTAATTGTTAGAAAAGATGCTTAAAGAGAAAGAAATTGATATAAATTAGCCCAAATGTCTAGGAAGGCTCCAAATTAAAAAGCTGCATCATTTATATTTTATTATGTGGTGTTGCTACAAAATATAAATGTTACAACTCCAGGAACTCTACACGAAGATATGACTCTAACAGTGTCAGACAGACAGAGCACAACTAACTTTCAAAACTTGCCAACCATGCCTACATCAGGCTTTCAGTTTTGTTGTCATCAGCAAGTCTCACTCTAGGCAAGCAACAGAGGTGGCAACAGCCAATCTTCTGTTACAATTCATGCTGATTATGATTTTACTTCTCAATTTAACCTATGCTGTTTGAATTAAAATCTACCTGCTATTTACTAAACCTGTAGATTGAGAAAGTATGTGTCAAAATGAGACATAAAAGAAAAAAGTCAACATAAAGCTGTGTGTAAAACATAAAATAAAATGTCACTAATCTTCTTTCAAATATGTCTTAACTGTTATAATGCTATATGTCTTAATGATTTAATGCTACTTGATAAATTTTATAAGGTTGATTTTATTCTTAAATTTCTTTTATAATTATGTGTAATAATAATGCATGCTACTTATGGATCTATTTTATTCTTAAGGTGGTATTACAAAAGTGAAGTTCAGGTACAGATAATATCTTTAGTTGAATATATTCAGTTCCCATTTGCTGATAGGTCCTCAATTTTTTTTCATAAATGGTTCTTAAAAGTACTTAATTTCCATGTGTAGAAATGTGTGGGAAACCTGAGAGCAAGATATTTTTTTGACAACCTCGGATATTATAGAAAAGCTTAATTCAGCTCAGCAAACCATTTTAGGCCAGATTCGTAAACTAGGATTTGTCTATAAATATTCCAGAATTGAGAAAAATTTGCATGATTGAATCGTCATGTGCACGTCTCTGCTTGCTTGGAACAAAAATGCACCCTTTTTGGACCGGATGATAACTGGGGATGAAAAGGGGGTTACCTAGGAAAATAGCACTCTGAGCCCAGACAACATGCCCTTTCTGCTTCTAAACCGAGTGTGAGCCTAAGTAAGGGAATGGTGTGTATATTGCGGGACGTCCAAGGATCAGTATATTACGAGCTTTTGAAACCTTAAGAAAAGCTTAATTTGGAGAGATGCTGTCAGCAAATGGATGATTTAAACAAAGAAAAGCAACAGGGGATGTTCAATAGGAAGTACATCATACTGCATCATGATAATGGTACATCACATGGCTGGGTTGGTGACTTGTCAGAAAATCGCAGAGCTAGGCAGGGAAATTCTACCACATCCACCATACTGCCCAGACCTAGCACCATCTGTTTATCACTTGTTTCTTCCTAGCAAAATTTTTTCAAATTCAAAACTGAAGTAGATATTAGACAGGCACTACTCAAGTTCTTTGCCTGTAAGGACAAGACATTTTTCAACGATAGCATCCATAAATTACCATCATGCTGGCAATAGGTCATAAGTAATGATGACAATTGTATTGTGCAATAAATATTATTAAAGAAGAAATTGAATATTACTGAAAAATGTATTATTTTCTTTCACTTCCCAAATGGATAGAATTTCCTGGTATCCCTTATATGTACAAGCACTGTTCAAGAAAGACCAAACTTTTGCTGTTCTTTCTTTATTGCTAATTATACAAATTTTCAACTATTACTCCCTTCAAAGCACTACCTTCTAGTGTCAATGCACTGTTGCTTTCACTTCATTTAGTTTTGGAACTCCCGCTGGAAATGAATCAAAACCTTAAACTTGCCTCAATTATAAAAGAAATAAAAAACAAACTCGAAATTCAAAATTCTGAGTTTGGGGTGCAAATATTTGTTTGCTATATATGTTCAAAATCTTATGGGTGTAGTTAATTTTGTATGTGTATAATTGAAAAGAATGCTTATCAATCTAAATGATATAATTTTTTTGTCAATTTCAGAAATCTGATTTACTTTCCGACTGTCGCAAGTTACGGTTTGAAGGGTCTCTGGAATGGAAGAGTGCAAGAGGCAAAGTTATTGGTAACAGCTTATAAAATTATATCTCTAATTTTGTAGTGATATTTACCTTTTCTAACCATTTAAGCTTAAGTCATCATAAGGTTTTAGAAATGAAAAAATATTACTAAAAATAAGGTAATTGGTTATTTTTAATTTTGTTTTGCACAGATAAGGATAAATATAAATATGTAAATCATGTACCATCAGATACAAATATGTGTATTAAAAGGGGTAAAAAATTGTACCACCAAAAATAATGTAATGTACCATCAGTAATACATGTACCATAATTTGAGAAATCCTGTTCTATATAGTTTCAGGATTGAATTTTTCAGTCAGTTCTGCTGGATTTGCTAAATATTAACTTGTGATATTAATTATTATCTTCTGTTGCATATTTAGAAACTTGAAATAAGCAATAGTAAGGATTAGGTTGAAACAGCCGGTAAAAAATTGTAGCACCAAAAATAATGTAATGTACCATACAGGTACCATAATTTGAGAAATCCTGGTCTATATAGTTTCAGGATTGAATTTTTCAGTCAATTCTACTGGATTTGCTAAATATTAACTTATGATATTAATTATTATCTTCTGTTGCTTATTTAGAAACTGGAAATAAGCAATAGTAAGGATTAGGTTGAAACAGCCAACTGCAGTCCTAAAATTTAGAGGAGAAAATTACAACTTTGCCATTAAACTGTTCTTGCAATACAACCTACCTAATGGAACCTCTATTATAAAATAGCTGGAATAGATAATATCTGAAACTATTGTTCAACTTCAGACATAGACAGATTAAAAGTAAAGTAAAGTTTATTTTGCTATTTTTCATGGTTTTATAACTGAGGAAATAGACAATACAAATATTATTCATTACTTATCTATGATAGCTTTATAAAATGTTAGATGACTGACTTTGTTGGGTATTACAATTAACTGAAACAAGTTTCCATTCCATCCACAATCTTGGTTGCTTTACCACCAACTAAACACATAATTTAAATTACCAACTCGCACAGCAAACAGGTCTGTTACAGTCTGTGATGAATTCAACTAATGCTAAGTAGTGCTAGCAAGCAATGTCCACTCCAGTAGGCACGAACTGCAGCTTAAAATGTAGAATAGATTGGAATATTTGGATTATGGCAAAGCATGCAATAGCTGTTTTCAGTGCTAAAAGAAATATCAGAGCTTTCAAAATGGATTTTTTAAGTATTTTTCTTAAATGCAGAAATACGAATGGCAGATCTTCAAAACTGAAATTTTTTTCCTACCTTCCTTCTTCATTGTCATAGTCTTTTTTCTTTCTTTTTTTTTTTTAAGAGTCTTTTTCAGTACATTTAAAATTTCAAAAATTTCAAAATAAAAAATTTTTTCTCTTTCCCCCATTTTTTGAGTTGAATTTAAAAAATTAAAAGATATAAAAATAAAGTAGATTAATTATAAAGTCCAAGATTAAATTGCCAACGTTTTCAATATTGAATTTTTTGGGAGTATTTTTTAGTGCAGAAGCAAGTGCCAAAGCTGTTCAGAATAGAATTTTTTTCATTAAAAAAAGAGCATTTATTATATGCTGTTGTTAATTTATTGTGTTTTTTATTATGTTTTATCTTTTATCTTTCTTACTCCTTCTGTGAATGTTTTTCATTGCAGAAACAGGTCGATTTTTGTTGCTACATTTTTTATCAGTTGAAAGCAATGATGAGGATAAAATCTGTTATAACATTATAACATGATTGTATTCTGAAGTTTTAGAGTCAATTTTTTTCCTAGTTACCTACATAACATCTAAATTTTTGTTCAGAGGGATGGATGGGAAAAAATAAGAGATCACATTAAAAAAAAAAGCACTGCACATTTTCTGTTTTGCATATAGCTTGTAATTATCTAGTGTAATTTAAATGTTTTGGCAAAAGTAGGAGCTGATTACTAAGTATTTATTTATTTATTTATTTTTTTTTAATATTTAGATGTGCATGTCATAATATTATCTGATGTCATTGTTCTGCTGCAAGAAAATAATCAAAAATATTCTTTTGCTGCTTTAGATAATAAGGTATGTATATTTTTGAATAGATCTAAATTTATATATGCATTTTTACTTATTGCTTTTATGATTTGCCAACTATAATGCAGAGCTGCCAATATGCACAGTAAAACAGGAGACTCATAATTTTTTTAAATCAGATGTCCAGGTCTCTCGGCAGACCTCTTAATATATATAGTACAAAGTCTGAAATCTGAATGATAGAAAAAATACTACTTATGAAGGATATCAATTGCTTTTAAATGACAATCCCCTTGAGAGGGTGAATGAAATTAAATATCTAGGTGTTTTGTTGGACAGCAAATTTAACTGGAAAAAGCATATTTCCTACATTTCTAATAAAGGTGAGAGACTTCAGCGTGGGCTGAATCGAATTGCTTGTAATAGTTTTGGTGTTAAATCGAATGTTAGTGCAATTATTTATAAACAAGGCATTGTACCCCTTATTTCATATGGATGTAGAGCTTGGGGATTGTCTCTAAAAAAGAAAATTAACTCTAAACGCCTGCTTCGAGTTCAAAGACGAATTTTGCTGCGAGTTATAAGCGGTTACCGAACTATTAGTTACAATGCTGTTTTCTCTCTTGCTGGATTTCCACCACTGGATTTGTTTATTCTGACCTTTATAGATTACAAGAATAGTCTTGCAAATTACTCCAATTCTCACTTTGATCGTTTATTGCCCTTGTCTGTTCTACCACATCCTTCTGTAAGACAACCAGTACAGATTCTGGATAGTACGGACACTGATGTTAATTCATTCTCATTTGTGCTGTATACGGATGGTAGTAGGATTGATGATAAAGTTGGTTTTGCTTATGTTATTTTTGAAGATGATATTGAAATTGAGTGTCACCAATTTCGCATTAGAAATGAATGTTCTGTATATATTTCTGAGCTTCTGTGTATTAATTTTGCAATCAAGTGGATAATTAGCCAGAATGGAAGTGGTTCCAGCTACTTAATCTGTACGGATTCACTCTCTTCCCTGGAATCTCTTAAAAATACCTCTTTATGTAATGATATTATTGTCAGTATACAGCAGTCTTGGAGATCTGGAGAAGAGGGGTATTTCAGTGTTTTTTACATTTGTCCGTGGTCATTCGGGTAATTATGGAAACGAGAGAGCTGATTGGCTTGCTAAGAATGCAACTAAAAATGATATTAAAGTTGATGTAAATATTCCAAAATCTTATTTAAAAAAAACATTCAAAGCTCAAATGATTGAGCGGTGGAACTGTGATTATATCTCTTCTGATAAGGGATCTGTTACAAAAGCATTCTTCCCAACTATTTTTGAAAGACTGAAAAGTAAGGACTTGTTGCTCAATTTTAAAGCTACACAATTTTTGTCTGGACATGGTAAGTTTAATGTTTATCTTGAACGATTTAAGCTGACATCTTCCAATTTGTGTAATTGCAGTCTTAGCGTTCAGCAAAATGTTTTTTACCTGCTTTTTGATTGCCCACTGCTTGATAAAGCAAGAAATCTTTTGAAATGTAGATTGAAATTCATTGGAATTCATTGGCCGCCGAAATGTTATGATTTTGTATCCTCGATTTCGGCCTACCGAGCTTTCAATGATTTTATTGACTTTTATTTTAAACACTGTTAATGATTTCTTTATACATTTTTATACTTTTGTATTTACTTGTGTTTTTTTTTTCCTTGTTATGATTTCATTGTATTGTTGAAAATTGATGATATTACTTACTATTCTGCCTTTTTCACTTACGATTTGTAGGTCTCGTGTGATACTTTGTGGTGCACGACGATTTCTTTTTCTTTAAATTAAAAAAAAAAAAAAAAAAAAAATTCTGAAATCTGAAATTGTTGAGACTAAGGCAAATCTGTTCTTTTTTTGGTTGTATCAGAATGATTTGCTCATTGAAATGAGTTGGTTCTTTTTTATGTGCTCACTAACAATAACCTTAATGAAAAAGATCCAGAGTGGTGGAGGAATCAAGAGTAGCAGTGAGGATGGAGTGAAGAGCAGAAAAGAATTGAATAAGAAGTGGAATCACAGCCGGTTAGGGAGGTTGGAGTGAAGAATGAAAAGAATCAAACTGTGAGTGGGATCCTAAGGACCAGTTTGATCAAATACTACCTCCTTGAACCAATTTCTTTCAACTCTAGTTTTGAAATTCCCTAAAACATCCTTTCTACATAGAATTAACAATAAAATTCTAGAAATTTTTTTTCACAAATTTGGGAAAGAGTAAATATTAAACTCATTTTTACATGGGAGGACATACATTCTTTTTTCCCCCTAAAATGAAAATTGAACTTTCATGGAATGGTTCTAAGTGCTTCATTCTTTTTTTGTTGATGAAGTGTAAGTTTGCTTAGTAAAGTGAATCCATTCATGAATGAATAGCAGGGGTCTATTCTTGGCATACTTCCAACAAGAGCTGGTGTAAGCTGTAAAAGACCTACAACTCTGTTTTCCAGAATCGGAACGAATTCTCTTGTTAAATTTAATTCATTCTTTGAATCGCTTCTTGAGCAAATCATCCAACTTTAGTCACGACTTCGGCAATTATTAATTTAGAAAGTTTGTGGTTTAGTGTAAATCTGATAATATAACACATAAAAATTGTAAAATTAAAAATATTCTGTATGAATATTACTTCGAGAAAGAGGTACTTTACATAAAGAAAGATTTTTTTCCTGAATCACCAAAGTGTGAAATCAAAATGTAACTTGAAGTCAAAATGGTGATATTTTTTGCATTTAAAACTATATTTATTTAAATTTTACTTTTGATATTTGCCAGATTATATTTATTTGATATTTTATTATTTCCAGATTATATTTATTTAGATACCTATTTGATGTTTATTTGATTAGTATTCTCAGATTATATTTATTTGATATTTCCCAGGCTGCTGTCATTTCTCTGCAGAAACTGTTGGTTCGTGAGAAAGCTGGCCAAAACAGTAGGGGCATATACTTAATATCGTCCAATCCAAGCGATCCGGAAATGTATGAGATGTTGTGCTCCACGCCCAAAGACAAGAAACTGTGGCTTCAAGTAATCAGAGAATCTGTAGCTGCGTTGGCATCCCAAGGTATTCAGTGGGAATTTATTTTATCAAAAAATACTAGACCTGAAACCCTATTTTCTGGCTTTTGCTAGTATTTCATTTTATTTGATATAGTGTGAAAACTTAATTCCTACTGCTGATTGCTGCTGTTATTTTAGTGTTATAATTGTGATTTCTATTACTAAAAATATCATTATCATCATCGTCATTTAAGGCAGTGGTCTCAAATTATAGGCAGGCTGAATGCATGACCTAAAAGCAACTGATAAACCAGAATTAAAAAATAAATAAATGAATGAAACAAAGCAACATTTTTTAACTAAATTAAAATTTCTTTTTACTACAAATTCGTCAAAATATACATAAATAGCAATACAGTGAAACCTTGGTTAATGAACTTTATTCGTTACTGAAGTTAGTTCATCACCTGAAATATGAACTGAAACAATTTTGCTGGTATGAATTATTGTAAAATGATTTAATCCATTTGTGACCCGAAATGATTTTTTAGGAAAGAGAACTTTGTAAATAAGCTTGTAATCAGTGTTGCCAGAAATTTTTCAACTAAAATAGCAAAAGAAGACTAAAAAATTCGCAAAAAGTCAGAAATGACGTCAGAGATCACATGATTTTTGTTACATCATAGTTACTTTGATTCTTAAAGTCATTTTAATTATGTATCTTAGCTTTAACGAAAATTTTAAAACTATATTACTCATTTTCAATTGTTTAAATATCCATTCCTTTTGTAATTAATTCTCATTGAATATATATTTCTGTTTTAAAATTAATTTGTAAGATATTCCTAACATTTAGATTGTTAGCGCTTTTGTACTAAATTTTTTGAGCGGCACTTAATTTCTTTAATCCGTTTTTTTTTTCCTTAATTGTGAACATTTTAATTGAGGAATTCTTTTCAGTGAGTTTTCCGTTCTGGGTGGTGGACTTACTTCAGATTCTAATTACATGAGAAAGCCTTATTTGTTTTTCACTGCTAAATTTTTTGCGTTGTTATTTAGAAAAATGCAGTTGCTTTGATTTTTAAGTGATTTCTATTCCTTAGTTCTTAGCAATATTATCTGTTTGGGTACCCAATGTATGGCTCGAAATCTGTAAGTTCTTTTGTTCGATTTGTTATAAGCATAGAACTGAGGGCAGGTACTGTCTTAAAAACAAAATTTATAGAGCAGTTAAATCATGAATATTAGTATTAAGTTACGTAATTTTGCGTGTGCGATTTTCTGCAAATTTGCAAATTAATGTAAAACCACTGAAGTGTAATGCAAAGCCACTGAAAACGGAGCACTTCACTCTGATATTAAAAGGTCTCCTTACAAAAATATCATATAGAATTTTATAAAAAAAATAGAATGGTTAACTTCTCTAGAATTATGGCCCTAGTTTTCTATAAATTATACTGAAAATATCTTAATAGAATCAGTGGTAAATACAGTGTTATTATCTATAAATTAGGTGCTAGATCTTTAGAATTATGTAGAAGTTAATTATAGCTTCAGTAGAGATAAGTATAGAGATTCTATCAAAATTTTTACAGAATTTCTACAGCTCCCACATAAAGAATCTGATTTAACTTCTATAGAATCAAGAGTGATAAAATTCTACTAAAAATTTATAGGCCGTAATTCTAAAAAATTCTGAACCAGTTTCCTTGTTTTAAATTTTTGCAAAAGATATTGTAGCAGCTTTTGAGTATTTAATTCCATAATTAATCAGCTAAATTTTCTTTTGGGATTAAGAAGAATGAGTTAAATTTTCATTTCTAAATAGAATTTTTTAATCTAAATTTTGAAATGAAGTGTGCATGGAAAGGGGAGGACTAAAAACATTTGAACAGATGATTTTTTTCTAATAAATTTCTTAATATTGTTTGATTTTAAAAAAATAAATAAAAGTAATAGTTAAGCTTAATTTAAAATTCATTTCTTTTATCGTAGATGCATTCACAATAATTAAAAGTATTCATTTCATGAACTGAAATATTATAATTAACGATATAAATTTAACCTTTCAGTTAATGCTATGATATAAATAAATGCTACACTTTTACAAGATGGCATTTTTGTATTACATAAGCAATACACAAAATAAAAAAAAAAATTGCGCAAAATGTATTACATAAATTTAGAAACTAAAAAACATCAAACTTTAAAAAAAAAAAAAAAAAAAAAAAAAATGCAAAAATACCCATTGAGAAATAATTCAATGCTATTGAATAAAAAGTGTTTATTTTTGCTGTTTTTTAATTAAATAATAAACCCATATAATTTTTCAGGAACTCAAAATGTGTTTTGATTACAGTTCGGAAACTTTGCAGATTTTTATAGAATACCGTTTTATAAAATTTCTCAGTGATCTTACAAAACAGCATTTATATAGAGATCTGTTCTGTGAAAACTTTATAAAATTTCAATAGAATTTTATAGAGAAGTATTTCTATAGATGATCACCTGTTAAGTTCTATAGGAAATTCTACAGAGCTTTATCAGCATCTATGAAAAAGTTTTGCCAGAGTTGTCGGAGATCTATAAAATTTTGGATGTAACTTGTATAGAATTATGTACAGAGATTTATGTAGGCAGTCTTTAAAAATCTGTGCAGAATTTCTGAAGGTCCTGTATTATAGAATCTTATATGGTGCAGTAAACCCTTGCTTAATGTGGGGTTTATGTAATTAATACACATTGTGCATGGCAAAATCACAATCTGTTTGTAAGTTAATTTTCTATGGAAAAATGGCTTAGGTATAGTTCAGATTAGGAAAGTATGTGCAATTTATGCAAACCTAAATATTATTGTAATTAAAAGGAAAAAAGGAAACAGATGTTAAATGAAAAGATTTTTATGGCTGATTAATGAGCATTGCAAAAAAAAAAAAAAAAAAAAAAAAGGCAGTTCTATATCTCCCGTTTTACTGGGTCGATTGATGAAATTCAACTTGCATTTTCATGTCTCGAAAGCGCGACTTAGGTTATGTATTAGATTTATGTGTGTGTGTGTGTGTGTGTGTGAGTATGGCAAAGCCTTGAGGGCTATCTGCCTAAGAGGAGGGATGCCTTCGTGGAGGACTTTCTAAGGGAAACTGGCTCGTATACACTTTTTAGATTTATGTATAGCGTTGTTCTGATATAGGTATTTTGACACAAATCGGACTTTTTCTGAAATAACATATTAATTTTTTTACATATTTCAATTCTACAACTCAAATTATGCCAAACTACCAAGTTTTATAAAAATCGCACAAGTAGTTTTTAAAACATTAGCTCTCAGAATTTTAGCTCCTTAATGTTAATTGAATTTGGTATATATTTATTAATATCTCTTTTTTATGAAATGTTTTTGATTCTTCCTTTCGCATTTCGAAATTTAAGTTCATTACAAATAAAATTCACCCACTTTTAATGATTTATTTTTAAAATTTGTATTTTTAAATAATTTTTGTAAATTTTTTTAAACAAATTTTGATGTGTAACCTATAAAACTTTTACCATCATCTTAAAGTAGGTGTATTTCTAAGCATACCTGCAAAAAATTACAGTTTTTTTATTCAAAATTTTCTAAGATATATATGAATTTACATATTTTCACATTTTGAAATTTGGCATCTTTTTTTTTAGCGATAATAACGTCCAAATGTGGTTTATGGATTTTGTTATGGTCAATTGCCACAGCTATTTTTAACCTTAAATTTCAAATAATTTTTACGGAGAATTTATTATATGAATTTTTTCTCTCGATGCGTAATAAACATTTGTTAATACTAAATGAAAAGTTTTTTTTTTAAAATTACAAATGATATTATTCAAATTTTTAACTTTTTAAAAAAATATTTGTAGGAGTAAAATTTTACGTTCACCATGTTATCGTCTGCTACTTTACTTTAACTTAATTTAAATTGAATTGTCTAAAACTGACAAAGTTCGTTTGATGTTTACTTTCACAATGTTTTTAAGCAAACAGGATGTTGAGAGTTTGGATCGTGTCTTGGCTTTAAAAAAATATATATATATAAATATAAATTTTTGCATTAATCCTCTTAGAAAGAATGTTTTAAGTAGTAATTTTCTCTCATGTTGTAAATTATCTAAAAAAACATGTTCTTTAAAATAGAAAATATTAGGCTTAAAAACTCTAAATAATATGATTTAGATTATTTGCACCCGGTATAAGAATTGGGCCACTCAGTGGTACAAGATAAGCACTGTTTGAGTGGTTTATTTCTTTCTCATTTAACAAAAATCTTTAATTCAAATATTTATCCTTTGGACTTTGCTTTATTTATAGTTAAAATATCTAGGAAATGAAAAGCTATCTTCAGCTGAAACGCATTTGATGCAACGGATATTTTAAAAAAATTGACAAGCATGCAAAATTTATGGAAGTGTAACAATCAAAAAAACTTAATTTTCTTGTGTCAGCATTGAAAACAAATGTAGAAGTAAAGAATTGAATTAGGGAGAAAAAAACAAATTTTAAAGGGGAATCAACTTCAAGGAAGTTGGGTGTTCAAAGAGAGGAAGTTGATGTGCATTTGGACGTGCACGCCAGCAAATAGCAGCAATTGAGTTAGTACTAAAGGAAAAGACAAAAACCATATCATTGCAGATTAAACTGAAGAGCGACTGGTTTTTGACTATATGGTTGTATAAATTTAAATTAAGTCATAGAACATCATATCATATCATAAGCGGAACATCCCATGATTTCTCAGTTGAATTATTCGAAGATTCAAGAATTTATCCAGTGACGTTATAAGGTATTACTCCCATCTTCTTAACTTGTCTTCATGGTGTACGCTTGGTGTGTATTCAAGAGGCCCGTGGTTTGATTCCCGGCAAGGACATTGTTAATTTTTCATTTCCCCTGCTTTCCCCCCCAAAACCCCCTTATGTCTCTATAGTGGCGCTCGAACTAAAAGGTGGTGAATGATGATTCTTCACCACCAGGATTTGGCGACTGGGTCCCCTAATCCCCAGATGCCCTTTAAAAGGGGGGGAGTATACTGGATATTTCTCCCCTCCCGCCTTCTTAGCGTGCCTTCGTGGTGTAGTGGTTTGCACGCTCAGTGTGTATTTGAGAGATCCATGGTTCGATTCCCGGCAAGCGCATTGCTCAGTTTTCAAGTCTCCTGCTTCCAAAAAATCCTAATGTTTGTAAAACGTATATGGATATCATCTAAAGACATTATCCCTCTTGATGAAACCAGTCTTTCCTTTCATCTTCATGCCTTCAAAATGCTTAGCCTCTAAAGAATGTGTAAAGGCTCTGACCAAATACTGATAAAATGGATTGAATCGGATTATTAAATTACGACAAAGCAGGGCTATCTGCCTAAAACGAAGGATGACTTTGGGAAGAACTTTGTAAGGTAAACCAGCTGGCATACACGTCACTCACGAGAAAAACCATGAAAACACCTATGCAACCAGTCCATTTGCTGGGATTCAAACCCCAGAGCAAATTACCGGTGTTCCGTGACTTTACCACTCGGCCATTTATGGGCCTTTATGAAATGGAAAGCGATAACTTCATTTAAAATGTATGTCAGAAATACCAAGATGTTTTGCAAAGTTGGATGCTTTTTAATATACTTGCAGAATGCCTGAAGAAAAAGAGCAAGACCTTAAAAAGAAAAAAAATAAATGTTTGCATAAAATTTAGTATTTTTTAAAATTTAAAACTTTTTTAATCTTATGATATTTGATTCTTGCGATTTCAAAAGTAAAATATTTGACTAAAATATGAATAACATTTTGAGAAACTAAATGTAGGATGATAAAATTGTGTAAAGCAATAATAATAATAAAACTGTTTAAAGCAATATATGCAAGTCATCCTAAGTTAAAATATCGGTTATATATCTCTCTTATTTATGTATCTTTTCTGAATGGAACATTGAAAGGCATGTTAAGTGTGCTTAACTGTATTTTCTCTTTTAATATATGCAGTTTTTCAAATGCATGGTAGTCTGGGTCATAAGTATTCTTCTGAAAGAAACACAATTCAAATAAATAAAATCAAATTCTGGAAAATTTATATTAATAAATATATTTAAAATGCTCAGTTCGAATGAATAAATAGAAAACTTTAAAAAATTACCTAAAGAGACAATGCAGCGCAACCAATTAAAATAAAATTCTAAAAATTTAAAAATTACCTAAAATAATAACTATGACTAGAAATATAGTATAAAGAAAACTATATGAAAAAAAAAATAAATAAATGATGCACCTTTAATTTAAACTACGCAGTTCGAATGAGTAAACAGAAATTTTTAAAACAGTTATTTGAAAGAAACTATGCAATTTAGACAATTAAAATGGAATTTGGAAAAAAAAAAGCATTCCTTAAAATACGATAATTATAAGTAAAAATATAATATAAAGAATATTATTGGAAAGAAGAAACGATTGTAATTTTGTTGCTCTGCTCACGCACGATGTTAGGGAAATGAAATAGGTTGCCATTTATTAAGAAGTTCGCCAAGTGAACTATTCTTGTCACAAACTGGAAAAAAAGTGGCATCATAAATTGTTGAATTTCTCCATAAATTTCGTACCAAATTTTACAAAATTAATATTTAGGCATAATTTGAGTCGTAGAATCGAAATATGTAAAAAAAAAAAAAAAAAAAAATTGTTATTTGAGAAAAAGACCATTCTGTGTCAAAATACCTATGTTAGAATAGTGCTATATATAAATCTAATATATTTCCCAAGTCACGCTTTCGAGATATGAAGAACGCAATTTGAATTTCGTCAATTGGCCCAGTAGAACAGGAGATATGGAACTGTCCCATTTTTTCTTTTTTTTTCCCAGTGTACATGATGCAAGCATTTTTTGCTTGGGACAATGTCTGATGCAGCTCATTAAACATTTTTCCTTTGAGGAGTGTGAAGTTTTTCAATGTCTCTCTCAAAGTGTCCTTATCTTTCTTCATTTGGGCGAATCTCCATTACAAAATCGGACAGTTCCTGTGCCTTTTTTAGCAATTCATTGAACTTCTTGTATATTGAAGTTTCTTTATCTTCTTCACTATCACTGCTTTCACCATTGAATGGTATTATAAGGTCATCTAATTCTTCATTTGTCATTTCATAATTGTCATTCTGGACTAATTCTTTGATTTCTCTTTCTTCTATACCTGGAAATATTTTCGCTTTGCAATTTGTACAATTTTCTTGGCGATAAACTCACTCGATAAACCCTTTAAAATTTTTGACAACTTTTGGCCTGTTACCATTCATTGTTGATGAATTCATTTGTTCCCATGCAAGTTTAATCATTTCTATGCAGTGTCTTAAATTGAATTGATCCAAAAATGGTGTTAGTGTGTCATGCTTTCCTTTGTCTAGTGCTATATTTGCAGAGATGTAAAAATGCCTGACATAATAGGCTTTGAATATTTTTATGATGTCTCAATTCATTGGTTGGATTAAGGAAATGGTATTCAGTGGAAGGAATAAAATATCTACATTTGGATGCAGTATTATAAAGGCTTCAATGTCATGTCCTGGAGCATTATCAAGAGTTAGGAGAACTTGAAAATCAAGTTTTGCTGTCCTAAGTAATACTTGTCTTTAATGAATAAATTGTCATACCAGTAATTAAATAGGATTATTTCAATGTGGATATCAGCAATTAAATAGTAATTTAATTACTGGTATCCAATTTCATACCTGTAATTGAATTATTTCAAATCGCATTCTGCAAGTCCATATTCGGCAAGGGTTTATGGTAGAGAATCAACTAATATATTCGATTGAAAATATCATCCACTTTGTAGAAGATTGAATTTTTTAAAATAAATTTAAGACAAAATTTCTACAAACCTTTGTAGAATTCTGAAGAGTTCCAAAAAAGTTCTCCTGGTTTAATTTTCTGTAAAAGGTCTTAGGATATATTTTGAGTATATGCATTTATGTGTAACTTTAAAGTGAATCATAGTTCTAAGTTTATTTTAGCAGAAATAGTCATATTTTTATGCACTCCCAATTTTTTCATTTTCAGAAGCCAAACTGCTCATCAGCACAACTCAGGGTCCAGAGCCAGATCTGCCAACAGATGATGAGAGGAGTTTGAAAATTGCTGAATTATGTGGTAAATAATTTCTTTTCTTGGCAGTGCCATTAAAATTACGAATCTTTATTGCCCTGTTTTGCCTTTTGGTCATGTGTCAGAATATCATTTCTCCCTTACATGATACTTACATGTTGGTTTCGGTGAAGTTAGCAATTTTTTGCAGAAGGAAATGATTGCAAAACAATCATTTTATTACATACAATATAATGAAAAGTTTTTCTTTTAGATGCAATTAATTCTAGTAGATCTATTGAGTTTCATGTAATACAATACAAAGTTTAGGATCCAGAATTATGGAAGTGCTGGGCATTGCTGGATTTCAGAAATTTCCTGATTTTAGGTCATCAGTTTAAATCCAGTAAGGCAATATGCTGGCATTATAAAATTAAGTATTTCATTATTAATATTTCTTTAAGAAAGATTTTTTTTCACAAGGAAAGTTTTTTATGAATTACCTTTACATAAAATTAAAGCCGAAATTGCAATATGTCAAGAAGCTGAAACAACGATATTTTCAAGATTTCAAACCATATTACATTAAGGTCGAAACTGCAATATGTCAAAAAGCTGAAATGACATATTTTCAAGATTTTAAACCATTATTACATTAAAGCTGAAATTGCATTATGTCAAGAAACTGAAATGACATATTTTCGAGATTTCAAATCGTATTACATTAAAGCCGAAATTGCAAAATGTCAAGCAGCTGAAGTGACGGTATTCTCGAGATTTAAAGCCAGATTAAGTTAAAGCTGAAATTGCAATATGTCAAGAAGCTGAAATGACAATATTTTCCAGACTCTAATTCTTAAACAAAAAATCTAAAATAATGCTTTATTCTAAATAAACATTATATAACAGTTTATCCAAGTTCTATTAAACCTCTGAACACGGGTCCACAAACAATGCATTCACTTTTTATCCTGAATATGTGTGGGGGATTGTTTTTATTGCTGAAAATGAGATTTTAACTGCAAGGAGGAAAAGCTGTATTTCATTTTTTTTGGTAAAGCTTTTATGCATTTTGTACCCAGTCGAGGAATTTACATAAACAACAGATGTGGTCAATAAAGAAATCATTGTGCCCAATGCCATGACCCATAGAAGTGAGGAAAGTTACTCAACTTTAGCTGGAATTTGGTAGAATGCATCATCCTCTTATTAGAGATCCTAATTAATAACTTCACTTGGGTTTTATGTAAGCCGGACTAAGTTTTGTAAGGAAGGTGTGAATTAACTACTATTTCTCTGTTTTTCCCCCTTGCATTTTGACAACAAGATTAAACTTTGGAACTCTTCTTTTATAGAACTGAAAGAAGTTTCGGGATCAGTTAACCTGATGCACGTACTTGAAACAATAAAAGACTGCAAAATTCCTCAAAATGAGGTAATTAAAACATCATTGAACAGCCTGTTGTGTAGTGAGAAGTTATGCCCGGACAGTCACTGGGTTTGCTGCCTGAAACTGTCCCCAAATAATGCCGCTCTTCTGGATATGTAAATAAGTAACTAAAAAAACTCTGACCTATAGGGAAATAAATTAAAACTGCATGTTTAATTTTGAAGGCATGTTTAATTTTGAAGAAAAGCTTATATTCCAGCATTTTTAAATTATATTATTATTTTCTTATTTTGAAAACCTTTGATAATATTACAGAGGCTTACTGGTCGCTGCAATTGCTGTTACGTGGGTAGGATAGCAAGACTTCTTAAATGCATGATTTTTATTTAGAAGACTCTTCTTAGAACTACCAGCACTTACTACTACAAGTACTATCAACAGTTAACAGTGTTTCATAATTGGGAGGAAAGTTTTACAATATTTGGAACTTTCTTCTGGAGATTGTATTTTTAATTTAACTGCAAAAATTTGAAAGGATTGCCATTCCAAGCATGTTCTTCATTTTCTTTAACAATAATGGGAATAAAATTCTGAGATACTTCTCTCTTAACAAACAACTCTTTGCTATTAATGTTAATCTGATTCATAATTTAGTTGGTATCCAAAATTTATATTCAAAAGTTTCAACTTAATAATAATCAACAAAATGTTATAGCAAAAGTATGTAGCTTTTTAAATCTCGCTGATTTCTTTGAGTAAAAATTGTTTTTCTTCTCAACCTAATTTCATATGACAATTCAGAATCTATTATTCTTCACCTTTCTCAATGATTCACATGACTAAGCCCTACAAAATAATATTTCACGCAAATAATGTGCTTCCCAGGGCAGACCATCCCACCTCGTTCCCCTATACCTATGCCGCTGAGAACAGCACAACATCTTTTAGATTCATATTTAAGGCAATTCGTGTGGTGGCGAATTCATGAAGAAGGTGAAACTTTTGCTGTTATCTTATATTCCATTAGGGTTGTTTGAACCCAGGAATGTTCAGCACTAGTTTCAATAAATTTCTTTTCAAATAATCTCTAAACTTGAGGTGTCTCATTACAAAATTTTTACTGATGTCTGGTTATTATTGAATTAAACCTAAAGCAATCTCTTATTATCTAACTAAATAGACAGAAATCTTTTCCTTCAAGCTTCCACTGGAATTGTTGGTGCAGTTTTGGCCAACACTTTTTGCTTGTGATATCTGTAAACTTAAAAATTCATGGCTCTGATCATCATGAAATCTGATAACTGGCTATAAATTTTGCCAAATGTTTTAAAAATATGTGCAAACATGCCTCCATGATCATGTGAACATGTTGGAATCATGTTCTTGTGATGATTCCAACACATCCAGATTTTATATTAAAATATTTCTAGAATTCTTAAATGGTCTTAGTATTCAGTGTTTCGTTTCAAGCAAAATCCCAGTATGCATTTACTTAAAATAATTGATGAGCTTAAAAGAGAAAAATAATTTATCATGTAGTTTAATGGGAGCAACTGATTCTCTTTAGAGAATTCATCTACAATTTGATATCATGGATAATAAAAGTGTGGGCAGCTAAGTAATGACATCTGTTCATTTAATTGTTGTCAAAAATGTAAGCCATTATTTGTGTAAATTTATCAAGGATGCTTCATGATTTTATTATATAAAATTATACAGTCAAAAGTTGTTAATCCGGACTCGTCGGGACTTCGGCGATTCCGGATATCGATTTTTCCGGATTATAAATCATCAGTTTAAATCTGGTAAGATGGCATGCAGAAATTATGAAATTAAACATATGAAACAGTAATTTATGAAATAAAGAACAATTATGATCTAAAGGGTATCAAATTTACAAAAAAAAAAAAAAAAAAGCTTAATATTTATTTGTTTACTTTATTAAACATTTCTTTCAATGTAAGTTGTTTAAGTTGCTTCATTTTATGTGATAATACTTTCTCTTTAATTCTATAAACAGACATAATTTCTTGTTCAGTGACAAAGTTCCGCTGTTCAAGTCCTATAATTGCTGTGTCGAGAATACCGACTAATTTGTCAATCAAAATGTTTTCGTTTCAATAACCTCTGTGTCACTTTCTTCACTATTGGAAGAGAATTATAATGACGAGGAATTTGATTTAAATCATATCAAAGATGGAGTACATTGAGATGAAATACTACATTTAGTAAGGAATTATAAGCCAAATAAAATAAAAACATCTGCCCTGAAGATAAGGGTAGTGCTGACAGATCAACTTTCAGTTCATTGCACGCCGCTATGTTTCCCCTCCCCGCAGAGCAGCATGAAATTGATAAACAGATTTCGGAATGGTTAGAGAAACAAAGGATATGCCTTTATCCATTTTTTGCAGCAATTCCACTTTTTGTTTGATGGACATCGAAACATACTTTCGCTTTGTAGATCCTTTGGGAGCTCCAGCATCGGAAATTCTATTTGTCATAATCGAAAGTTCAAGTTTACTTTTATAAAATTGCTCTTACAGTCTGAAAAAAATAATAAGCCGGATCCAATTCGAAGATTAAGGAACAACACAATCTGCAACATTAGCTGAAATAGATAATTAGATAATTTTAGCTTATACCATCCATTATACATTAAATGCGCATGCGTAAACTTATTATGAGCATGCGCACACGCATATGCGCAGCCGTAAAGGTCTTACGCGCAGAAAGTTTGTAGCTTTGAGGTCTGGATTATAGATAATTCCAGATTATGGGTGTCTGAATTAACGTCTTTTGACTGTAGATGAATTTTTGAAGAAAATTATTGTAAATGGCTTCTTTCACAACTGCTGACATATCAGCCTGTATTAATAATAACAGGTGATCTACCGTGTATTTGCTCTTGGTTATGAATATGAATCAAGTTCTTTAGCTTTGACTGGTTCCATCACTAGCTTGCATTACACAGGATGATTCACTGTATTATAGTAACACTCTTCATCCTTCTGGCAAAAGACATGAATGAAAGTTAGATCTGTCAATTTGCCAATTACGAATAGTGCCATCAAGATGAGAGCAGATCAATTCTACCGTATAATTGCAATTTAAGAATGAATGGTACAGTATCTTTGTGTTTGAGATTTATTACCTGACTAGATAGATTAGAGATGATTAAGATCATCTCTAATGGCTTTGCTGCATCTGAATATTGCCTTAGTTTAACTTTTTTAGTACTTGGGTCACATTACTTCAATCAGTCTGTCACTAGCCTTTGTTGCCAACTTTTATTTTATTCCGAGCATGCTAATATGGTGGTAACAAATCATCTATTTGAGGATATCTGATTTAAATCATTAAATGTGTTGCATAGCTAAAAAAATACTATTTGTCAATAATGGGGATAAATTTCTGGCCATGTTGAGAGACATTGGGACAGTTTTTGAGTAAATGAAAAATAAGAATGGCTATTAGTGTTGTTTTATAACCAATTATTGGAGTAAAATGATGACAAATGTGAAATAGGGCTGCTCCAGTTGACAGATGCCAAATAGAATCACTTGGAAATGCCTTTTTAGTGCATTTAAAGTATAACAGCAGTTGCTAACAGGTATCATAGGTCTTCTTCAAAACCATATTAGTGCATTTTTCTGGTAATAGTGTAAAATTCAAAAAGTAAGTACATATAATTTCTTTGTATATATTTATGTATTGCCTGGTTTTCCTGCAGTAATTTTATCAGCTTCTGTAGTTCTGATGATGCTTCCCCGGAGATAAATCACCAGACATGTGGTAGGTCACCTATTGTGAGAATAAGGATGAATATTAGAAAGCATGGTTTCAAATTATTTTGCAGTGGGAACAAAAATAGCACTTTAAATATGTTAAATTTATTTTTGTAGTTTTCCATTTTTTATGATAAGAGTTTTTTCATGTGTAATTATTGTATAAAATACTCAGGCATAAAATTGGCATTTCACTTTTTCTCTGATTTGTTTTTTTAAAAAAGTCCAATTTTTTACTTTCAAAAATTTGGCAGGTACAGTTTACTAACATATCCATTATTATGTTTAATAAAAAAACAAAAGATCATCTCTAATGGCTTTGCTGCATCTGAATATTGCCTTAGTTTAACTTTTTTAGTACTTGGGTCACATTACTTCAATCAATCTGTCACTAGCCTTTATTGCCAACTTTTATTTTATTCCGAGCATGCTAATATGGTGGTAACAAATCATCTATTTGAGGATATCTGATTTAAATCATTAAATGTGTTGCATAGCTAAAAAAATACTTTTATTTTGATAAAATGTGATCATAACTCTCAAAGTAATTTCAGTCTAATGTGTTATATTTTAACAACTTTTTTAATTCTTATTAATTTATTTTTAATAGCAATCATGCAGGAGAAAGATATGGAAATAGTGGCATTGTGTGAAGAGAAAATGAAAGCCATGTTTGAAGCATTAGTAAGTTCATTTTAACTGTGCATTTCTATTTTTGCACTCAAGTCCTTACATGTTAACATTAAGTGAATGGTTCAGTTTTATTATAAATTGCCTGCTTGCATGGCCATCTACCTAAAATAGTTATTTTAAAAAAAGAAAAAATATATAATGGTTTTGATGAAGCCAGCTAGTATAAATTCATGGGTCCATTTGCTCATTGATAAAAATTGAAATGAATCACCATTTATTGCTTTCAAAATCATGTAGTTTGTTAATTGGTAACAAGATAGATTTGAAAGGAAAATTTAATGTTTTCTTACGCTTTGCTGAATGAAAACATGGTGTATGGAAAATAAAGTCTTATTCTAAACACATGTGTAGAATCAGCTTTAGAATTTTGAAGTCATCTGAGAAATATCCCAAAATAAAAGATGGTACAGAACGACATTCTTGACTTTTCGCTCTTCGTATCTGGTGGAAGCAGGCTTAGTCAAATGAATAGTTTGCTATGGAAAATTAGAAATAGTTGAATATTTTTGAATGAGGCTGTTTAAGAATTAAGCAGTTTTATACCAGATATTAAAATAACTGTATCAGGACATCAAGTACAGAGATCAAGCATCATTGATCACATTCGTTCTTTCATTTTACAATAATGAATCATATAAATTAAATTTTTATCACATGTTTAGTTATTGCATTGTAATTTGTAGTAAATATATAAAATTATTCAGTTATTTGTAACTTAATTATTAACTAGGCCATCATACTTGTCAGCTAAAGGGTGTCTTTTAACCAGGGAAAGTCAAGAAAATCAAAATTTGAACCTCAATAAAAACCTTGCTATAGATGCTCCGAAAAAAGTTATTAGATGTATCTAAAAGTTTAATGTATAAGTACTGTATTTACTCATGAAATTTCTTAGTAAGAACATAAGAAATGAAAAGTAGGCATGGATTATTTATAGGTAACTATCAGAATGTTATATGTTTAAAAGAAACTTATATTCCATCATCTTCGTCACCATTCAGTTTATTTTCCCATGTGCAATGATCTTCAGAACCATCAAGAACATTAAATAAACCTGTTTTCTTGAAGCTCTTCACTAATATTGTTTCGTTAATCAGAGCCCATGCACCCAAAACCCGTGAACAAATAAATCAGCAGGATGAAAAGTGGATGAATTCATTTTAAAATTTAAAAACTAATTTCCAAAATCCACAAGTAAATCCTTTAGTAAGATGAAAATGACAGCTACGTGAACGAATGTATCATAAAATTTGGAAGACACTGCTTTGTGAATGCTTTGAGAAAAGAGCAAATCAGAACTTTAAGCTAAAATGCTGGGAGGGGATAATATGTGAGTGAATATTGTATACCTCTAAAATTGTCAAGCAGGCTTCCAGATGCTTTGGTTGGAGTGTGGAGGAGGTAATCAAAATGGGCTCTGTAATAATCTGTGTAATCAAAATGGTATGCAGTATTTTGGTTCTAAAAAAAAGAGGGACCTTGAAGTTCTGTGAAATCAATATGAGTTTTCCTATTTTAAAACTTTTCATATAACTTTTTTAATTATCTATTAATATGTGTAGATTTCTAGTTGCATAGAAACTGAAATCAGTGTCCTTCAGACAAATGATTAGATTGAAAAATGAGTTATCATTTCAATCTGAATTAAGATGACAAAGTCCTGCAAGGGTTAAAATAACTTTTTTTAATGAAATCTGTAAATTAAATCAAAGGAATCACTTGTGTGTACAAACAAACTATTTGAGGGTCACGCTAAATAACTAAATAAAAAAATAAACTAATTTTGAGGGTAATGCTATGTGCAGATATTTGGTACAAAATGGTCTACTTAAGCTGGCTCAATTATTTTAATGGTGTGCTTTATCATTGGCTAACGAAAATGGCTCAAATTGGAATAATATCTGGCAGAGTTTGCAATAGGATGTAAAGTGCAGATAAGGCTGTAAAAGCTCTAATCTGAAAACCTTCAAAACCTTTGTTTTAAATATTCTAAGAGCTAATTTGAATTCTGGTGAGGATTGCAGAAAGAAATTATAGTAAAGGTTCAAATCATAATAGCTGGTTAATTAACATAAAAGTATTACAAATTTTTTCTACATATTTAAAATATTATTGGATTGTTTCAATCATTAATGTAAATTACTTATTACTAATATGCATCCTATTTTAACTGAATAATCAATATTATATTGTTATAATATTTTTGTAAATTTCAAATTATAAAAATGTCTTTGAGTTAAAAGTCTACATTAATTTTTTTAATGCTTTAAAAAATGTTTTGCAAAGTTACTTGCACTGCCTAGTGAATTAAAATTATATGCATTTAAAAATTTTATCAAATTTTAAGTTAAAATGTATGTAATTTAGAAAAATTTAGTAAAATATTTAGTGAAAAAAAACACCCTCTTTTTATTCATTTATTTATTTATTTATTTATTTTTTAGGAGCTGCTTGGTTTTGAAAAACATAAAATCCAACAAGTAAGTTCATTTATTACTTAATTGCAGATAATTTACTTTTACTTTTTTTTTCTCCATTTTTGTAAAAGTATTTGATTCAGCTTAGGATAGGATTATAATAAAGTCTCAAATAATATCAATAAACCTATTATGATTTGAGATTTTGTTTTATGCAGATGATTTTTTTTTTATCATTCCATGATAAACAAATTTAATATTTTTTAGAGGGCCCACATGTCACCCCCCTTTTCTGTTAACTGAGGCATCATTCAAGCAAAAGCTTAAGATGTAAAATCCATTCATGCCTTTGTTGCAGGATTTAATGTATAGCCAGTAAGGGAAGGTAAAGCACATGTGTAAATGTGCAGCTAGACTGGGGCAGTCAGCCAAATATCAGTTCATGTTTGCTTCACAGTTATTAGTTTTTTCTTATACCAGATTGGCTCTTGGTATACACTGGCTTAGTATTGTCTTGTCACAGTTTTGGCTTATATGCGAACCGGGTTTCTGCCTCCAATGCAATTTCGAATAGTAGTGGCTTTGCCCTTTCGAGTAGCTAGCATGATGGCTCGAATACGGATTAAATATTTTGCTCTGGCAGCTCCTGGGAATGGTTACCGTGGATTGCCAGGTCTGCGGCAAGCTGAGTTTGTTAATTCCTCTCTTCTGGGTATGCTTTAATTTACACCTGCCCCCCCTGCCTAATACAGCAGATAGGGTGGCAGTGTGTGGAGTGCCTTTAATTATGTTAGAATGCATACACAATTTGATTTATGTTAGGTTAGTGTAAAGTCAAAAAAGTTAGAACATTTAGACAAAATACTTAAACCAGTTTTTGTGGTATAGGAAAGTCTGACTGCCCAGCAGCGAAGCTCAGTCTGTTCCACTAAATCCTTCATCTGAATGGAACTTGAGGATCAAATTTGATCTTAAAATTTTTTGTCAAAATATTTACAGATTTCTCTGGCTGTTATGTAATGTGAGTTTAAAAATATCATATATGTTATAAATATAAATGAATAAATTTCATTGTATTGTCATATCTTTTAACTGTTCACTTTTTTCTCATAGGTGGATTTTCAGCAGTTACTTCAGAAAAATGAAGAGGATACAGAACAGTCTTTACTGGCCACTTTAAATTATGGTAAAGTTTAATAAATAAACTTAAATGCAAAATTAGGAATTCTTCTCATAAATAGTAATCACTAACAGTAGCTTATTGGCAAAAGAATAATTACGCACAAAAGTTGCACAACCAAATATCACTCGAATGGTCAGCCATGTACTTATTATTCAAACTCAAGGAAGGTGTCAAATAAGGTAGATTAAAAGACTATTTGGTATTATCGTATTATCTGCCCAACCTTGACAAGAATCATCAGCAAAGTGCTGTGATACCTAAGTTGGCAATCCAGAATTTTACAAAAATGTATTATCTGGCAACCCACTAATGTTCATTAACCACCACATAGAATCGTCTGCCACTTAGAATTGTCTGCAACATAGAATCGTGTGCCACTTGCCACCTAGAATCGTCTACTAACTAGAATAGTATGCCACTTTCCACCTAGAATCGTGTGCCACATAGAATCGTTTGGTACCTAGAACCGTCCGGCACTTAGAATCGTCTGTGTGCACATTAAGCCAGTATGCAATGCCACCATCTGTCTTGATAGTAGTGGTAGTAATTTAAATGGTTTTGAATTTTGAGGGTCATGCATGTGGAATTTTTTTACTACCTTATATGAAGGAAGTAATGTAATCACAAAAAATTCTAGGTATCATATTTCAATGCTATCGAATGTAATTTAATGATGTTTTTGCATGACATCTGTAAGGGCAAAATAAAAGATTCTTTTTCTCCAAATGGATTATAAAATTGATTTAAAATGGATTTAGAAGAGTTTTTTCATGACGTCTGTACGTATCTCACATAATTCAAAACGGGTAGCCTCAGAATGTTGAAATTTTGTATATAGGACTGTTGTAAATGCACACTCTGTTACTAGGCTGTGTGAGCTCAGTTTTTATTTTTTTGTTGTTCTTATATGTTGGCTTTGTTTCTTATGGTTTGTTTTGTTCTTTTTATTGTAAAAAATGAATGAATTATGTTGTTCTCATCTTCTGGTTAAGGTTTTTATGCCTTTAGTTAATCTCCATAAAATAGTTGTAAAATTACCAAGAATTTAAAAGTGCAATTAAGTGCTGCTAAGCCTAATTTTAGTTTACCATGGCAGTCATATTTATTTACATTTGAAAATTAGCAGAATAGGGATTTTAAGTCAGTTTCTGCACCTTTAATGTCTTTTTGCCAATTGGGACCAAAAGGAAACTTTCAGTTTTCTGCATTGAAAAATCTGCCTTGTTGTCTGTTGGTCGAACTACTTGTGTTTGCCTAGAAACTCTAATTAAAATTGTTTTTTAATTATCTTGACTGTATGTCAATGTTTTATTTTTTCTATATTTTAAATTTTTAATGAAGATATTTTGAGGTTTTATGCATTTCTGCTTTACTGTGAAGTGAGAACAGAATTAATTGAATGAGAAATCTATCTGTAATGAAATTTGAGGAAATAAATTTAAATGAAATGCAGGAAAAAATGCATATAATTTAACATTCCATTCAAAGAAGTTGTGGTGTCCGCAGAAGATTTTTTTCTCTTGTAATGAATTGCAATGCCACTTTGATCCTGTTAGTGAAAAAGACAGCATTGCATTTTTTCAATAATATGGCATTTTGTCTACTAGTAGAAAGTGTAGGAATGCACATTTCATGAAATTAATGTGTAGAGTTCTCTAACCTTTCTAAGTTTAAAACAAGTTGATGTGTACATGGAAAGCATTTGCCAGTTTGCTGTGCAAAGTAAAAAATTCTGCAGTTCTGTGATTTTTTTTTTTTGAAGTTAAAACAGATCACTGTGCATGCGGACGGCAGACCGAGAAAATGGAAAGTTGAAGGTTTTATTATGGATATTTGACGCATTTTTAATCTAATTAATGAGTTATTGTTTTATGGAGTTTTGAGTGTTTCATTAGATATGCCTATGTAATTTGTAATGCTTTGTTATGGATATTTTTATACTTTTAATTTCAATAGTTCACTGCTGTTTTATATAATTTTCAACATGCTGTCATTTCTCTAAAATGGTTACTGTTTTTCACATGTTCGACTGGTGAAAATTTAGTAGCAGACTTTGCGGGAGGTAGGGATTTATAACACGAGTGTACCGACTCCCCTACTAAACTATTCTTTTTGTTATAAATAAGCTGTAGTTTGTAGCCTTGAAATGTTATGATCTAAGTAAAGCTCCATATTGTTGTAAATATTTAAATCTTTTTTTGATTGTGTTGTCTTTTTTCTGTATTGTTGGAATAGTGTGTAATGTTTTTACTTATATATGTATTGCTTTTAGGGAGTAATTTTTTTGTTTATTTTGTGTTATACCAAATTTATGGCCACATGCTTTGGATATAAATATACATTTCTCATATAAAGTGGTAAATCTTTCAGTCCTGAATACAGCAATATTTAAATTATAAAAATAGTTCTACTAAAAAGTGAAATGTAGGCAAATAACTTCTGACAGGCCTTGGCAATTTATTGCCAAATTTGCAAGCTTTTGGGAAAACACATTTTGGAAGACATACAACTGAATTTTTCCCGAAGCTTTCAGAAGCACTGTATAAATATGGCTCTGAGAAGTGGGATGAATTATCTGTTAATCATCTGTAAGATCAAGTATTTCAAAGGGAGCTCTGAATTTTGTTTTAGAAATTACTCTGATTTTCTTAATTGAGGATATTTTTTTGTGTGCAAAGGAGCTATTGCTTAATATCAGTGTTCTTCTTGAGGTATTTCCAGCTATTTATTTTGCTATATGTTATGAATTTTTATAATAAATTGGCATTTTCTTTCTGCTTATCTAGATTGATTATTAAAAGATATATCAACAAACCGAAAATGCCCAATATTATGTACAGGTGAATTTAACAGAAATAATACTTATGCATAATTCAATCGACCATGAAATTGTCACCAAGCAGCGCAATAATTAGAGCTATTTATGTATAGAGTAACAACACATACATAACATCTACACTTTCCTTTGATGTTACATCAACTGATTTTCGATAAGCCATGTTTTGTTTTTATGAACATGGATATAAAAAAACTGTATGTCATTGCTGTATTCTTTCTTCCATTTTGAAAGAAAAGAGTGCTTATAGTTTGGAATTTGTCTTCTGCAAAATAGCAAACAGAGGCTTATTTGAAAGTTGTGTGATCCTGCCATTGTGAAATACAGTCAAAAGTCGTTAATTCGGACACCCATAATCTGGAATGATCTATAATCCGGACCTCAAAGCTTCAAACTTTCTGTGCATACATCGCTTTGACGCATGTGTAAGGCCTTTACGGCTGAGAATATGCTTGTGCGCGTGTGCAAAATATGTTTACGAGTGCGCATTTAATGTATAACAGACGGTATAAGCTAAGCTAAAATTATTTAATTATCTATTTCAGTTAATGTTGCAGATTGCGTTGTTCCTTAATCTTCGAATTGGATCCGGCTTATTATTTTTTGCAGACTGTTAGAGCAATTTTATAAAAGTAAGCTTGAACTTTCGATTACGTCAAATAGAATTTCTGATATATATTTATTAATATGTAAATGATCTACAAAGCGAAAGTATGTTTCGAAGTTCATTAAACAAAAAGTGGAATTGCTACAAAAAATGGATAAAGGCATATTCTTTGTTTATCTAAACTTTGTTTATCTTTAACGCTGCGCTGGGCAATGAATCGGAAGTTGATCTGTCAGCACTATCCTTATCTTCAGGGCAGATGTTTTTATTTTATTTGGCTTATAATTCCTTATTAAATGTAGTATTTTGTCTCGATGTACTCCATCTTTGATATGATTTAAATCAAATTCCTCGTCATTATAATTCGCTTCCGATAGCGAAGAAAGTGACAGAGGTTATTGAAAACGAAAAAATTTCAATTGACAAATTAGTCGGTATTCTCGACACAGCAATTATAGGACTTGAACAGCGGAACTTTGTAACTGAACAAGAAAATTATGTCTGTTTAAAGAATTAAAGAGAATGTATTATCACATAAAAACGAAGCAACTTAAACAAACTTACATTGAAAGAATGTTTAATAAAGTAAACAATAAATATTAAGCTTTTTTTTTTTTTTTTAAATTTTGATACCCTTTAGATCATAATTGTTCTTTATTTCATAAATTACGGTTTCATATTTTTAATTTTATAATTTTTGCTTGCCATCTTACCAGATTTAAACTGATGATCTATAATCCAGAAAAATCGATAATCCGGAATCGCCGAAGTCCCGACGAGTCCGGATTAACGACTTTTGACTGTACTAGTTAAGAGATATCAGTTTCTTCAGAATTTTGCCAGAACGGTTGCAGCACCATTGGCAGGATCTCCATCAACTTTCATGATTCGATGGTTGCGAAGTTTTACGGTTGATGGCATAATATGTAAGTAATAAACTAAATATTTTTTGGTAATTAATTAAATTTCCTTTTCAGCTTGCCACCTTGCTAGTCGACTCTTTTATTTTAACACCAATCCATATTTGTGTTCCATGGAGGGATTGCCTTCTGCCACAATGTCTCCCGTTTTGCCCAGGCGTGCCGAGACTTTCGGTGGGTTCGATGCCAGTAGAGAGCAGTCGGATAAAGGTATCTTTACAAATATCTTCATTTTTTTTAATACACAATGCAGCAGAATTCTGATAATCTGTGTTAGCTTAATCCACAGATATTTGTAATCTGTGCTCATTTTTGGATGTAAACAAAGAAAATTCTGATTTATATAAAATCCAGTATGGTGAATTTAACAGAAATTTGGGTACTTGTCTTCTGTAGTAAGCAAGACAAAATGGCACAGTTCGGACATAAGAATGCGCAATGTTGCCAAACATTATAAACGTACATGAAAATGATTGTGACTAGGGTAAATTCATTCAATATCTATATTAAATAATATAAGTTATTTAATATATATGGATGGAAGGAATTTAGTATAAATTTGTGTTTATTTTAGTATTTAATAATTCTTTAATTTATTATAATTTATTATAATATTTATCTAAAAAATTGTAAAATTCTGTTTATAATTTTATTTAATGCAGTTCTGTAGAAATTTATTAAAACAAATAACAAAAATAAACATACCAGAAAATTCATTTTTTGCAAGCTTTTTTTGGTGTTTTCAATATAGCAGTTGCTGCTGACAGGGCCTTAAACACATTATCATTACTAACTTGGTACCTGAATATTACGTTCAGTTGATGGCAGATTGAGAGTAATGCATCTAATAAGTATTTGCAATGAAAAACTGCTATACTTTAAAAACAAAATTTTCTCTAGTTGAAGAAATTGAAATTATGCACTCACACAAAAAATTGTAACAAATTAAAAGTGACAGTAAAAGAAATTACACATACACAGATTGGTAACTGATAGTTTCTTGCCAGTGTAGGAATGCTGCAAATCAAAATTCTCATCAAGTTGACCACAGAAGACAAGTACCAAAATTTTTCTTTGTGTAAATATGCAAATATTTTTTTAAACAAAATGCACTATATTTCTAATAGTGAATTTATTTTATTTTTCAAATTATTCAGTATTTTGTGTGCACACGTGGACTCATTTTACACTAAACATGAATTTTTTATTATAATTTTTTTTTTTTTTTTTTTTTTTTTTTTTTTTTTTTGTATGTGAATCATTATATTTGGTTTAGATATTCTGTTGCCATTAAATGCTAATTTTAAGTTCATGTGGGTAACATGCAAAAAATTATTTATCTGCAACTTTTCAAACATTCATTTTATATACTTTTGCATTCTGTGCAGTGAGCAAGCTCGCTTATGTTGGCAGCAGATAAGGATGTTTTATGGAATTTAAAATGAAAACCATGGTAATAAAAGTTTTAAGAAACAGAGAAATTCCACTATAAGTCCAAATTTTTAGTATTTTTTTCAAGTTGCTAGTGGTGTTATTGATTCAATTGCATATGTGTGAAATGTAATAGAATTAGCATTAGAGTTCAATTTGGGGAAACCACCAGGTACCACAAGTACCATCAGGATTTTTGTAAATAATGTATTTATTGGCTTATCTATTTTGGTCCTTTGCATATTAATGCAACCATCTTAATTACTAGAAATTGCCAAATTTTCAAAATGCACTGAACTCTGGTAACTACATATGGTATTTTTCCATTTTTACAGCCCACGGTGTTTAAACATTGCAAAAAGTTGTGATAAATCGCTGCTGACAGTTATAATATAGATTACTTAAATTTGTCAAAAATAAAGTATATGTGTTGTTTACTATTGTAGGAATAAACTTTTAACCACACACACAAATGCAAGAGCAGATCAGTTTTTGAATTTATTTTTAGATATGTATTGCAGTTCTATAAGACAATAACTGCTGTATGTAAAGTTTTTTTTTTTTTTTTTTGGTAATGTGATATCAATAAATCTTGTCGTAGTCACTATTATTTTTGATTTTCTTGTTTAGTTAGATGTCAAGAAAACTAAACAAGAAACTTGTTTCTTGAAGTTAGATTGACATCTGCGTGAACAAGGATCACTTAGTTAGTGTATTCAACACAAAAAAATCTTTGTGTGGGCCCTGTTTTAATTTTTTTTTTTTTTTTTTTTTTCAAAATTATGTTCAAAATTTTTTTGATGAGTGAAGAAAATGCTAAATCATTCTTCTCAAGAAAGAGATGTTTTACTGTGCATTCAAATGTGTGAAAATGATCAGGAAATGAAACTTTATATGAGCGAAAGCATTTGGTGGTGTAACAAAAATATTGCAAGCCCTCCTGCAAATGTATATGTTTCCCCAACTGGTTCATTGGCTCCAGAGTATCATTTGTTATAGTGCTACGAATTTATTTACTGTCAGCAGAGGGACTCGGGTCACTTAAGTGGTGTGAAAAACCATTGTAACTTTCCAAAAATATGACTGACAAATATAAGACCTGTGAACAGCTCACCAGCTACTGAGTGGTAAATTAGCAGAACACTAGTAGGTTGGCTATTGTTTGAGTCCAGTCAACTGTCTGGCTACATGGGCATTTTCATGATTTTCCCCAACTATAATGTGGATACAAACCAGTTTTCCTTAGAAAGTCCTTAGAAATTTTTTGCTACTTTCAGAAATAAAATATTTTTATCTTCCTAATATATTTTTATTTTATTACTAAAATATTTTTATCCATTATATCTTATTTTTATCTTCCAAATGGCAGTGTGTCGCCAGTCAGCAAAGCATGAAATATTTTTCTTTCAAATTTATTTTGTTATTAAGTAACAAAATTAGCAGTTTAAAGCCAAGGAACTTAGTTCTTTATTTCAATTATTATAATTAGTACCTGGACCTATGAATTTATATTAGCTTGATTGATTAAAATTATTGTACAATAAAAATTTAACTATCCATAAAGCATAGGAAATCTAGTAATAATTTGTATTATTAATGTGTATTTATTCATAATTAACAGTTATAATCATGATTATTTTATAGTTAATGTTTTGAAAAAGAAGTTATTGCACTTGAAAGAGATAGATGGGGAGGTACATGGAGAAAAAGAGTTATCGTCTTCAGATTCCAGTCTGCATATCAAAGTTAGTATCACTGTTTTGCTAACAATAATTTTTCCAGTTAAAGTCAAAATTCTGTCTTCATGAATTTACTAGTTTTTCCCATTTACAATACATCCTCCTAGTCCAAAAGCAGCTTATTATTGTATGGCACCAAGTCTGATCAAAAATTTTTATATTTTACAGTCAAAAAGAGAATTAAGCTCAAGCATCAAGTTTATTTCCAGACAATCAAGTCCCGTAAGTTTTTTATTATTATTTTATTTTTAAAATATTTATTATTGTTTTTATTTGCTTTCATTTATTCTTTGTATAGTGGTATCTCAATATAATTCTGCTTTAAAATTAGTCCAACTTGGTATACATCCTCTTTAGATATGAAAATTTTTGTTTGGTATATGGCTCGAGTTCTATGAGCCACAGATGCATTTACTACCCTTATTTTAACTCTTTTGAGACAATGCTACAACCTACAACTGTGTGTATGTGTCAGTACAACTGTTACTACGATTCAGTGAACAACCCAAGCTGTAACTCTGAATTTTCACATTTGTTGCATTTTTTTGCTTAAATGTTTTGTAAATTCTTCAAGAGAGTTAATGAAAAGAGTCCAGCAATGAAGAATATAGTTAAGAGTCACAACGAGAATGAGAAAAGAAATTGTAGAAAATTATGAAATTGATGGGTGTATCTGGGATTTGGTATACCATATGCAAAGGATGATGGTATTTGCAATTGGAAAAAACAGACTCGCTATTAAGTAAGCTAACATTGTGAGGGGGGAGAATCGATTACCAAACAAAACTTAGAGACAATAGAGAGCATACTGAGAAACTGCAACTTGATTTTGATAACATGAAAACATTTATGTATAGTATTTCGTTCATGTACAGTAAAATTTTTTTTTTGGGGGGGGGAGCGGAACCAACTTGCGTTTTGAATGGTTTAGATGCATATTGTATCTATGTACTGGTTTCAATTTGTTCTCAATAATGATTAAAAATGAATTAAATTTCTATAGTTTTGAATTCTATAGTGTGTTCCTATAATGTTGAATTATTTCATAATATTTTTGTTAAAAGAGCTTTAAGGTATTTAGTTACTTACACAGTAAACTCTTATTAATACAATCTCAAGGGATCCCAAAATCAAGAGTTTGTGTTAAAAAAATTCTTATTAACTGGGGACTTGAATTATTATTTTTAGAATAAATTTTTCTTCACATTTGCAATATATAGTTATATGAGTAACAACATTTTATGTATGTTGTAATAGAAACCACTACAGTAGTCTATTACTTACTGCACTGTGGCTTGACAAAATGCAGTCACAGATTACCAGCTTCACAGCCAATGGTATAGTCATGGTTTCTGTAAAACCAGAAGTCAATTTGGGTGGTTTAGTAATATTTCCTGGTGAGTGGGTGGCATGATATGTCCATCTCAGTTTCTTCTGATGATATTTCTTGCACCTCAGATACAGTTATCTGTACGTTAGATTCCACTGAGCACACATAGCAATATTGTCATCTGCACTAATAAACTCTTCAAAATTCATCGTTGATGCAATAAACATGATTGTTGAGCAATGTTACCCATAGTGTATTGCATTTTAATATGGTTTTAAATTTAATTGGACGAAAAATTTTTGAATGCAATCCTAGCAGAGAAACAACCGGGAAAAAATATGAAAAATTTTGAATGTTCGCAAAAATGAAATCTAATGATGAATAAATATAATAAAATGAATAAAATCTAATGATGCAATGGACTAAAAACAGTTCATAATTCGTGCAAACTGAAATTTCTGCTAACTGATAAAATTTCCTATAAGATAATCTACATCACTGCGAGGATTCAAATTTTGTTCATGCTAACCGAGTGTTCACTTTAAGCAAGTTTGTGTTGGAGTTTACAATATTTAATTTGATAACTACAGAATATGCTTGGTTTGAGAAGTTATTCTGTTTTTTCATTTAAAATTAAAGAAATTAGAATTGAATTTCAGTGAGAAACCCTAAATAGTTAAAAAAAAAAAAATAATAATCTAAGGAAATGTTTAATTTCAGGACAAAGTTGATGTGAGTGTTTCCAGAAATTCATCATCGCAGAGTGGTTTTAATCCATTGGAAGAAATGGCCGACCTGAATCAGCTTCTTGCTGCTGTCATGGTGAGTGTATAAATTACTACTCTCAAGCTGCCTTAGTTGAATTCAGAAATTTTAGGTTGCAAGTGCCTTCGATAGGTTTGTTGTTATACTGATCTTATACAGGTTTGCATGCAAAAATCTGGTTCCTTCAAATTTCCAGCATGGATTTCAGAGCTCATTTTCATATTTACCACTTTCACACACTACTGTTTTCTGGAGGTTCATTTATGTTTTGAGGCTCTATGTTCCAGACTGAGTTGTTTGGTCTTGCTTGCACATACTAACACACATTCCTGCTTATTTTTCTCATTTTGTCATTTATTTCTTGCTATACTATTCATTATGGATTCAACGAAGGAAGGAAATGGTGTAAAACATTAGCATCATACATTTTCAGTCACAGAGAAAGTGGAAATGGTGAAAAACAGAGCAGCTACTCAAAAGGGATACTCAGGAATAATTCTATTTATCAGCTTTGAGTGACTGCTTCATTTTGGCTGCAACCCCATAGATAAAATTCTTTCCAGTAAGTTTTGCATTCATGTAGTGATGCATAGCACTTCAGATCTGAAGTTGTGACAATTTATGTGTGTAGAATGCTTTTACTTGCCAATCAACAATGCCTTGCACTGCCTTAGTGTGCCATTTCTGCACACATATTCCATTACAAAATCCATATATTTCACTCCTCTTTATCTGCCTTTACATTTTGGCTGGATATGTTTGAAGCATCCAATATAATCATCGAATGTCTGGCACTGCTCAGGTATGGAGGTTCAGGTTTTCAAATGTCAACTTGTACACAATATAGTTCAGAGAAAAAATACAACTCTCTTCAGTAAATATAGTGTCCCAGGTTGTTCAATCCCCCCCCCACTATTATAAATTCACTTTAAATAATAGGACCTTTATCTGTCGTGTGCAGGGTTTGCAGTGATAGAAATCCAGCATTTAAGTGGCACTTTATAAAGCTGGCATTCTTTCTGCTGGCTCAGGATTGACACTTCAACTCTGAAACTGATATAATTAAATAGTTTTACGTCAGTATCTATCCAGTGCAGGTATCATACAAAAATTCTAGTTTAATAAAATTATTTTTATCTTGATTGTGTGGTGTTTCTAATCATAATCTTTGAGTACATCGTACAATGTTCCTTGCAAGCTGTTGTCATTCCTTCCTATGTCATGCTAGTTCAACCCAGTACAGTGTTTGTCTTATGTCTATGATAACTGTTATGAAAGTGACAGGTATATGCCAAGTATAATACTTATTATTACAACTTTATCAAAATTTTTTATCACATAAAATGTGCCATATCACATGGAACATGGGCCAGTATCCATGACTGCCCCTGATCGGTACAGTTGTAGGCAATGCTGACTATTATACTGATGGGACCGGGTTCAAATCCCAGAGAAGGCTTGGATATTATGGCATATAGCAATCATCTTAGCAGCAATTGCCAAAGTTTCAAAATAGGCCAAAATTTGGCAAACACATGCATAACACTTCTTGTGACAACCATATGCATGACAACTCTTCAGTTTCAACAATCGGTGTCGCCATATTCACCTTTTTTTTTTAAATTCTAAATACAATGGTTTTTATAGATATTGATACTTTTTGTCTTAAAAATATGTTTGTGGATTTGCCCGCATTGGAAGGAATTGCAGTAAAATTTTTCAAAGATTATAATATTTTGCTGCAAACTAGTTAAAAGGGACAATTGCTTTAAATCTCCTAAAGCAGTAATCATGAAATTTCCACCATGGGGGGGGGACCTGCATATAAAAGGTTAATTGATTTTTTTAAATAAATACCTGGTTAAAACTTAAGATATGCTTGTTATAATAGGTTTCTATGTAATAAATATTTTTTCCCTCTGAAAAATCCTTCAAACTGCTGCAAGATGGTTGTACTAATATGTAAATACCCAATGGATGAAAGTCGAGTAAAATATAATTAAAAAAAATGGTGTGGGATATTCACAATTTTTCTAGACAATCAGAGAAGTTTAAAAAAGTACAAATCAGTTTTATGAAGTAATAAGTTCATAATTTAAATAAAATGTAAGAAACAAAAATTCATATTTATGTTTTAACACAACCATCTTACTAAAAGTCGCCAAATTTTTAGAATGTGCCATATTTCAACCAGTTTTAAGAAATTTCATTCGTGTATGCATTCTTTCTCTCCAACCAGCATGTGCTTAACAGTTCTTCAGTTTTAAGAAGTTTCATCGCCATTTTTGTACGCATTCTCTTCTTCCTGTATTTCAAGTTTTTAACATTTTTATGCACCAACTCTGATATTTAAATTTAATATTAAATTATGTGGTTGTACAATTTGCCATAAAGGAAAAAAAGTGCTGTGAGATTTCTGCAAGATGTTATTCTAGAAATGTTATTGCATTTTGTCATAAAATCACTATAGTGTATGATTGCTTTAAATATATTCTTAAGAATGACAGCTATGAAATTTCCACTGAAGCAAAAGGAACAAAAACTCGCTTGTAAATTAGGTTTATTAGCTCATTTTCAGGATAAATACAAAATTAAGGTATACACTAGCATCCAAAAGTTAAGCACACAATGTACAATTTTCAGAAGCATAATTGACTGGCTGAAAATCACTGTGATGCAGTTATCTATTATTTATTACAGACAATCACAATTGGCTGTATGAACATATGTTAACCCTTTGCGCTTGAGGCGCTTTTCTGTGCACACTCTCCATTCTGAAGGTTCAGTCTGTTCTGTACAATCACTTTGGCTTCCAGATTCACTATCAATTATTCGGATTTTTTGTCTTCTTGCTCCTCTAACGTCGTCACTATCTTTATCATTTCTGTCTTCGTTCTCATGGGCAAGCTGTCTATGTAGTGATGTAATTTCGTTCGTTATTGCCGAAAAATTAAACTCATCTTCACTAGAAGTAACTTCTTCGTCGTGTTCCATACTTATTGGGCTCAGTAACTTTGAAAGGACTACTGCGATCAGCAAGAAGGTTGAGTTCAAACTGATGTCGAAGACAGAGTCTTACCCGTGGTCGCAAGTATTTTTGAGATAAGACATTTAATCGCATAAGCATTGCAAAGACAAACTTTATTTGAGATAAGACAACCTTATAGCTATACAAACACCTCGTAATATGATCTACAAAAGGCCAAGTAGATCTCTCAAGTGATATTCCTTAGGTCAAACACAAATAAACACATCGATTCGAATGGTGCCTCTCAGGCACCGCTCGAGTTATCGCATCACATGCAGTGGTGCCTGAGAGGCACCACTCGAGTGCAAAGGGTTAATATTAGAGACTGGTTGAAATGGCAGCTTTTTGAACGTTTGAGGAGGTTCATTTAAGTACTGATATGAGACTGTTGTTTATAGCTTTCACTTGGCTCGAACATGATGAATGGCAAACTTTCAAGGCTGGTGGGCTGTAACACACGTTGAAGCAGGACAGTCAAAGATTTCAGCACTGATCAGTTGATAATTTTTTGAATGTAGAAACAACTCCAGATAACTCAAAGAGTTGTCAGGAAACCTGTGCCAGTCATTCTGGGTTACCACTCCTTCTGAAAACTCATATATTGCTACAGTGTGTATGTATCTGTAAATGAAAAAAATGCTCATTTGAGTGTAGTTATTTTTTTACTGTATACCAACATTTTATTGCCTTAAATAAAGAAATGATTATTTTTTTAAAAAAATTTTTCACTTCTCTTTCAGAGCTTATTCCATCATCATTTGTCCATTTGCCGAAAGTAAGTTGTGTGAAACTTAAATTTTATATTTTAGAGAGTTCTGCTTTTTCAAAAAAAAAAAAAAAAAAAAAATCTTATGTGTACACCACGACTTCCTTGCACGAAATATTAAATTACACCCATTTTTTCCTGCTTTTCATATAATCTTATTTCCTCGAATTTCATTAGACATATATTTCTCATTCAGTTAATTCAGTTTTCATGTCGCTACAAGGCAAAAATGCATAAAACCTCAAAACATTTTAATTAAAAAGCGATAGCGCTTCTCTTGTTTTGTATCAAGAATGCGAAGACGCTGCTGTTGGTTAGTATACTTTACACAATTATTGAGAGCAGTTGTAGTGATATCAGTAGCAGTTGTTTTATAGAAATTGAAATTGTTTTCATTTTTTTACCAAGTGTTATACTGATAATTATGAAATAACCCATGTCAAGTTCTGATTCATTTGAAAGTGACTATGTTATGAGAAGTGATAATGAAGAGAGTAATGACCTTGAAAGTGATAGTGGAAGTGACATCATCGTTCGTTCTAAGAGATTACGAGTTATTAGTGATAGCAGTGATGATGATGAAGTAATTGCAAACACCTCCAATGGCGATATTATTGACAAGTTTTTACTCGTGGATACAATTTTTTTAAACGAATCGAATACTTTTTCTGAAGTACTGGACCAAAGTATGCCCCTTCTCCTGATGCAAAACCAATTCAGTATTTCAATATATATTTTTTTTTTTTTTCAAGTATACTAACCAACAGCAGCATCTTCTCATTCTCGATACAAAACAAGAGAAGTGCTATCGTGCTGCGCCATATTTTTGGATACAACAAATGAAGCACGCGCCGGACTCAAACGGTTAATTTTTCTTTCTGTACCATAATAAAATATTGTTAGTTTTTCTTTCTTTGCTATGGTAAAGTATTGTTACCATATTGTTTTTCTTTCTGTACCATGGTGAAATATGCTTAATTTTCTTTTTATACCATGTAAAATATTATGAGTATTTTCTTTAAACCATGTTAAAATATAGTTAATTTTTCTGTCTGTATCATAGTAAAGTACTGTTAATTTTCTTTCTGTAACATAGAAAAATATTGTGTTTATTAGGGACCTTTTATTTTAATCAGAAACAAATGAATTTTATTGAGAGCCATGCCTACATTTTTGTTTCCAAAAATGTTTTATTTTAAGGGAGTCTTATTTTTGAGTAAATACAGTATAATTTGTAATCTCTTTATAGCTATGTACGTGTTTATGATGCAGATGTTTTTAAACAGGGAATGTAGCAAGAGGCGATATAGACCTGATCACCAACTGGAAGAGTTGAGAAACATCCAGGAGAAGCTGAGTCAAGAACGACTGCAATGGGAAAGCGAAAAGGCTCAACAGGAGAAGGAACTGGAAAAGAAAAAGAAAGAATTACTTCACATGCAGGTGAGAACTGAATCAATCATTAAAATTATTGAGTGAATAGTTTAAAATAAAAGGAGTGTTGTAGCTCACAGCAAAATGTTCGCTTTCCAAAAAAATTTTAAGATATATCTCTGTTATTAAATAATGTAGTATCTGTATGTATCTGTATGTGCAAAAATGGTGGTACCTAGAGCCACTGTACAGTCAAAAGTCGTTAATCCGGACCTCAAAGCTAAAAACTTTCTGCGTATGCATCGCGTTGACACATGCGCATAGGCGTTTACGACTGCACATATGCATGTGCGCAAGCGCAGAATACGTTTACGCATGCGCGTTTAATGTATAACGAACGGTATAAGCTAAAATTATCTAATTATCTATTTGAGTTAATGTTGATGATTGCAATGTTCCTTAATCTTCGAATTGGATTCGGCTTATTATTTTTTTGCAGACTGTAAGAGCAATTTTATAAAAGTAAGCTTGAACTTTTGATTATGTTGAATAGAATTTCCGATGCTGGAGCTCCCAAAGGATCTACAAAGCGAAAGTATGTTTCGATGTCCATCAAACAAAAAGTGGAATTGCTGCAAAAAATGGATAAAGGCATATCTGCCTCAAAATTGTGCAAGGAGTATAACGTTGAAAAGTCAACTGTATATGACATAAGCAAAAAGAAAAAATAACTTTTTGATTTTTTTGTGGATTCCGACACCCCACTTGCTATGAATAACAGAAAAAGGGTTCGTTATGCTAAAAGTGACGATCATGACAAATTGATGATTGAATGGGTCAGACAGCGTCGCAGCGAGGGCGTGCCATTGACGGGTCCAATGGTAATGGCTCAAGCCAAAATATTTCATGAAGAAATGAACTTAAACGGAGAGTGCAGATATTCGACAGGTTGGTTAACAAAATTTAAAAATCGCCATGGTATAAGACAATTAAAAATTTCTGGTGAAAAATCTTCAGCTGATACTGAACAATTTGCAGATGAATTCATTGAATTCATTACTAATGAACGATTATCTGCCAGAACAAATTTATAATGCTGATGAAACTGGTCTTTTTCTGGCAATATGTACCGCATGAAATATCTTGGCAACCTCTACAGAAAAGGCTCCAACTGGTATCAAAAGATTTCCAAAGCGAGACTAACAATTTTAGCGTTGCACAAATGCTGCAGGAATGCACAAGTGCAAACTTTTCGTAAATCGGAAAACATGCACGACCTCGAGCATGTTAAAGGAGTAACGATTTTCCGTGTTATATATCGCGCAAATAAAAGAGCATAGATGACACAAGTGTTGATGAATGATTGGTTTGAAAATCATTTTATACCCGAGGCTTGGCGACATTTAAATTCGGTTGGTTTACCTGATGACTCAAAAATAGTCCTGATTGTTGATAACTATTCGGCGCATACTTCACTTAAAGTTTTAGTGAAAGATAATGTATCCGTATTATTCTTCCCTCCAAATTGTATGTATATCGTTCAGCCTATGGATATGGGAATAGTGCACGCGTTGAAATGCAAATATAAAGCAGCATTTTAAAAATCTATGTTAAAATTCTTGAACAGTGGCAAGACTATTCAAGAATTTTTGAAATTTTTTAGCATAAAATCTGCCGTGTGGAGCATCGCAAGATTGTGGGAGAATGTGTCTCCAGGTACGTTAAAAAATGCTTGGCATAATTTATGGCCATCTAACATATTTCATGGTGAGGAGGATGAAGATGATAGCCGCGAATTTGAAGGTTTTTGGAATCGCAAACTAAAGGTGAAATTTTTCAGTTATTGGATTTTGTAAAGAAATGTGGAGAAGCAGTAATAAATAAAGATGATATAAGAGAAGTTTTTCATTGCGACGACAATGCCCCAATCATCAATCAATTAACGGACAGCGAAATCTGTAGTATGGTTCTAGTCCCAGAATATATCGCTTCCGATAGTGAAGAAAGTGACACAGAGGTTATTCAAAACGAAACAATTTCGATTGACAAATTAGTCAGTATTCTCGACACCGCAATTATAGGACTTGAACAGCGGAACTTTGTAACTGAACAAGAAATTATGTCTGTTTATAGAATTAAAGAGAATGTATTATCACATAAAAAACGAAGCAACTTAAACAACTTACATTGAAAGAAATGTTTAATAAAGTAAACAACTAAATATTAAGCTTTTTTTTTTTTTTTTTTTTTTTGTAAATTTTGATGATACCCTTTAGATCATAATTGTTCTTTATTTCATAAATTACGGTTTCATATTTTTAATTTTATAATTTCTGCATCCATCTTACGAGATTTAAACTAATGATCTATAATCCGGAAAAATCGATAATCCGGAATCGCCGAAGTCCCAACGAGTCCGGATTAATGACTTTTGACTGTATTTTGAACACACATAGTCCTCTACCCAGAAACTTGTACCTCAAAGCCTGAATTTTAATAACTTTTATTAATTTCATATTTTGTGCAAATACAGTTAATGTATGCTTAGTAAATGCAGCAGTTTAAAATCAATGTGTTGCTACTTGGTAGAACTTGAGATATAATTCTCTCAAACTTAATCAGCAAACTCAGTGTTTTAAAAGGAATGTGTTGCACCTGCAAGAAATAAAATACAACTCTTAACAGTATTTTCTTTTAAAATTTAATCTGATTGATATAAATAAAAATACATTTAATTCATGATCTGTCTAATTTAAAAACATTAAATACTTTTATGAAATTACTCTATCCAGACTCATTAAAATCATTATATTGCATTTATTGTTCATGTTCTTTGATATTGTAATGTATGTTTATGCCTCAGTTATAAGTTTGGCTTCCTGTCCAGGGATTGTACTGCCCGTGACGTGCAGTCCTTTGGGAAAGGGGCAGTGATACGAATTTGGTATTTAAATAGCTAATGTTATTTGAATTGTAAATTAAATGGTTTTATTTTCTGTGCAGTGCAGCGCGTGACGAATATTAAAAGAAAGCTAAGCCGGAAAATTGAAAATACATGAGCGCATGCATGTAACATAATAAATATGTCTTTTTGATTTCGAGAAAATACTAGAAAATTCTTGCACACGATTTTAAAATCTTATAAAAGGAGGAAAACCTCTCAGTTCGGAGTTAGTTACTTAGTTTGTTGTTGCTTAGAAAACTGTTCTTGTTGACTGTAGCGAATTCGCGGTTTAGCTTTCTTTAGCTGTTTTAAGTTCTTTTGAACGTTTGAGTAGTTAAAAGATAAGTACTGTGAGATTTTGTAATATTGCACGAATATCTGAGGAAATTTAAGCATATTTGTTGTGATAATAATAAATTTTTGTTCATTTTTTCATCGGACTTGTGCATTCATTTCGCAATGAACCCATATGTACGCAACAATATATATATAATAACAATTTCAGGCAGATAGCAGTACAGTTGGCTAGTATACAGTATAAAGTCCCAGATCCAAACTGATCAGGTGATGAAAGAATTTTAGTTATTCAGGAGAAAAATACATGCATGCAAGAATTTTAGTTATTCAGGAGAAAAATCCCATTTATGGTGCACCTGCATTTTTTTGTTGAGTATTATAGTCTCCATTCTTTAATTTTTTAAGGGAGGGATTCTTCTTATTATTATTTAATTTTTGGCTGAAGTTCTGGATATTAGATCATTCCTGATATTGGACGTCTGGAGTTTATACTATATAATGATTCTCTTTGAAATCAAATGCAGCACATTGCTAAATAAAAGTGGAGTAAAAAAAAAAAAAAAAAAAAAAAAAAAAAAAAAAGTATGTTAAGTTTGAAACTACCAAATACAAAAAAGGACATTTCTTACATATTAAATATTAATTTGCTTAAACTAACTAAAAATTTATCTACTTTTTTTTATAATTTGATTAACAGGTTCAAACTAATATTAATATATGAAACTAAATATGTGTATGGGTAAATTAATATTAAGTATGTGTACAAGGTAATTTTAAACATCATTTTATGATGCTGGAGAAGTCATTAATTCCCTATTCTCATGTTTTGCTATATCACGTAGTGTGATAGCAGTTAATGTTATCATTTGAATATTTTTATCGAACTGCCAAAGTATGACCCATTTGTATATGAAAACAGGGAAAATACATAGCTTATTTTGATCAACTGGTTGATTAAGTATTATAGATCAAATTTTTCAAGTTGGAATATTGCCATCAAATAAAAAATAAAATCGCTAAATAAGATCAAAATATACTATATAAATTTTCAAATCATCAAGACATGTTACCAAGTAAGGAATAAAGACACCAAAAATCTTGATTTCAGACAACATTTGTCTTGGAACCATATCTGAGAAAAGGTGATAAAGAATTGTTTTAAACATGTCAACATTTTAATAAATGCTATAGTAAAGGAAACTGCATTACTAAAAATGTCTCCAGCTAACTTGAACTGTGAGGATGCTTTTATGGATATTGACGAATAAACTCGAGTTGCAACATTAGTGACAGAAGATATCTATCTCCCTGTCACTTTTTGAAACTAATTTTCAGAAACATTATGAGCAATTTGTAAGTAAACTTTTGCATAATGATTCCAGATAAACAACTTTTAATGACTTGTTTTTCTAATTAAAATAATGTGAAAGTAATTATTGTTTCTAATTATATTTATATTAAAATATAATTCATTCCAATTTTGAATAATATTTTTTCTCATCGCTTAATGTTGTTCTTCGGTTAACGTTATGGGAATAGTCATCGCAGTTGCCAACTTTCCCGATTTAGACGGGAGACTCCAGATTTCCCACCATACTCCCACCAACACAATTTGCACCATATTTCTCCTGACTTTCTCGTATTCTTAAAATTTCTCTCAAGTTTTATGTAGCTTAGCTGAATATTTCATTATTTGCACCCAGAATTTATTTTTTTCGTCTGGTCTGAAAGTGCTTGGTTTCTTTCTTGATACATATAAAAGAAAACCGTTCAAGTCGTTTAATTAATGTGATATGGCACACTTCTGCTATCCTTGACCAATGGAACCCACTTCTTACATTTTTTAAGGAAGAATTATATACTTACAGAGTTAAGATAAAAAGCTCTATTGAAAGTTATAAAATACCTTTAGTAAATTGAGATGTAGTATTACTTCCGCTGTTAAAAATAGGTCTGAAAAAAATTAATTTCTGCTCCTGCGAGCAATTTAATTGGCAATTCTCAAAATGATACAACAAAATGTAAGCAGAAACCTCTCCCGAAACAAAGTTATCCCAAAATAGAAAATCCCTTGAAAAGGACATGTTTTTCGATTACTGTAAGTTTATCTTGTGAAGCACAAATATTTATGTTCTTGTCTTTGGACCATAACAGAGCTTTTTACTTTTTTGTATGCTCCATCTTATCATCATTCAATGTTCTTAACACAGTTCCACGGTGCAGAATTCCATTAATTCATGTTTTGTAAACAGTGATTAGTTATCTGGTTAAAATATTATTTAATGATTAGAGTATTTCTCTATTATTAAAATGTGTGAGTGATAAAACTGTTTCTCACATGTAATTTTTTTTTTGGTATTATTTGCATTGAAGAATTAGTAACTGAACTTTCAGATAGGAATTAGTTACTGTTTAAAGTTAATTCATTATTAAAAAGAATATTTTCTTTCTTTATTCTGTTATTATTTAAATTTTCCTAGAGAAAATTCTCCTGATTTTTTAGTGTCGTAGATTGGCAAGTATGAATCATGGACAAACATGATCACCTTAAACTCTACCTACTATAAGTGTTGATAAGTGATATAAGTGTTGATTTATTTCTGATGCCTTTTTTTTTATTATTATTGCAGAAGTTATTGTGTGAAAATCATTTCAAGCAACCCGTAACAAATGCGGGGAAAAACACACTTTCCTGTTTTGTGGACAATAGAGAAGGTGTTCAAAACTGCTGTTCAACAAATCTATGCAGACATCGAAGATCAGCCTCTTTCGACTTCCGAACGCTCGGGAGTTTCCTCCACGACGTCGGCGGTCGTCAGTCCTGGAGTGGACCGATCGACGACGCTTCCTTCACTTCCCGCTCCCATTCCTGCTCAACACAGAGTACTTCCAGCATTCCGCAAGCGATGGACAATGCCGAACTGGTTTATAATAATCAAAATAATATCTTCGTAGAGAATTCTGGCGATCTGCATGCACGTTCGGATTCTCGACGCGACTGCCAACATACATCTAGAATGTGCGCATGCCCGAGCGTAACTGTAATAACTTGTAACGAAAATTCATCTGATATCAAGATTGGAATTCCGTTTCAGTCTGATATGAGGGAAACCAACAGTAAGTGTTTTTGTTCGATGCAGTTACAGTCCAGTTGTACGACATGTAAGGATCATGGCGCAAATGGGAAATAAAATGTCTTTTTCTCATCATGGAGATTCTCTGTAAACATGCAGTTTGAGTACAAGACGGACAATCATTTTCTTTCAATCTTTTTGCACGGGTGATATTTCCTTACCATCATATAAACGATGTGGAAAAAAAAAACTGTTTGCATTTGAGCAAATCATAGAACTTTTATCTCAGTGTTTTACCTTTTAAATTCACTTTAATGATTGAATCTCACTTAAGTGTAATGTTCTACTTGTGTTGTTATAATATGTTAGTCCTGATTAAGTCTTCACTTTTTCTGAAATGAAAAATTAATGCCATGCTGATATTTAAGGGCTTCTGAAGTGAAATTTAAAATTTACCATTGCAATCACTTATTTTAGATGCATCATATTGAATTATTTATTTTAGGCATATGTACATCATTTTCATAAAAGTTTATGCCTGGCCTTTGCTATCACAAGTGTTGATTGTAGTCATATACTTCCAATCAAAAATATATTTTAAATGATCCAAATATTCCTGTTTTGACACATTTAAATTTAAACAAATCAATTTTGTAAAAATTACAAAACCTAACTTTTTACACATTTCTCTTATATTTAGGAAAATTTTGTGCTCTTTATAAAAATAAGAGGCCCCCCCCCCCCCGAAAAAAAAAAAGAAAACAATGTGTGACTCCTGTACAACAAAAATGAGCCAAAATATTTAATATTAAAGTCACGAGACCTGTTCAGAGTCCATACACAAATTGAAGATTGAAATGTTTGTGAGTATACGTAACTAGAAGTAAATTGAAATGGGTTTCTCATGCTAAGATATTAAATGACTGGTATTTCTATGAAAATTATTGTGAAAATTTTTAATCAATATACATTTTTTCAAAATGGAGATCTTATTCTTAGAAGACATTCTTAGAAGAGATTCTTAGATTAGGGGAGAAAATGGCAGAATATTGCTTGTAATATTATTTGAATCAAATAAAAGTATTTCTAGTTCTGTCTTTTAAGGACACTATTAAAACACAAAAGAATGTCACTAAATGGTATTTAAAGGGGGAAAAAATCAACCTAGAATTATTCTTATTTATTTACTACCAAAGCCCTGCATGCAAATTGAAAATGATGTTTAAAATACCAAATTTTGAAATTAAATATCTTGGTCAGCAAGAGTGTGCTATATAGGAGTTCGCTATATAGTGAACAAAAGGGTAAGTAAGGGTTTTGTAAGTTTTACAGAATTGTTTTTTGTCAATTTTAAAATGCCAAAACATGAATCTTTGCATCCTTTCAAACATTTTCGTAATTGGAAGTAGATGTCTGCGACTGCTGGTCGTGAATGTAAGGATTTGATGAGGACATTTATGGGCACAGTATAGAATAATGTTCCTATTTTTTTAATGCCAGAAAATAATATTAGCACTACCATTATTTTTTTGCTTGCAAAAGTTACTGCTCAAATAATCATTAAATTTTGGTACATTTAGCCTATAAGTCGACCCTCAGCATTTAGCATTAAGAAAATTTGGTATTAATGTAAAGCATATCCAGCAGTTAAAGAGAGGGGGGAATAAAGATGCTAAATGCTAAGGAAATATGCTAAAATGAAAATTAACATTAAAAACAGATAAGGGCTAAAATTTGAGGATGCTGTGAAAAAGTAGATTTTAAAAACTTGAAAAAAATTGTGCCACGCACATTGCTCTTAATTGGAACTCAGCCCAATCTGATTTCATTGTTTTGAGTCCATTTGTGAAAAAGAAACCTGCACCAGAGAATAAAATGGAATGAGCATTTTAATTTCAGGTAATAGCAATTTGTTTGCATCATTGATTTGATTTAAAGATTATTTAATAAATAAAAGATTTTATCTGCTTAAATTTATTTTGAAAAAATTTTTTGGCACCAGAAAGGGTTACTATTATTTTTTTATACCTTCATAAAATTCTCCTAGAGTAACAATTTTTTTAATTAAAAAAAATAATGATAATAGGAATGAGAATTACCTAATTAATACCTTGATATAATTATGGTTAAAATATGGGCTAGGATATAGTATATTATCTACTGCTTTTAGCTAATTAGTTAATATTCGGCTATACTCTGTGACATTCGTTATGTGTGCAGCTGAACGACACTGGCATAGCTAAAACTTTTGCCACTGTGGGAAGTCCCTGAATTTGCCTCCTTTCTCAATACGCAAAACAAATGACTACAAAAAATATCAAAATGGCTTGCAAGGAAATTAATTAGAAACCCTACTTTTTTTTTACTTAAAATTCCAATGTTTCAAAAATCATATTGTTATTTTGTTTGTTTTTTCTGCTCATGAAGCCATCAATGTCATTATAATGGTCTTTTGCATCGCTGCTGTTGTTGTAAATATTTCTTAAATGATTTTCATTTAGAAAACTCTTTCTTCTGGCAATTAGCATTACTTCTAAATATTATACAGTCAAAAGTCGTTAATTCGGAATGGTCTATAATCCGGACCTCAAAACTAAAAACTTTCTGCACATGTGCCGCGTTGACACATGCGTATAGGCGTTTACGCATAACACCTTTTACGACTGCGCATATGAGTGTGCGCAAGTTCAGAATACGTTTTCGCGTGCGCGTTTATGTATAATGGACGTATAAGCTAAAATTATCTAATTATCTATTTCAGTTAATGTTGATGATTGCGTTGTTACTTAATTTTCGAATTAGATCCGGCTTATTATTTTTTGCAGACTGTAAGAGCAATTTTATAAAAGTAAGCTTAAACTTTCGATTATATCAAATAGAATTTCCGATATATATTTGTTAATATGTAAAGGATCTAAAGCGAAAGTATGTTTTGAAATCCGAAATCTGTTTATCAATTTCACGCTGCTCGGCAGGGGGAACGCCGTGGCGGGCGCGTAATGAATTGGAAGTTGATCTGTCAGCACTATCCTTATCTTCAGGGCAGATGTTTTTATTTTATTTGGCTTATAATTCCTTACCAAATTAGTATTTCATCTCGATGTGCTCCGTCTTTGATATGATTTAAAACAAGTTCCTCGTCATTATAATTCTCTTCTGATAGCGAAGAAAGTAACAGAGGTTAGTGAAGACGAAAAAATTTCGATTGACAAATTAGTCGGTGTTCTCGACACAGAAATTATAGGACTTGAGCAGCGGAACTTTGTAACTGAACAAGAAATTATGTCTGTTTAATAGAATTAAAGAGAAAGTATTATCACATGAAACGAAGCAAAACTTAAACAACTTACATTGAAAGAAATGTTTAATAAAGTAAACAAATAAATATTAAGCTTTTTCTTTTTGCAAATTTTGATACCCTTTAGATCATAATTGTTCTTTATTTCATAAATTACAGTTTCATATTTTTAATTTTAGAATTTCTGCATGCCATCTTACGAGATTTAAACTGATGATCTATAATCCGGAATCTCCGAAGTCCCGACGAGTCCGGATTAACGACTTTTGACTGTATTTTGGAATGAACTGCAAAATTTTGAAAGGACTGCGTTTCCACATTCTTGTTTCTGATTTCCCTAGCAATCATGGAAGTAAAACTCAGAAATACTTCTTTTATGAGAAAGAATTTCTCAGAAAGTCAGCCTGACCAAAATTTAGTTGATATTCGTGATTTGTATTCAAAAGTTTTAACAAAATCAACAAGGTATAACAAAAGTATGTAGCTGTTGAAATAACATGGTGATTTCATTGAATACGTTTTTCAGACTAAAAACTCTTTTCTTCTTAATTTATTTCTGTATTGCAATACAGAATCTGATCAATCTTCTGCTTCGATAATCCACGTGAGTAAATATTTCGGTACTCTTCTTTTATCGGGATCGGATTTAGAAATGTATGTATGTGCGTGCGCATATATGTGTGTACACACACAGATACCATATGTATGTATATACACATGCACACATGAACATATACATATATACATGCATACAATGAGCTTATATATATCTATATGTACATGCATACATACATACATTTCTGAAAACTCAATCGTGACAACAGCACAGTACCAAATTGTCATGCAAAAAAATGCCAACTTTGAAAATATCTAGCCTGAGGTGCCTCCTCCATCCCCCCTTCTATTCACGCTACTGCTGAATGATATAAAAACGACCACATCTGCTTTTATTTTTATAGAATAAAGAAGGAATTTAATGGAATTAAACATTCAGTGGTTATTAAGTTAATTAATGGAATTATTTTCATTTATATATTCTTAATTGTGTTTATTTTGGTATTTAAAAATAGCATTTTTGTGGTGTTGTCTCTTCTATAAAGTAATGAAAAATCATGTACGTATGTATGTTTCTCATATTGTGAAAATTTTGTGTATTTAATTATGGCAAAGCACACTAGGGCTATCTGCCTAAGGGGAGGGATGCCTTTCGTGGAGGACTTTCTAAGGGAAACTGGCTCGTATACACGTTACACATGGGGAAAACCACGAAAACGCCCATGCAGCCAGCCCGTTCGCAGGATTCGAACCTCGGACCGAACTACCAGTGTTTACCGCTCGGCCGCTGGTGGGCCCATATTGTGAAAAAAAGTGGCCTCTTGAGGCACCCAATTGTGAGCACAGTCCTCCGCCTCGAAGCCCAAATTTTGAATTTACTTTTTATTTATTTCATACTAATTTAGAAACTAAGTAAAGCTTTGTTTAAATACTCTGCAGTATAAATGCTTTGTGTTGACACTACCTGCATAAGATGTTTATGTTTGTAGTTTAATTCGAAAATTCGCCAGTATCAAGGAATGTTGCCACTTGGCAAAACACCAAAATATTTGTCTTTTGAATTTAATCAACAAACACTGTGATCTGAAAGAAATGCATTATCACTGCCCGAATTAAAATACTTTTTTTCTTCACCATAGCAGTGTGTTGTTGTTCGGCAAAGCATAAGATAGCATTTAATTTTTGTTTTAAATTTATTCTGTTATTAATTAACAAATTAAACAACTTAAAAGCAATAAAAGCAGATTAAGTTCAGTTATTATTAACTGCTTGCTGGATCCATGAAATGACAGTACAAGTAACCCTCATATAACACAGTACATAGTAGTATAATAAAATGCCGTGTTGTATGAGACTCAGAGCCAGTATGTGCAGGATGTGCATTTTAGAGCACTTATTGTAACCTCATGCTGCTCACCTTCTGCGATAGTGAAGTTTTTCATTGTTATCTGGGAACATTTGTTCAACATATGGGTCATCTGAGGACATTTGATCTTACGGGTACTGGATCTTGGAAGGCAATTGGCGGAACTTACGAAACAAGGATTCCTATGTGTTAAATGACTATATGGGTGCTTTGAACAATATGGAAAAACTTCATATGGAGTTCATTAAATTTCTTCGGATTGCTTAGGCAATTTTCTTATCGTGTTAAAGCGAAACCGTGTTGTAGGAGGGTTCTTGCAATTTATGAATCGTGTTATAGTGAAACTGTGTTACAGGATGCCGTATTGTAGGAGAGCTACCTGTAGCTGAATTTAATAAAATTATTATAAATTCTTTTTTTCATTAATAACTAATTTAGGTCACTAGTCTCAGAATTAACTAAC